CCCCCCGCCCGCACACTATTCTCGTGAAACGAGAAATGCAAAACGAGAAAAAGAAATTCTCGTGAATTTGGTATTGTTAATATTTCACCGTCAACCGTCGCAATATAATTAAAAAATCCATCAGTTTGGTCCTAATTTTGGGAGATCAAACGTATAAAAAAAAAACGCATTCGTCGTTAACAATTGAGGACAAACAGAAGGTCGCTATAAATCGGGATCTGCTGTGCCTTGTTTCGTGATCGGCGAATATCGAAGATTATACAAAGTAACCGTAGACACACACCCAAGACCGTTATAACATATACGTTTTCGTTTTCAAGCTTCCGGATATCGCACATCCTCGCAAGTTTGAGAAAATATTCTCGAAATGTCGTCCGAAAATACGCGATCACTTTCGGCCGAAATAATAATACTTCGAAACACGGACCGTTAATATGCAACATTTAGATTTTTCAATTGTACATTAATATTTTAAACTGTGGATTTTTTTTTAACTATTTAACTACGATCAAACTTGCAATGTTAAATCACATATTTCCTTCCTCCTTTTTTTTTCTTTTATGTACTTTGCAGTAAGCATTTTGTTGTTCGTTATTGAACTTCGATACCTACTTTTATCGAACTACAATGCCGTTAAATAATCGCAACTCTTTGTCTAGATATGGTTTTCGCGAAACCAAATTCTCTTTCTTTCATAATTATGCACTTTAAACAGGAACCAGACTACACTGGTTATTTTTTCCGTTTTTTTGCCCTCTTTCATAGTAATAACTATGTTATGACAATCTTCGACTGTAGATACATTTATCTAAAACGCTTGTAAATGTAAAATAAATTAAAATCGTAAGTAATTTGTAGTAGACACTGAATCTAGACACGTAAACTCCGGAAATCGTTCGAATCCTGTAGAATCGTCTATGACAGAGCATAACAGGGTGTATATCTGTAGGTATGCGTATGTATTTGTGTTGACATGTATAAGGAAATTGATTTAACCGTTCGTAATAGAAGCTATCAAAGCCTCAATCATCAGCGCTCATACCCCGCACTTCTCCTTGATGTCTTTGCTGCAATTAAACATACACAATACATTTTAGCGCTTGGAAAAAATTGCTTTGTCTTTGGCAAATTAATTTGCTTAGGGTGCTGTCGCACAAAGCAAGATCATAGAATAGACTCGCCTCGAGGTGGAAAAGTTCGTCGGAAACGGAAGGAGAAATGAATCCCTTACCCTGTCCAGTTCTTCTTTCGTATTATCTTCGATTGCTCTAATATCCTCCATAGTTAGACCATGCCAGCGATCTATCCAGCAGAAAACTTGTCTATGGAAATTAGTGAACAGACGCCTCTCCGCCTTCTGAATGAACCCTTCGACACGAGTCTGCAGACCAAACCATCTGAATTCGCAAGTGACTAACTTATAGCACGTCATGACAGGCTGAACATTATTCTTCCAATCCTTCCCGACGAGAGGACCTCGGCCAGTCTTCTGAGACTTAAATTTAGTCGGATCCTCGTCTTCTTTGTAATCGGCATTGGCAATCGGATCGTTCGCAATATCTATGTGCACGATCTCCCTGATCTTGAGCTTATCGGGCGGCAACTCGTGAACCTGTCAGGTAGAAAAGACGTGTAACCAGCCGATCGTACTATAGCCGACATCTCGTCGTACTTACATTATGTTGATTGCCGACATCACCAATATGAAATGACTCTATCATGATCACAAAGTTATCCTTCATATAACCTGGGTTCTGTGGAAAATAAGAATAATGTCGATGATCTTGTATATGCATGTATATTTAATGTATCGGTATATTTCACATGTATGCGCTAGCAACTTACAGTAATAACTGTTTTACAATAGGGATAAGCGTTCCAAGCCTCCTCATGTATCTCCAGTGAGTTCTTTGGCAGTAAAATGCGAATGAAAGCAGGCACTTTACTAGCTAAGTGGTAAATCTTGTATGTATATTGGCCTGACGAATATTTTCCACCAAGTAGAGGGTAATTCGTGAAGGGTTCATTTTTCAAAACCTCAATGCCCTCTCCACCACCTGTGTTATTTTTACTAGCTTCCGCTACAGAGTACAGTTGAGCTACCTGATACTGTTAATAAAAAAGGAAAGATAACATATGAATATGGAATAGCTTCCACTACAGAGTACAGTTGAGCTACCTGATACTGTTAATAAAAAAGGAAAGATAACATATGAATATGGAATAAACAAGTTTGTTTTTTCTCAGTTTTTTTTAAATACAGGTAGTATTATATAATTAATACACGCATATGAGAGTTAACCCTGAGGAGCGAATGTGCTTAATCATCTTTCCTCTTAAATGAATATTTCATATTATTACATTAACGAGCTGAATTAGAGAAAAAAAAAGAAAAAAAATATATATATATATTTATATTGTCATATCTAAAAGAAGCATCAAATCTTATTATATAATAATCAATTATATAATATAATAATAAAATTAAAATGTATCTCTCTTTCCCTACCAGACAGGATAAGTAAGCAGAATTAACAACACGAAAGATACGAATGTAATCCATGGTAACAGGTAACAACGAAGCTTGTTGGAGCATTGTATGATAAGAAAAATGTTTAATTTGCAAGAGCTCCGTACAAGAACTTAACCAGAAACATATTGTCATATAAATGCCAATTAGATGATTGGCAGATCCTCTTGATTGTAGAGCATCGCTAAGAAGCTAACCCCAGTCATTCATTTTTTGCATTCTAATATTCTCAGGAGTAATATTACAAACTGGGTCATTATGAGCAGGACCTTTGCAACAGATTGCACGTACCTCTTCCACTGTTAGCGGTAGAGTGACACGGCTGTAACAAACAAGTAATATTAGTTAGCATAATTATGCATCAAACATCGAATAAGAGAACGGTAAAGATCACGTCGGCTGCAAGGCAACGGCGGCCTTGAGTCACGTTTCCCGCATTAAACTACCGGGGGGAGGGGGGAGGGCGGCACACGTTGCTGCCGCGAGTCGCACGTAAAACGCTCGGGCAATCTTAATTAAATCCAAATTCGAAAACAATCGATCAAACACGAAACTCGCGTTACCGAGTCAGATCGGTTCGTATTAGTCAGTGAATCGATGACCGGCGCCGAAGAAATCGAAAAGATTTTTCGAGCTCCATGTCAGCTACACCTAGTCAGCTACACTTTCCTGCACTTAACGCATTTAAAACGAGGCAGGCGTGCGTTCGGGCCTTCGGGTAGGAAAGAGAACGGGGACAAGGTGCAGAAAGTGCAGCTAGACCTCTAGAATCAGGCGGTAAGGGATGAGAGGGCTACCATCCCTCTTCCGTCCGTCTGTCTCACTCTTTCTTTCTTTCTCTCTCTCTCTTTCACACACCCACATACACGCAGACTCTTTCTCTTCGTCTTCCTTTCTCCACCCCCTCCAATGGCAGCCGCCGTTAAAGATTACTAATCATCGCACCCCGTTGATCGGTTTTGAATTTCGCTGCGCTGGCAGAGACACGAAAAACAAAGGAATTCGTCGGCATTCGACGTATCGCGAACAGCCGACGATAGCCCCCCTTCCTTCCCCCCTCGCCGTCGTTCAGGCTACCGCTACCACTTACAATTCCTTGATGAGCATTTTAGTCAGCAGTCAGAGCACATGGACCACAGCAGCGCATTCACAGCAGCAGGCTTGACCGCCGACAATGAGGATGGAGCGCCGCCGCCGTTGTCGTCGTCACCACCACCAGCACCGCACCACTTCTACCCTCGTCTTACCACGGCGAATTCACTCGCGCTATCGCTCTATCTCTATCGCGGGCCGCCGCCACCGCAAAGTCATATACGCAGAGAAGCAGCGCCGCGACTCGCCAACCGACTGACACACTAGCCGTCGCTGGCCACTCTACGGTCCGCACCAGCACACACAGCGGCACCCGCCACGGCCACCGCCGAAGAAATCACGCACACAGGTACGCACGCGCGCACACACATACACCGGCGCACCTGACACATATACACACGTGTGCGCTACCCGATTCCCCCTCACGTTTCACAACCCCTCCGATCGGCGCTTTGATTCCCCACCTTGCTCCGAACTTTGCCGATGACGTCATTCCAGCTAGATTAGACGCGCGTGCGTACCGCCCGCGTACGATCGTTTCTTTCTTTTGCATTAAGGCCTGTCCAGATGGATTCGCACACGAGGATAATTATATTCATCGAGAAATCCACCCGATAAATCACGCGTCTGCATTATAAATAGCGCGTTGATATGATGTCCTTTGCACTGGATACGTGATTGTTCGATTTTCCTACTTATATATATTTTGTATGTATATATATGCACGTATATAATATACTACGTGGATTTATAGGTCCGTCTGGATAGGACCTTTAAGACTTGTGTTGGATACACTGATGAGCATTAAGGGCGAATTCTCACAGTCATCGATTTTTCTTCGCTGTTGTCCAATTACATCATGTCTTGTTTGAAATTTATCTGAGGGAAGGTAAAAGAAGTTTACACGCATGTATACTTAGAATTGCTTCAGCGAATTATTTCCATGAACAAATTTGCCGTGTAATTTTTTCGCATAGCACAATAAAATTAAATATAATATGTAATATATAAGTAAGATAGAGAGAGAGAGAAAGATAGAAAAAGAACAACAAATACAACATATTGTAATTTTACCAGAATTAATTGATCGCTTGAAAAATATACGTTCAATATTACACATAACCATGTTTCACACATACATGGAGCCTTTTTTAGCACAAACAACTCGGTATTCGTTGTTATTGATTCCTTTGAAGGACGGAAATCGGATATTTCTTTACACATCCAAATGTCATAAAAACAGTTTCTACTGAACCATCGATTCCACTATTATTAAAAACAACAAGTTGATATAATTCGAACGGTATACAAGTAGCAATAAACATCCTATATAGCATAAATGCTCAAAAAACATCCTACAGACGTTCCAGAGATATTCGAACATCTCTAAGATATCTTTTAAATATTTATGCTATGTGGAATTGGATAATTCTAAAAATTCGGAAGCGAAATTATTTAAAATCTTTGAAAAAACGTAATAAAACGTGAGCTTAAAATTTTTTAAATAATGGATTGGTGGATTTTTTAAATAATGGATATGTGTTAAAAACAATAAACTACACAATAATTTGCGAAGTTACATATTAAATAAAATGCAATTTATTACGTTATTTAATCAAATAAACGCTCATTTCAGTGCATACATCGACGAGATAATACTAAAGACCGTCAACCCTGGGTAAATTTTCGTTCATGTTCCAAAGCCTCGAAAAGCCCGGGAGTAATTGAAAAAAACGGCATCATCGATTTTTTTAGTCATTTGATATAAATATCTGGATTATGGTATAAGTAAATTTTATAATTTATAATTACATTAATGTTCCATCGATGTGTATACTGACTACAATAAAGTATTAAATCTTTTGGCGAAACTGCATTTTTACAGTTACTATTTATGCTTGTTTGATATAAATTTACTGACAAATTTATCGACTGGAGGTTATTAAACAGCGAAATTTTTTCGCACGCTAAGACCGTAAGGCCAACAGTTTTTAATATTATCTTTTTAAAGCATTCGGAACTTAATTTATCTTTTGCAGATAGCTATAATCGATATAGCTCTCAATATACCATAATTAAATATGGAGAAGTGTGAAAATGATTATAAGTTTACTAAAAATAGAAGATAATGAACAAATTTTATCGAATGAAAATACTTGTGGCATGTCTTCATAAATGCCGCATTTCAGAAGAAGATAATCGAGAGCTGGCGTAATACTGAATATTTTGTTTCTGGAAAAAAGATGAAGATATAAAGAAAAACGAACACGAAAATAAAAACAAAGACGAAGAGGAAGAGAGGTAGAGGAAGATGATGAAGACGAAAACGAAAAAGAAGAGGAAGACAAAAATGATGACGATGATAATAACAATAACAACGCAAACAACATAGATATAAAAGAAAGTTCTAATGAAAGCATAATAGTAATTCATATAAATATCTCAGGACGATAGACACGCAGGAATATAGATTATTAAGCCATAATTATGAGACGAAAAATACTATTCGTAAAGATGAATAGACAAACGATATCTTGGCGTCTTTACACAAAGTGATTCAATGCAGCTTTTTCCAGTCGATCATCAATTCATGAAAATTAGGTTTAATCGCTGCTAGAACGTTTTAGCCTAACTTCAGTTGAAAATATTATAAGAATAATTCATGCGTAATACAATTTATTTCAGGTAAGTAAAACAAAGGTAAGTATATACAGAAATGCTAGAGGATGAGATACAACTTTTACAGGTGAAAAGTATCAGTAACAATGTAAAAAATGTATCTTAGAAAACATAATTTTTTATCATTAGCACAGAAAGCAGTGAAGTATTGTAAAGAGCCGAAACTGATTATATAATATATTAAATTTTACCATATTAGATTATACCGCTGAAAATTATTTAAACTATAAGTATTTCGACAGTTACTTAGGTAATTATTAATATATTTTAAAAATATGATTTCAAATATATCGATAACGTATATGATAATACAAAGAACTTATATCATAAATAATTCTAAGTAAAATGTAAATATCCTAAAGTATTTGAAACTCAATAGCTTATAACTTTGCTATTATAATTTAGTCTTATTTTACACGTTTTTACAATCAGTGGTATTGGGAATTCAAGAAAAATCTAGATCAGTTTAGATATTTAAAGGAATATGAATTTTTTGGAAGATCTATAACCTCTAATTTACAGAACTTAAAAGAAGGTACGGTTAGAGTGCATTAATGTTGTTTAGTAAATGTGCGCTCATGAGGAGATATGTTACAATTGTGACTCACTTATTTTTTTCGTTTTTTCTTTTAAAATATATATTAATTGAACCATATTATTAACTATATAAATACATGAAAAGTTATGTTTCTTAAATATTATAGAAATATTTAATAGCTGAGTGTAAGATTAGACAAAATTAACATACATAATTCTATATTAATATATTATTATGCATCATAACAAGTTAAATATTTTATACAATTTGTATGGCCTTTGAAATTCTTATAGAATCTATATTACTGAAAGCGATAACACTGTATGTTACTTTCAAACTACAAGTATATTTATCTTAATCTAATTTTTAATAAAACTACTCAAGATATGTGACTTGATTTCTGTATTGTTAAAAGCTTTTCCGGAATTGATAACACTAAAAAAATATTGGTATAGGTGTCNAAGTATAACTTGCTTTCTTAAGAAAGGTGTGTAATCTGATCTTAAATCACAAATAGTTTATGCAATAATTTGTACTTAACAATGGTTATATATGTATTAATTGTAGATTCGGATTTGGAAAAAGTTTTAAATTATTTATTGAAATATTGAATTTTCATTATTAAAAAATACTGAAAAATCAAATATTATCACAAATATATTAAGTTCTTGAACTTATAAATCATAATATTTTTATAAATACTTTTATAATGATTGCTGATAATATACCAGGCAATTGAACAGATTGTTCTCATGTATCTAATCATTACCTAACCAGAGATTGTTGAATGATACCTGATATTCATTATATCTGTTCCGAATTTATGCGTTATCTGTACCCGGATTTAGAAAATCTAATTAGGATAGTAAAAATAGAAACCAGATATAACAATGAAACTTTCTATCTGATATTCTATATCAGCACAAGTATTCAAAATACATTCTAGAGACCACCTTAAGGATATTTGAACATTTTGGGATGTCTCTATGACATCTTTTGAACATTTGTGCTATATGAATTTATACATAATTTTTCTTATCAATTCTTCATTACAATCGAGATATTGCGGAAAAAAAGAAACGCAAGAATCTTCCATTTCAGCTGTGGCAGTACCGGTATAAAATCGTAATTTCCTGGACGTACTACATAACCGACACACGTGTATACGGCGGATACACGTGACATGCGCACTCACATGTAGTTGGTTGATTAGATGTTCAGCGCATCAGTACGACGGCAGAGCGGTTTGAGAAGCCAGTTCAGAGCTCGAGGCATTTTACAACGGAACTGTGGAGTGTCGTTGCGTTTCTTCACACTGTCCCTGACGACGATGAGCAACGATATCACGATCGACGACGTAAGCAATTACGGTTTTCTCGCGCGATGATGTGGCCTTTTTTTTCGGTATATATTAGAAAGTACATCGTTACAGTTTCCTGCTTTGAGGCTGAAGCATGTTTTCGTCAAGGACGAGGTCGGGCTCCTAAAGAAGATTAACGCTATTCTGCAAGGCGGTGCGAATAATTTGCAGGTACACGTATGCTTCATTCTTACGGAGAATTTCCTCTCTCTGTGAATATTTGCCCTATTTACCTGTCAATTTACCATTCTTGGTGCAGATAGTCACAGATTTTGATCTGACTCTGACGAAGCAACACATAAATGGCACACATTCACTCAGTAGTTTCGGTAAGCATGATCACCGGGTCTAAACAATATGCTGTTGGGTGTTTTTCATTTGGCGATGCAAATTTGTACAAGCATCATTTTGTTTTTGTTACATATTCAATGATTAATAAAATGGTTAATAAAGATAGGATGATACTTGTGTCGACTTGTGCCACTAAATGAATAGCATTTATTGTGTGCTAATGCAACACTAACAACACAATAAGCAGCATTAACCCCTTGACAAACAATGACGTTTGGGAGATGTCATTCATTTCATGTACCATTGTAGACTTTGACGTCTCCGAGATGTCAAGAACTGTCTCCGGTGACGCCGATGACGCCGTGCAGTATATTATTAGATTATTCAATTATTTCACTTGTGATTATTCAATTGTTTCACAAGCTTGCACATAACTTCATTGAGCAAAATTAAATTGTATTTTTCGGACGCATCAAATTCCGTTTTATTTGTATGTCAAGGGGTTAACATATAGAACTTGTAGCAAACTCTGACTGACAACTTGTTAAATTTTGAATTTAGGCATGTTTCGGAAAAGCAAGCAACTACCAGTAAAATATTTAGAAGAGGCTAAGAGTTTGTACGCGAAATACCGGCCCATGGAGATAGATCCGAACCTGTCTCTGAATGATAAAGTGAACGCTATGCACGAATGGATGACAACGGCACAAAGTCTGCTCAAAGGCATCGAGTTTGACTCGCATGAGATAGAGGAGTTGGCCCAATCGTGGGGCGGAATCTTGCGCGACGGTACGGAAGAAATATTTGAGAAGCTGCACAATGCACAAGTACCGGTAGTGGTATTTAGCGCCGGTTTGGGTGACATGGTGGAAGCTGTGTTGAGGTACCACAATGCTCTCTACGATAATGTAAAAGTAATCTCCAACTTCCTCAAGTATAACGGAAATCACTTGGATGGATTTAAGAGCGATTTGCTCATTCATGCGTACAATAAGAATGAATGTGCACTAGAGAAAGATTACGTGAACATGCTCGGAGAGAAGCAAAATGTTTTATTAATGGGCGATACGACCGGTGATGCTGATATGGTGGGGAAAATGGAAGACTCCAAGACAGTCCTGAAAATAGGGTTTCTTTATGAGCACGTGAGTATCTCGTGATTATTGTGCTCGCTGTGTCTATGGATGTCTCCATTACTCACTAAATTGAGAATGATTAAAATTGTCTAATCAGGCGTATCCGTTTCTACTTTTTCATCGTAACTGAATTAATTAACGTTCCTTTATTATAACTTAATCAATTGCTATATCGTTCGTATGTTAATATCCATTTTTTTTAAGTATAGACTTATTGAATCATATCGCGTCTCATGTATCTTTATTAATCAACATTCACATTAAAAGCATATTTAGGAATAAATACACCTAATTAAAAATTCTTAACAACTCTCGACCCAGTGAATGACGAGGCATCAATAGCATCGAATGTAGAAATATCACAGCATTATAATATACTTACGGAATTCTTCTATTTTCATAGGTGGATGACAGCTTACACATGTTCATGGACAAATTTGATATCGTTCTGGTCGACGACCAAACAATGCGAGTACCGATGGAAATATTGCAGAACATCTTGCAATGATATTTTGATAATGATTTATACGAAAATTTACTTGCGCCTATGTATGTACACTTGATTTAAATGCGCGGAAATCTTTTACGTACATTATAACATTATAATTCAAGATATATAGATTGTTCGACACTTTTACATTTGTTTGAGAAGCTCACTCAAAGACATTAATATATTTTTAACAATAATAATAAAATTAAAATTTATACTCTGGAGTGAGTATAATTATTTGTAGATACATCAAATAGAGATGTTTGAAATAAACTAATTTTCACTCTAGTTCGATGTCTAAGAAGTATATTTTTAGAATAATGTTATATTTTTTTACACATTATAAATTAATATATGCATGGTGCTGCAGCGTGCGAACCATGTACAATAATATCGATTATGACATTTAAGACGTGCGACGAAGCCAAACGATCTGCGAAACCTGAGCTACGAACGATTAATTGCGATTTGATATGATCTGTGATAACCGATGCTCAAGTTGAAAACAGTGTCAGTTTCAATGTTGAATGTATCCCACGTTACTAATGTCGTACCAAGAATTTTGTCGCAATAACTGGCCTCTGTCAGTTTTTTTCTAAAATAGCCCAATGAATATTTTAGCTCAGTGCTCTGTCAGAAATTATCTCAGAAATTAATTTAAATCTTCGAGTTTAAAATATTTAAACTCGAAAAATATTTAAGATATTTTGAGGGTAGAAAATCGAGAGACTGAAGAAAAAAGTATCAATTCAAAAGTGTGTAGATTCTAGTTTAATCAAGTTTCCACCAGAAACCTTTTTTATAGTTGCTATATTACATTTATTAAATTTAAAACAATTAATTAAGTTCAAAACAAAATGAGCACGCGTATAAAATTTTTTTTAGAATGCAAAGAAAAAATTGCTATATAGGAGCAGTTGACAAGAACGGATTCTTCGTTTTAAATGTTTCGCGCCATTTGTAGTTATCGACAGTTGAGTCGAAACATCGCTCGCTGAATATGAACGCTACCTTCTGGCCGCGGTTGAAACTTCTAAGGAGTTTCAAACCGTCGCGCGACGATCCGTGCGAACGTTAACTGTGCTGCGGATGATTTGCGTTGTTCTTTTTTCTTTCTCGTTGTTCCCACACAATCTGTCACCTTACGCCTTTCGTGCTGGTGCGCTCAGATACTTGAAAACATCGGGCAATGTTCGGTACTCGAGAACTGACAAGTTTAACCTAAAACTTACCTGTTACGAACGGTGTCCGGCAAATCGTTCGACATTCCTGCCGCTTCGACGACTCGTCAAGCACGACCCGGTCGTTTTGCTGAGAATCGACACCGATTGTGACAAACGCAATCGACGTGTTTTTTTTTTTAGAACAAAATCGAGCAACTTAACTACGTAAGAAGAGAATGACTAGAGGCTACACACGTCGACGCTGAGACAACTTCAGACTGATCGTCTCGAAGCATCTTCCGCGCGAAGATGCAGAAGACGCATCATGGCGCCCGATGAAGTGACGTAGAACCGTTTTTACATTCAAATTTTTCGATTTCAATTTTGCAAAAGTGCATTCTTACAAGAAGCTCAAAGTGAAACACAAACGGAGGAGAGGAACGTCGGCTGACGACAAAATCTACTCGCGATAATTCAATATGATCTGGTGAGTAAATTAGTGAAGATATTCCTTTCTTAAGAAAGGTCGGCATGGTTAAGATTCGTCGCACTCGAGTCTCTTTGTTCATTTGTGTCACACTTGGAAATATTAATTCGCAACACGGTCGCACGTATTGCAAAGAAAAATATGCAAATCGTCGCGGTGAATGTAAACGGACGACTTGCGAGAAGTCGCGACCCCTCCTCGCCGCCCTTCCTTGCCGGTCGAATGGGGGGTAGTCGTCGTGTCTCGGCTTTTCAGTGCCGGCTGCGAATATTGGAGTCGCGCGATCGTTCTCATGTCGTCATGACGAGCGCAATCTTTGAAATAACAGTGTTTTTGAATCTCGAATTGTGTCTGTAGAATAAACGAAACTTTTTTGCTCTCCCGTTTGTTTCCGGATAGAACCCGGCGCTAATCTCTAATCATGTCTGAAATCGCCTCACAATCAGACATCGACTTGGATAACGGTGAGTATCGCGCTATTAATTTCCAGTAAGATCAAATCCTACTAACATGCTTACGTAGAATTTCAGTAGAAGTTATTATTATTTTATTAAATAAATGGGAAAGTATAGTTACTCCCTTTTTTGTAATGTAAAAAATAAATAATAGATGATATATATAACATAGACAAGATATGAAATATTTTACGATTTAGCAAGCATGTTAGTTTGCTCTATAGCTTTAGTTTCGGAAAAACCCATTTTTTCCCAATTATGCCACGGATTTCTTTCAATTTCTGTGTTCCAAGGGTGCAAAAATTTGTCTGGAAAAATTCACATATGTTCGATCGAAACCTGCTACATTTTCTTTTTTTCCGTGAAGAAGATACGAAATCAAAATATCCGCGGAAAAATTGAGAGAAAAACAATTTTTTCCGAAACTTAAAAATTATACTTCTAAGCGAGTTCTGCCATATGTTCAAAAAATTAATAATATTAGAAAAATCATATTTGATCAAATTCTCGCTCGAATACACGATACTTTTTATTGTACCGTGTAATTAATTCAATTGCTTATTTATAAGAAATAGTGAATTTTCAACATCTGGTCAACGTAAATCTCATTTACTGACAGCGTTTTTTTCTCCTAATCGCCTCGATTTGTCCCGATATCGTGTATTTCGAAGTTTCGCCAAAATAAATGAGAAGTTTCCGGATATAAAGGATATACAGAAATCGTTCGTGGTAAATAGACGAAGTAAACAAAAACGATCCGTTGCTTTCAGTTTTCCAGCAAATATTTATGGAGTGCGATTCCTCTCTTTCAACATCGATGGCGTACTCGACGCTCTCCTTGGGCGACGAAGTGCCGATCTCCAAAATTGTCCAATACGTACAGGAACAATTACCGATCTGGTCGTGAGTATTCGGATGCAATTACTTCTCGGCGAACGCGACACGCGTCATCCTATGTTGACAGTCGAACGCGGCGCGACCGCGAAAACTTAAAACAAATTACGCGTACATCCATGGATCGATACAAGGACGGGCAATCGATGAGCGCCGCGACTCAACTTGCGTGTACGCGTTTCTTTTTTTTTTTATTATTTTTCTTTTATTGGCAATTATTCAATTTAGGGGAGTCGGCTCCAATGGCCTTGACTATGTACTGTTGAAATTATAGTTCTAGGTAAATATAGGTTTTAGCCGTCGATCATTGTTTATCAAAAAATGATTAACAAGAGAAGTTTCTCAAATAATACGATATTTTCTGACACTGTATGCATTAAAAAATAAATAATTGAGGGAGTTTACGCAGAATCGAAGTATATAAATAAAATTGTGCACGTTTATGGCTTCATCCCTCCCCTTTGTAACAATTAACCTAACCTCATCCCTTTATTTCCTTGACAAATATCACATTTTCGATATTATATAATTAATGTAGTATTTTAAAAATGCCAATAGACATATGAATTTTAAGAGAATTTTATTTATCACTCAACAGATTTAACACATTATGATAAACTGATTTATTAATGAAACAAAAAGGTTAGGTTAATTTTTAATTTTTAACAAAGAGAAGGGGCGAAGCCCCTCTCCCGCGTATATATGTGTACTGCTCTACTTACACGCTTCGGTTCTTCGTAAAAATTTCCCTACACTGTTTATTTTTTAACTCATTTGCATCATTCGAAAAGGTGGAAAATTGGCCCATATCACCAAAATATTTTTTTGTTGTATAAAGATAGAAATGTTTCAAAATGCATAAGAAACGAAAAACAAAATGGCGTACACAGAATTTGCATTATTTGCAAAGTGCAAATTTCTTGAAATTGACATAAACTTATTTCGGGACATCACTGTTCTGATGTACGGTATTTCAATACTTTTGTTCGTGCTCCAATAACTTTGTAGATTTTAGGACCAAAAATATCAATATCATCAGTGCAAAATAAACTTTCAATTCCTCTACAGAAATTTCTGTGAAACTCTGATCGTTTTTATCAAATCGATTAGTTTCCATTTCAATGTGTTCGAGAATTTTCTATCCAAGAAATAATCCATAAACGTTCTCTCTAGTAAAATTTGTAATATCCTTATATACACTACTAACAGATATAAATTTATGCAATTTAAGTTAATCATTTTTTTCTTCCCATTCAATCACTTACACTTTGATCACTATCACTATTGTCATTTTCAGAAGATTATCGCAATAATACGTCTACGTTTTGTAGGCCTAATTACTTCTTCATTACTATTAGAATCACAACCCTTCATTTTTATCCAAATTTTTTGTCTTTACCCGGAGAAATACTTTAATCCGTTTGCAGTCATCACTCTTCACTAACTGCGTGCATATGTGCTGTGGCTATGATGCACAAAACACTAGCGCGCATATCTGCGCTTCGGTGATGGCTAGGAAAATTCCGCGCATGTATGAGCTTATGATGCAAATGGGTTAATATACATATACAATATCAAGAAACATCGTATTTATGACACTTATTTTGTTTATAACTTTTCTATAAACAATGACCGACGGCCAAAAACTTTTGAATGTTACTCAAGACAATAGCCCTGACAACGTTGGTCTATTCTTTTTAGCTGAACTAGCTGCACTAGTTGAAAGAAATTTACATACACGTTGAAGCGTATAAAGCGTACGTACGAGATTCTCACGTTTTAGTGTACGTACCTTCCTTGAACTAATATAGTCAGTTTATCCAAAAAGAACAGATCACAAATTTCAAGGTCAAAGCCATTAGAAGTGATTCCCCTAAACTGAATAATCACTTACTTTTTATTTATATCTCGCACTGTCGATGCATTATTGGTCGAAAATCGCGCGGGTTTCTCGGCGATGCTTGCACGACAACGTCTACCACCGCATGTCTCTTAATCCTCACGAGAAGGAAAACCTACATTGCGACTCTACTTGATCGACAGGATCGAACACATATTAGAATTGTGGAAGTGTCTGACTAATGTTTCGACAAATGACCGTGTGAATTTGCGACAATTCAAGGAGGCGACGAAATGCTGGATCGCCAAGGTGTTACAGACTCAGACGCAGGACAACAACAATATAGAGAGAGAACTCTACAAGTATGCAGCGGAGTTTTAAATGCAAAAAAAATGCACGGAATCGCACATGTTACAACGTAGTGCGTGGCGATTATAGCGTCGTAACGTATCATAGCTGAGAAATTACCGCAATTATCGCGCTCTGAGGCGGCGCATTGGCCGGCTCTGCACTCGTGGAACCGAGCTTGTCGTTATTCGGATGGCTTTAAAAACTGTGGCTTTTGCTACAGAGATACGCGGCGGTAAAGGGAAGAGAAAAACACACGTATTGACGATTCTCGATCGGCCGGATCTTTTTCGAGAACGAACGGCGTGCGATAAACCGCGAGAAAATCGACGCGACTACGCGTCGCGTGGACGACAATGTAGCACTGTGGAAAGCACTGAACTGTAAATTCAGCACACGGAACGCCAGGCAACTCCGCAACGAGCAAAGCAACTTCAGACGCTCGGCGAGTATAGCCGGGTGCCTAGAGAAATTGATTGGAGGTTCGCACCGCGAGGTAGACTCTCGCGGTTTACGATCGGCATGATCCGTAAAGTCGTTCGAGCAAATCATTGTAACCACAAACAATAAGTACACATATACAGGCTCGTTACAACTAGGAAAATTAATAAATTGTTGAGGCCATAAAGAGCCACGCACAGATTTATTAGTGCTATTAAGGCGAAGATTAATTAACTCGTGATTGTCAAAGATTAAGATCGACTGAAATGTTTGATATTTTTACACACACACACACACACACACACACACACATATATATATATATATTATATATATATATATATGTATTTGTTTATTTATATATTGAAAAATTGTGTGTATAAACCGAGCTCTTTATGGTCCCTCAACAATTAATTAATTATTGACTACCTTTAGAAAAACGTTTATCTCGCAACTGTTTGGGAATTTTCCGACCTGAGATTGGATCATTCTTTTAGATCTACAACCCAACCTCAGTACGGAATATTCCCGACAGTTGTGAAATAAACATTCTACCGAACACAGTCATCTCCTCTAAGCGGCCGCGCGACGTTCTATTTACAAAAGCCAACGGCGACAGACACGGCATTCATTTTTCGTCCGTTCGACGTGTGTGGCGCAGCGTTACCGCGAACAATGCCTGAGTAGCGCAATTCGGCCGATTTTATCGCAGCTCTATTTGTCCGATCATCCTTTCATTAAGAGAATGAAAATTTATCCGCTATCCCGCAGCGCGATACGCGCGCACACACACGTATACTCTCGCGCAGATACGCGTACGCAATAACATTCTCGCGAGTCAGCTTACTTTCTTCGCTGCCGACTTCGATGTGTATAGAGCGAGCCGCAGGAGGGCGGGCGAGGTGTACGGCTTGTTAAATTTTGCAGGAACAACACGTGCCCCGCCGTTATGTATCCGGGGCCACGTGCACGCTCGTTAACGCGTATATAGATGTATGTACCTGTGTATGTATGTGTACGTGTGTATATCATATGTACGTGCACACACCGCCCGGCCGATCGCGTACATGTCATTATTCGCTTACGTATTATCCGCAACTGCGATAAGCAGCGGCACATTGCGGCTGAGCCACGGCTGTAGCTCCCGCGAAAGTACGCGGCCGGAGATCGCGCACTTCCTCCTCGTCGTCGTCGTTCCTGCCGTACGGCGAGAGAGAGACGATCCGTGAGAGGCAATACCTGTGTGTGAAATCGCTCGTGCGATTTCCATCGACGCGCGGCGTCGCCCGAGAACCGATGAAAGGACCGTTTGCTCGGCAAACAGTCCGCTTACGCGTGCGTGTGTATGGTGTGTGTGTATACACTCGCGGGTAATTCGAGGCGCGACGGTCCCGCGCACTTCCATTAAAGTGTCGCCGACTTCTCTTCGCGCCGATCTCAATTGGATCACACGTGCGCGCGCAAACCCGCGCACGGGCTCACTCGGAGCGAAGCCGACACACAGGTGTTACTCGCGGTCGAGCGACACGAACGTGTGGCAACTGGAAATCGGTGCGATATGCCCTCTTATGCAATTCGCTGGTGTTCAGTAACTGCTCGCCCATGTCTGGTGGTGGTTCCATTAACGCAGCGCACTCAGCTCGTTCTCGCTCGCGGCTGTTGACAGGGGAAGAGAGTGAGGGAAAGAGAGAGAGAAAAAACGAAAAAGAACGGCCCCCGGTTATTAGTTACTCCGCGATTGTCGTACCCCTCGTGGCGACGTGTACGCCGCGGAGCGTTCGTGCGGCTTGTAGCGAATCCAACGGCTCGATTATCGACGTAAACAAATGCAAGTTGGTAAGATAAACGTGAGTTTCCGGGCTTCTCCTCGGGGAGCTCGTCAACGCGCTGTATCTGCACGCTCCATGATAGCGACGGTGCACGCGAGTCCACGACGCCGAGCCGATTATGATTTGTGATCGGGACAAGAAGTAAGTGGCGAATTCGCGACGCAACGTGCAGCGAGGATTGTCTTCATACGTGGACGTCCGCCTCGGCGCTCGCGTGGTTGCCTTTCCTTCCGTCTCCTCCGTGAGCTGCGCACTTGTTCGCGTCGCGCTTGTTCCGCTTTATTAAATTGGAACACGAGACTGTAGAGAAGTGAACGAAGAAGTAAGCGGGGCTAATAAGAACCAAACGCTGCCTTTGGTGCATAGATCGACTAACCTGAGCACCAAAACCAGCATTCGGCTCTTGCCCAGGTATAACGACTGAATAAACATCAACTATCAGTAACGTAACGCCAGTGTTATAATTTCCCATTCAGTAATGTAACTGTTACATAACACCAGGGTTAGGTAATAACGACCGGTAAACGTCAACTAATAGTAATGTAACATCAGTGTTATAATTTCCCGTTCGACAATGTAAATGCAATACAACGCATGTATTATATAACAGTTACGTTGTTGAGTGGGAAATTATGATGTTGATTTTATGTTACTGTTAGTTGGTGTTCATTGTAGTTATGCAGTTGAAAGTCAAGTTGAAGAATTCAAAAGTTAATATCTTTAATTTAACTCGGTCAATTTGAAATGAGTTGACTTTTAATTAATTAATTTAAAGTGCACATAAATCTTTATACATGTTGAAATAATTCATTAATATTAAAATCATTGCGGGCTGCTTACAACATAAAGTAAGAAAAATAAAAAGTGATTCTAGTAGAATTTTTTTCGTCCCTTTGCGAGTGTTCTTTTTTCGTATGGAATCCTGAGGACAAAACAGACTATCTTTGTTCAGCATAAATTTAATCTACAATTAAAATGTTAATATTGCATAAGAGCATATACATGGATATATACATGGCTTCGCATAATTAACTTTTAACTTTAATAATTTAATAGGCCATTAACTTTTAACTTTTAGTTAAAGATAATAATTAACTTATCCGACCTTGTATGACACACGCGTTATATTGAATTTTCATTGTTGGAAGTGGAAAATTATAACATTTGATGTTACTCTTAATTAATGCTTACTGGGAGAAAATTACGATGACGTTAAAACGACTGTAATTCACTTTTCGATCATGATTCGATCATTTTCTCGTCACTTTGATGCCATTTTGATGTATCGTGATTTTCTGTTTCATTTGGGTGTTTGCCCCGCTCTACTTCTGATTTACTTCACTTTGTTGGACTTGGGAACTTGATAAATGCACAGAGTAACACGTAATCACCCCTTTTTTTCTACATAATTCACAGTGTGATAAGTTAATTTGATCGTAATTCACTCAAGCTCAATAAATATTCATTGCTCTCGATAGCTCTTGATAATTACGCGTACCAGGTATATCCTGCGCATACACAATGTAAGGAGATATAAAGCGGCGAGTTTTTATGCAGATGATAGGGTAAAATCAAGTTGATCCTTTGTTCTCTCGATTATTTCGCGATAGTCGTTTTTCCATGGCGCGCCGATTCACATATCGCGTATCAACGTATCGACAACGTAGCGGCTGCAACAGGTAACGTAATGTATGCAAATTGTAGAAGCACGAACGACGCGACGACAATGGACTCGATGAAGACGGACATAGAAAAAGATATCGCGGAAGTCGAACTCCGTATGAGACTTCGGAAATTCGACGAAGAGAACATTATCCTGCGGGAAGAGCTCACACGGGCCGAGGAATTAATTGCAAATCTCGAGCGGCAATGCAAAAATCTCGAGAATCAGCTGTACGTATTCCTCGCGTGCTCGGCATGAGAAACGTTTAAACTACATATTTGCCGACAAATCCGAGATCCGTTCACGAGCAATTGCGCACTTTATCGATGTAGGGATCGTTACACGAAGAAATATCAGCAACTTGAAAGGGAGAATGACGAGCAGAAAGATAAATTAGATGAGATGACGAGGAATGAGAAGAGCTACATTTCCGCGTATCAGAAATCTACAAAGAAATACGAGAGCTTGTCAAAGCAGTTGGAAGCCGCGGAGATCGAGGTATGGTCAGTTACTTGTTATTGCTTCGCAAGATGTGCAATTAATCATTTACTTCTTCATATAAATTTACATTTTAATCATGTTTATGTAAATTTTTTATGTAAATTTTCTTTATCGGTTGTAAATTTATATGTTTGCATTAGCGACGATGAGATAACGTCGAACTTTTATTTTTGCACACAGAGAAAAGGATATCTTTGGGTTATGATAAAATTTCTTTAATTAAAACAAATTTGTCTCTTAGAACGAAGCAAACAAACGAATATTTGATTCAACAAACAGGACTGCTTAGTTTCTCAACCAATAAATATCTTTACATCAAATAACATATTTCTTTTTATCCAAATGTTACGATGGTTGCCCCAAGCAATAAATTATTTGAAAGAAGTGACACTATGTTAGAATAATATTAAAGAACTTTTTATTTCAGTGAAACAGTATTTAATATATAATGGAATAATTTTTTTTATTAGAAACAAAATATTATTTTTTCTAAACCATACTGTATTTCTCTCGAATAATAAGTAATTTATTCTAGTAGATTCATTTTTATTCAAACAAAATGATATTTGATATTAAATTATATTTATATTAAACAAGTCAAAGTCAAACACGCATTATTAAATCCAAAGAAACTTTTTCTCTATGTACAAACCATTTTATTATCAACTAATTTCTGAGTATATTTGTATAATTCTCTATCGATTTTTGAATTGTGCAGAAACTTGTACGTTGCACAATTTTTTTACTCTTATTTTATTTATAAATTTAATATAGATACAAGCAATACAACCTCTAAAGGAAGAAATGGAAAAGATCAGTAAGGAGAAAAGGGACTGTATAAAGCAAGTCGCTAGATTGCAGGAGGAGTTCTGCGAAAAGGAAGAGGAATGCGAGAAGTTAAAAGTCACGATAGCTGAATTGCAAGACACGAACAGCAGTATGAAGGAATCATACGAATACACCATTTGTGTAAGCTCAAACATTGTACAGAATCAATTTCGCGCACGAAATATAAATCACAGTGATGCAGCGAAAGCGATATGTTGCAGCATCTGCGCGAGAAGAATCGTCAACTGGCGGATGAAAACATGGAATTGCAATCATGGTCGGCATTTCAGGGAGAAAGAGTAAATTGTCACAATCATTAATATTATAGAGACGTTTTCGTTTTCGAATTACACGGCAAGATTTTCCTAGTAATAATCGACAGGATATTTGCAATTCTTACAGTCGTCGATTCCGATCGCGGATGGATGTTATCCGCATAGCACACCTTATAAATTGGAGCAGATGTCGCTGGAAAATTCATTGTACGCGGAGCTGCAAGCTTCCGTAAGTAGAAAAACGTTCATCTCAGTAAAACGCTCTTTTATAACTTAATTACAAGCGATAATTTATTTCGTCTTTGCGCCGAAAGAAAAAAGTGTTACACAGCAAAAATTTTCACACATTTCACGTTCCAAACGGTCCACTCAAAATTTGGTCAATTTAACACAATTGAATACGTTGAGAAGTAACATAAATATTGTGACAGAAGTTTTCATAAAATTAATTTGTCAATCGATACTGAAGTATAAAATGTGTTATTTTAAATTTGCACATATTGAATCTCGACACAATACAAAATGTTGAGATAACATAAACACAATACGTTAATTTAACACATTGACATGTTAAAAATATAACACAAAAATGTTAACAGCAAAGGCCTATTTTAACACAGACACAAAATATTTTTTACTATGTACATTCAAAAGTAATAAATATTTGTCAAAGAGTATCGAAGTAATTATTTAAGTTGGATTAAGTAAATATTATTTGAATGTAGCACACTGAAAAAAAAAGTGCTACATATTCAAATAATACTTTATCCAAGTAAAATAATTACATTTATCAGAATGTAGCACTTTCTTCTTCCGGTGTAAAATTTCAACTTGGAGAACGAGTTGTCGGGCTCGTTTTAACAGGTGCCTCCGTGTTTCGAATCGCTTGTTTCAGGGCTTTACAGCCGAATGCAGTAGCAGGAGCTCGTGCAGGCTAGAATTGGAGGAAGAACTGGACTATTATGATACCGTGATCTCCGCGACGTTAGAACAGCTAGACAGGTCGTTATCTCGTTATCGGTCCGATGAATCTTCCCGTCCGACTTCCCCAATCGATTCTCGCTCACGACTTGTCTCTGCAATTAATTTCCAGAGTGATAGAAAACTTCACCGCGACATCGACAGACGGACCCCGGCTCGACTTGCCGCACACGGAAGATACCGGGATACGCAATATCGAGGCCTTGAAACGCAAAGTGGCTTTCCTGTTGCGCGCGGTTAGTTGTGTGCCATGGCGTTTTCATTTCGGACTATTCTTTTTCATCGAACTCGTCCCGGCGGGTCGATAAGAGCGCGACTTGCGAAAGGCTATCTCGACAGACGCCTGGCGCATTATCATAAGAGAACAGCCGTGGGCGACGAGCGTCTATTTTCATGACAATGACACGCGTGCACGCTCGCCGATCTCGCGATACTTTTTTGCCCGTCCGCGACCTCTTATCCGGACGCATCTTGGACCAACTAACGCCAGCTTGTACTCGTGCAGGTGACCGAGAAGATAACGAGTGGCAGAAGCAGCAAAAATTCAGGCACGCAGCTTCGAGCCGACTACACAGACTACGCGGCCGGGAGCACGGGACAATTTGGCATTACGAGTTTCCGGGCTGGCATGCTAACACGCGCGTAAGTCTAACGAGTCCCGTCAATAGCTTGGAACAATAGCACGGACACTTGCGCGACCATGTGCGAAGTTCCACCGCGCTCGCCGGTGTACTCGTGCAAACACACCGCCCGAAGATGATTAATTAATTAATTCCTGGAAAAAGAGGGGATCGCCGGTCGAATACTATTTTTCACGCGCGCAGGCAACGTGTGGAAGGCCTTGTTGCGCGCGCGAGAGAGAGTTTTAAAGAGTTTGTGCTCTTAGATTTTTACGAAGACCGAAACGCGTCGATAACCGGCGCGATAATTGTGAGATATAATCGGAGAAATAAACGGAGAAACTTCATCTGGTCAACATCCAAGAGGCGAGTTACCGTTCTCGCGAATATTCGGATCAGGGTCAAGCATGACAGCGGGGCAGTACATGTTTCGCACATTCTCTCTCTCTCTCTCTCTCTCTCTCTCTCTCTTTCTTTCTTTCTTTCTTTCTTTCTTTCTTTCTTTCTTTTTTTCTTTCTTTCTTTTTTTCTTTCTTTCTCTTTCTTCCTCTCAGGGTTCCCCATAAAAATAGCAGCTCTGTCCTACAGCTGTTACCCCCGCCTGTACCGCAGCAGCGCCCTCGAATGATACTCCGCGCAAAAATAACCGGGTCGCCCCGAATCTCGTCTTCTTAAATCATGATTACCAATCCGCTCGTTCCCTCTCGCTCACGCATCGCAACCGAAATATTCGCCGGTCGATCCCCGCGATTTGTCCGGGCAACCTTCTCAGCTTCGTCCTCTCGTAAATTTCCTTGGAAGTTCGAGAACGTTTACTTCAGGGGTTGATCCATCTTAAATAGTGCAATAATGAATGTTCTGATTATTCGACAATTTAAAAAAAAAATTTTCATTTTCTGTCAATTATTTATTACCGTAGTATATTACCCCTATATGTCAGTAGTTCAAGGTTGTCAATATTTTACCTTTACTCGCTTTTAAAAATGGCGGTCATATCTGAAAACATGACGGACAGCAGTTTTCAGAAAAACTTAAACCTGAGGTTACTTTTCAAGCTCTTATTCGAGGAATGTCCAACTTAAATTATAGCCGATCTGATTCTTATAAATTCTTATAAATTCGAAAAGGTTTATCCCAGATAAAGCGAAAAATCACAATGGCGCAAAAATAACGAGAAATCAACTATAAGAATTCACTTTTCGATCACTTCCTCGTCTTTTTGATATGTCACATTGACATTATTGTGATTTTTTGCTCCACCCGAAGAAATTCAGAAAGTCTTTCTCTCTCTCCTCCACATCGGAACGTCGACTTTTGCTCGAGGAGTGTCCGACTTGAATTACAACTGATCTGAAAAAGAACGTTAAGATTATGCGCGCTTATCGCGTTTATTCAACGCGGAAGTCGCGGATACGAGTTTTTTTTATCATAAATTACAATTGCTCGATTGACTTTTTTGCGCGCGAGCGAGAGAGGGAGAGAGAGAGAAAGAAAAAGACATCCACAACGGGTGGTAGGTCGAGTAGTAGGTCGAGGCTTGGAATCGATGCACCAGATATGGATATGTTGAGAAGTAACAGTTTTGCAAGCACTTCGTTCCTTTTTCTCTCGCGCGCACAACGCTCTCTCTCTCTCTCTCTCTCTCTCTCTCTCTCTCTCTCTCTCTCTCTCTCTCTCTGCCGAGGAATATAAAAATACGATAATGTGCAGCGTTTCAGGAAAATGATGCCGTGTCGCGTACTTTTTACGGATCGCAACGCGACCGCCACTTCGGTGTCGCGTATGCCCGTCGAAATATATCCCGGAGATCACCCGGAGCGCGACGGAGACGGGCAGCACTGCCAGGGGAACCTCGATTCACCGGGCGGGTGCAATCAGTTCGTTGCGAGTCTCGTTGTCGCGCGTGTCGCACCTCGAGAGAGCCTGCGTGTAGTGTCTCAAACGGTCTCGCGCACGCAAAGGAAACGTAGATTTTCCGTTCGAACGAAAAAACTTTCATTGCGGGAAAAATCATCGCGTTTCAAGTTTGAAATTTAGCGATGTAAAGTCATTTCTTATCATTATTAAATAATGTATATTCTCAGACACGCAGTTTTTAATCTCGAAAGGTTCCGACATTTTATTTCGTTAGCACGATCAATCGCGTCAATAAGAAATCCTGAAGTTAAAAATTTCAATCGGGACAAAACTTATACTGAAACGTAAAATCGTTGAACACAGTGTGTATTCTAAGACGCGGTTCTAAACTTTGAACAGTTTTATTTTGATATTTCGTTTTAAACAATCACATGATCGATCGCGTTAATAAAGGATTCTGAAATCGGAAATAAACAGTTTTTGTTGCGAGAAAATTTAAGTAAAATCCGTAAAATCTTTCGTTAAACAGTATATTTCTAGACGTGATCTTTTGAACCTGAAACGGTGTTGATATTAAATTCTATTGGCACGATCGATCGCGTTAACAAAAGATCTTATAGTCAAAAAATTTTATCGCGACAACATTTACTGCGATATGAAGTCGTTCTTCACTTAACATTGCTTCGTGCAGTTTTGATATTTTATTTTAACGGCGTGATCGGTCGCATTAATAAAAAAGCAATGCTCCAGTTTTTATCGCGAGAAAATTTACCGAGTAAAATCTATAAAATCGTCTTTAAACATTAAACGGTGTTTTCCCAGACGCGATCTAAATCTTCAACAATATTGATATTTGATTTGATTTCGGGTGTGATCGGTCGCGTTAATAGAAAATTCCGAAAGTCCCCTCGAAGATGAGTTTCTCCGATTGAGGAGTACGGCAGCATTTGGCAGTCATCTCGATTAATTTATGCGAGTCTCCGCCTAATATGGAGCAATGAGCAGCAATTAAAACCTCGAATGGCAACGATGAAACACAGACATGTAGGTGCCATAGATGCGGTGACACGCATCTGACATTAACCGCGCGTCGCAAGGACAGTTTGATTTGTCACTTTAACGGCATGATCACCGCGCTGAATCAATGCGCACATACGACAGTGGATTCTAATTAGTCGTATTTGTGATCTCCGCAAATTGTTTATCATCAAGATTGACCCCGTTGCCCGAAGACAACGTGGACGAATCACGGAACGCGGAACGGCAAGTGATAAGTTTGAACTTCGAGGCGATGAGTTTCCGCACGAGGACTGTGAAAATGCGTCGTCGTTGTTATTTCCCGTCGGTAGTCCGATCAACGACTGTGTCTAACTTCGTTATTACATAAACGCGGAGAGAATAAAGATGATCACCATTTCGAATTCGCTCAATGGATCCTGCCGATTGATACAGTCGATTACTTAAGCCGCTGATTATGTAAAGTGCCTCGTTTGCCTTTTCTCTTCGGTCCTTCTCTTTTTTTTTTTTTTTATTTTCATCTTCATTAACCGACATTTTAGCTACCAGTGTCTAAAACCGGATACGAATCTGCGGTCGACAGCTTCGCAGGACGTGAGCGATAACGTAGACGACCCATTTCTGAAAGTTATACGAGAGAATGCGAATGTCGTCTTAGATCGCAATATCATCGAAGTCATCGATCCCCTCGTCGAGGAATTGGACAGGATTATTGAGCAGACCATCAACTCGCCCGTTGTGTACAAAGATCTCGCAGCATCCGGGAATCCAAGGTCGAATTACGTAAAATTCTCGTACATTATGCAATATGATCGGCTCAAAATTGCCGTGAAATGATTGTTATGAAGAAAAAAACGTGTACGTGAGACATGAAATATTCCTCGTGTAAATGAGTCTGTTAACCTTTATTTTATTTAACTTCTCTTGTTTATTAAATGGAATTCGTACTTTTGTCGTATGTGAAATTTAATGCCTCTGGACATTTTTACATTATTTTCACAAGAAACAAGAGACCGTAAGAACTGATATTATTTTCAATGGAAATAGGAGTTTTTAAAAGAAATACGAGGATTTTAAGTGCAAAAATTCGTTTTGTTCTTTAATCATGATATACTCATGTAACATTTATTTGTTTTAACATACTCAGAAAAATATATACTGCGAATAAATGTTACTTATTTTAAAATTTCTACAGAGTTTACCAAAAGTGTGGAAATAATAGAACATCTCGGAAACGAAGTAATTGACCGAAAAATAGTTTAGACAAAAGTTGTAGGATTGAAGGAGGATTATTTTATGAGATATTTCCTATCTTGTACTGAAAAATATCAGAAAGTAAAATATCTCGAAAAGTATTCGCTTTTCGATGATCTCACCCTAATATTTTTATACCCAGAATGAACAGAGAAATCGATTTGTGTTAAAAATAACTACACGATTCCGCTTAGAAAAGAAATGTAGGTTACCTTGAAACGACCTTGAATTATTGACAATGAAGTTAATGTTATCAACTTATATTCTTTTCCAAATCCGCAACTTTTGTCCGGAACGTTTCTTCCTATTTTGCTTTATTTTTTTATATATCTGGGCCTCTAAAGTTAAATGATTCTATATTTTCAATATATGTATATATATTCTATGTTGAAAATTTAAATATTCATACTTAAAGACCAAAACAACAAAAATGTCCAGAGTTAGGTATGTGTCCAGGTATTGGTACTTTTACAACTTTATTTGCTACGTTATAACTCGCTCGACCAAGAGTTAATGACAATTAGATCGCTGTAATCTTGAACGAATGAATTCGCGTGTTCAGGTACAGGTCGGTATACACGTTGCCGTCGAATTCACAAGAGGTTTCTTCGCCGGGCGTGGAGGAAAACGCAAAGCAAGCGTCCAGTTACCAAAGTTCTCGGTGGAATTCCCTCGATGACGCTGCGAGCGGCGACGGTCTGACACGGGTGAACATCTGCGGGAAATCCGCGGAATTTAACGAGGCGAGGTCAACTCGTAACGTTCCCGACATCCGAGAGAGTCCGCCGCACACCGAGGAGACGTCACGTCCGCCGGGCGAAATGCCGAAGGTATCGAGTGCCCTGCGAATGGATTCAAAAACATTGGAGGTTACACCGGAGGAAGAAACGAGCACGAAGAACTTACAAGCGCCGGAAGTGACCGTTACGAGCCCTCTCACAAGTCCTCGCAGGAAGTTCTCAGTCTATTATCGGTCGTTCGACGTGGTGGAGGTGCGGGAGCCGAACGAGGACGATCAAGACGCGCCGTGTCTGGAGGTGAGACGGTCGCCGAGCAGTTCTCCCGTACGGGACGGCGAGAAGAAGACCGGCGATCTCAGGAACGATCGCACGCAAAACGACGCGCCTAGGTATCTGTTTAGTCACTCTTACCGCAGCGCGAGGAACGACAGCGATTCCTCGAACAGCTGCTCGCCCCAGAAGCAATTCTCGGACGACCCGCCGGACGACGAAGCGAACCCGATTGTACAACCGGTACCGAGAAAGATTTACTTAGCGCCCACGCGGCTGAAACTTACGCGAGAAGTCGGGCCAAGCGAAACCGTCGACGCTAAAAACACGAGAGACCGTGCTCCTACCATCACGAATTCTTCCGGCTGGGATGCGTCAAGCTCATTCTCCACCCTCGTCGACGGCGATAGATGCGAGAAGGACGACGATATCGCTTCCGTACACTCGTCTTCGACGTTTGTCATAGACAAATGCAAAACGTCTGCCCGGGACCTCTCGACGTCGGTTCGCTCGATTCCGCATAATCGAATCGGTAAGTCTTCGGATCTAGTTTGATTGATACATCAGTCAGAGCCGATCGTTCTCAATTAAATCGTTGACGCATCTTGCATGACGCTCAGTAGCCGATATCAGTTGGATGACACGTGAACGACAAAAAATCGCGTGAACGCGTTATTGCGCATTTATTGTCGAGGTGTGATACCAATTGGAGACGCTGACTACGCGGCAGCCTAAAACCGATTTATGCCCGTTTCTGTTATCATATTCAGAGAAAAAGATTTCTTTGAATTTAATAATATCTCTGTGATGCCGATAAAATTTACAGCAGATACTGCGCGAAATCTGCTTCTGCAGGTTCGGCTATCTGGGTAATTAAGTTATAACTATATTGTATGATATGTAACATTAATGGTTGCAATATTGAGATTTATCACATTGGTTTTACGCTAGTCATGCTGAAGTAGATTACGAGTAGTATTGATACGGCCAGGTCCCGTCCGGTTGGGGAGGTCCAGGTTCGGCTCTCAGCTGAGGTTGAATATTTTACGCAACTCTTAAGCCCGTATTCTGAATTCTCTTTTATCGATGAAAGACAGTTTGGAACATGGACCTTAGTGTAAATATAAAACAAAATATCAATTTCCATAGTTAGGTCAATCGGAGAATTATATAAATATATATAAATATATGTTTGTTATGTTATTATGTAAATATATACTAATTAAAAATAAGGGATATGTTTTAGAAGTTTTAAAAATTCTCCGTGTACACGGGGGAAATATTGTGGTAAATATTATTACAAAAGTTTGTAATGTTGGATATTATGCCGAAATTACTATCGAAAATACCACAAATGATATACATCACTACAGATTACAAGATACATCATAATTTTAACCATTATTCCGTTATGATCCAGTATTACAAAATTTTGCGGTAATTTTTCCACAATATTTTGTGTACGCAGACCAGAGAATATTTCGAATATAGGGTAACACATTCAAGCATTATATCCTTCAATATATATATATTAATTTTGACAATATTAATATATCTAATGATACCAAGAGATCCATGCTTTGCTTCTAAAAAACCCGTTAAATTTCTTCGTTTGGTAGATTACAGGTGATCAGGTTGCCATGTAAATGTAATCACTGATGACGCATTAACGGCGCTTATCGTTCGTTCAGCATCGTTGAAATCTCGCAGAAATTGTCCCTTTTCGTTAACTCAGCGATTGCATTTTCTCACGCAGATTCAGCGGAGATCGCAGATCCAGAGAATCCCCACTCTGGGACGGCGAGTGTGCGGAGAGACGTCGGCGATCAACCGACGCGCGTCGAGCCGTCAGTCGACAGCCAAATGTCGAGTCGCGAGGATACCTCGGCCGGCGAAGACAGCGAATGCGAATCGGCGAAGCCTAGTGACCGTTGCGTCGACGGGAGAGTTACGATGGGAGCGAGCGAGGCTGACCAGACTGCCAACGCCGCGCTGCCGTTGGTCGGCTCACCGATGAAGAAGATGCTAGGCGAGAACGTGGTACAGAGCGATGGGAAGGCGCGACGGGAAGCGCGCGACAGGAACCTGTTCGATGCGAAGCAGGAGAGACGACAGGTTGGTGAATACATGAATAAAGAGATAGACAGATAGATAGACAGATAAATAGGTAGGTAGATAAATTATAATTTGAAAAATACCGGTTTTTTAATCGCCAGAAAGAAACAAGAAAAAACCGATTTTTGCGAAAAATGATTTCTTGTTACTTAAATGATATGTTGGATAGTTTTTAATGGCTTTCATGTATCATGTAATCCAGAAAATTAAATATATATAATCTTATTTTTGATAAAATTCCTATTTTTCCTTTTATCTTTAATTGTGAACGGTAAATTTATGTTAAAAAAGACGTCTGACTCCATTAACAAAATTAAAGTTGACTTTGAAATAATGTTAAAAAAAATTGTTTAATAATATAATAATATAATAATATTACCACTTTATATCTTCCACGAAATCTTACAACCTTTGTCTGAGACTTTTTTTCAGATATAATAATGCATTTCTTTCAAAACATTAATCTGTAAGACTTTATATGGGTCACCTAGTAGTTACTTCTCATTAACACGGATTTTTTTTAATTACGTGCACTCGATAATATTATATTATATATAACATATATTTGTCCTCACAATGTATTTGATTGTATAATTCTTTGAATATAAAATTTATTATTGTTGTTATTATTGTTTAACATACGACACATTAACTTCATTTAACTTCAGTTAAGTGCACGCAATAATCTTTTTATGGAAAAAAAATAATATGTAACAGATTTCAACCGGACACACGTAAATTTTTTTAAATGAATTTCTCCACCTCTGGCGGAGAAATCGAAAAATAGTCCGCGTAAAAGTAGAAAAAACCGGTTTTTTCGAACTTTTAAAACTATAAGATGGATAGATACAGCGAGAAAAAAAAATTAATGTTATTAAATTATAATTATCTTTGGCACCGATTATTTACTCATCGTTCGAACAAAAAAGTAGTAGCAATATGAATATATTATTTGCTAATACTAATAGTAACTATAATACGAATACTATAGTTACTAATACCAATACTAATACTACAGCAACACTTGTGACAAAAATTATCCGATTGGTTACAATTTTATCGATATTATAGTTGCAAATACCAAACACTTTTCTCTAGTATAGATAACAATGGTTTACTATTAACCACTATTAACTATTCCAGGGCGAGTTTTCCAAGAATATATTTACATGCAAGAATTTTGATCCTTAGGCATGATAAGAAGGTATCAATATTGAATAATGAACACTTGGTAGTTCAGCACGCGGATCAAACTGGTAATCGGGACGAGTGGCTTTCCGACAGCCGCGAGCTCGTTTATAATTAATAGACGATGTCTTTCGGAAGCATCTCGCGCGCACGAAATGGGAAAAGCGAGGATCGATTTAGCTGGCAGCGCCTTCGGAACAAATTGAATCGGATGGGACAGCGCTGGCGCGCTTGAGCGGCTCGAGTGTCAACGAGCCGTCAATCGCACGGGAGCAATTGGGTTGATACTTCGCTTTGCAGAAACGCGCGAGGTGCAACGTGCGAGGATGGCTCGTCAGAATCCGAGTCCGTTAATCATGTGCCGCGCAATTAAGACCGCCGCTATCGATAATTGCGGCGTTAAGGGGGACAATCGGCGGACGGCCGATAAATTTGCGGTCAATTGACACTAATTACTCGTGTACACGCATTTCGTTGTCCAACGTTCAGCAGCGAGTGGTCATCGAGATTCCGTATCGCAATTCGTTAATTAATAACATGCGGCTCTCTCGGGCTTATCTCTGGCGAAAAATAGTGCGCTCTCCCCTTCCTCTCCCCCAATTGTACTCGTGTTTACATAGTGGCGCACGAACAAGCAAGGAGGGTGTGTATCTCGTTCAGCGCGACGCTCAAAATAGCTAAGCTCCCGAAAGGTCCCCCGTGTATTATTTTTAACGCGCACGCGATGTCTCTCTCTCGCGTGCACGCCGCGAGTGCTAATTAATTTGTCATCCGCAGAGCCTCATCCTTACTTCGCGCCTGCCGATTCACCGGTCCTCGGCCAACCAAGCCGTATATTTACCGTGGAAACACACCGGGACGTCTTCCCGCGATCATTTGCATTTAATCGCGTCTATTTCCGCGCCTCTTCGACTACAAACCGCTTGCTATATATAGTTTTATTTTGCGGCGAGCGTTAACGAGCTTCGAAGACTTCGCGAACGGTGGGGTGATTTGATTGATTTTTAAACGTTCGTTAAGACTGATATTAAAGCAATAATCTGTACCTGCGTGTGCAATACACAGAGTGAAAGTACAATATCCGGTAAACACCAACTAACAGCAACGTTACAACAATGTTACAATTTCCCACTCAACAATGTAATTGTTATTATACGCTGAAAAAAGAATTTGGTAACAATTCGTATGGATTTTATAAACATTTGACATATAATTTATAAATGCAAAACTGTTACTTGATAATATAATATTCCGAAATATTAAAGTCATAGTGTAGAGATATTAAATTAAAAATTACTTTTAAAGGTTAGGCCAAGTATTACTAACAATGACGTTATGTGTAACATTAAAAACTACATATGTGAAAACGTTACATGTTATAAAATATCATTGTAAATAATGTGTTAATGATTTCTTGCTTACCGAGATACTATATTGTACTTTAATTATATTGTTGAGAGAGAAATTACAACACTGATATTACTGTTAATTGGTGTTTACTGGACAACTAGTACTCCTTTTGAATATCTCCGAAAAAGAAGTGTTTTATCAACAACCAGATGGAAATGAAGAAAATCGTCATTTCTCAGAAGGTGTTCAAGGCGGTTGGTATATCGATGTAATTTCTGTTGGATAAATTTTCTTCATTACTCATATTTCAAGGTGGCAATAGTTCATGCCTTACGCCAGTATTACAAATATACGCAAATTGAATCCGCGATCGACTCTTATTGTCCCGATTTTTTATACCGTTTGATTTTAATCAAAGAGCCTTGATTAAAATCATATTCTTGATTATTTCTCCCGTCTTGCCGGCGTAGCTCCACACGAACTTTTTTCCGATTGTAATTAATTATATTAATCACAGATGTGTAACGAAAAATTTCACGACAAGGTCGCTCGTGAATCTCTGCCTTATACGTCAGCTCGCGACACTTTTATGTATGCGCCGGTGCCTTGCGACTTACCCGTCATTACCACACTAAATTAGTCGACCACCTGTTGAAAAAAAAACCAGGTAGATTCCCGTGGAAACCAATGGGAATCCAAAGGAACTCATGTGGGAAATTCAAAATTCAAAATCCGTATACACAGAAACAAAGATTTCTTTGGATTTAATGAAATTTCTTTAATTGAAAACAAATTTGTCTCTTGGAATAGAGCAAACAAACGAATGTTTGATTTAACACATGGGATTGTTGGTTTCTCAAACAATAAATAAATATAAATATCTTTACGTCAAATAACATACTTCTTTTGTATTTTCATCCACATTACATTTATTGTCATAAGCAATAAATTATCTGAAAGAAGTAACACTGTTGGAAAAATGTTAAAGAACTCTTTTTGTTTCAGTGGGACGATATTTCATACATAATAAAATAAATATTTTTTATTGAGAAAACACGAAATAGTTCCTCTAAATAATACTGTTTCTTTTTTTTTCTATCAAACAACGCGATTTACTCTACTGAAACAACATTTTTACTCGAACAAAATAATATCTGATATTAAATTATATTGTTTATATTAAACAAACCCAAGTCAAACAAATGCATGTACTAAATCCGAAGAAGCTTTTTCTCTGTGTAGGAATTTACATGGATTGTTACGTAGAACCTGAATTCTTGGCCTAAATCTCCTGGGGGGATCATGGGATTCCACATGGAATTCTTATATGGATTTCCTACCGGTTTTTTGTTCTCAACAGAGCCATGTTGCCTACGGTGTAGCTATGCGATAGTAAAAACGAGAGAATCATACACACACACTGTGCGTATGTTGTATTTTATTCTTCTCTTATTTTTCTCTCGGCAAATAACATTAGGGCTCATCGATCGTACAGTTATGTTCGCATGAATTTTCGTTGTTCGTCGAAGCGCAACGTCTCAATAATGATACCTTCGCGAATTCTCTCGCGAAAACTCCTGCGTGGCATAACCGTGGGCTCCTCTCTAACACAAGATATTTCGCCAGAATACCACGGAGTTATAAATATTATATCGAAGTACGCGGGTAGAGTCAAACGCACGTGCCCCGTCTACATCCGGCGGTCTATCTCGTTTGATACGAGAAATAATATTTGCGTTAGAGGTGCCACGTAAACATTCGACAGATATTAGTAGAAAACCGGGGGCAAGGCCGCGGCGACTGTCGAAATTCTCACTTTCCAAAATCCACCGTTCTCTCTTTCTCTCTTCGCTTAATGATATATTTATAGACAGTGATTAATCAGTCGTCGGTGCGCACGAAGTCTTAACGATGAAGAAAGACAAGAAAGATCAATGCATGTATTCAACAGAAAAAGCAGCTTAGTAACCCTTACAAAAAAAGTATTACTGGCTGGCTGATATGTTGGCCAATGATAAATTATTGTTGCTCAATAGTTTCGCTCGTACTCACAGCCACTGATGCTTCTTTTGTAAGGGAAACGCCTTGTGATTATTGCCTGTGACTCGAGTATCCTTTTAAATCTTCTCCAAAGAATCCAGAAGAATGTACCAATCGGAAGGAACAGTCATAAAACACTTATTAAGATAGTTGTAGCATAAAATTTTACAAGTGTGCTCAATTGATCACAAATGTTATTTTGTGATTATATCTTTTTATTTGAACATATAACGCAAGATTTCTCGGCATGTGTTTTCTCGCTTTTGAACAAATCGTTATCAAACAAGGACAGTTACATGTAAGAAATGCATGTAAGAGCCCTTAATATCGCCATCGAAAAATGTGCAGTCTGCGATGCGACTAATTAAAGCTGCTTTTTCCACTGAACACAAGCATTGAAAGCTCGCGCACTTCTCGACACAAACTTAGCTGAGTCGAATGACCACACGTTGTGCGGACACGTGTGCGGACTTTGCTTTGCCTCTGACGTATCTACATAACTTTGTAATTTTATCTCGATATTATTTTACGATATTATTTATGCAATGGAAAAGCGCTTGTAATACTGTAACACGGGTGTTATGGCATGCGGTCTTCTTTTTTTTGTTGCATTCTCGTTCCTCTCCGATAGCATTTATCCGAGCGCGATAACGCCTGCGATCCGTAAGAACGAAGGTCATGTTACCACTGGAAGCGCGATCTGTGCCAGCTACGGTTGTCCTTATCGTTACGAACTCCCCTAATCTTACATATGCAGTGATTGTTAATCGGCGGCGGTCAAACAACAAGCGCAGCGACTGCGCTCGCGCGCATTTCCTCTCACGATGCTCCAAGTCGCCTCCGCGGGCTAATTTACAACGAGATTTTTTTTCTTCTTCGCCCATAATATTTGTCCTCTATAATTATTCAGACCCAATATATAGGTTCACCGAAAACTGTGTTGAGAAGAGGGAGTGTTCACAAATGAATGAACAGAAATGAACGGGACCGAACACAAATCACATTTCCGAGATAACTTAGTACAAAACCTAAAACTGGGACATAAGATGTCTTCAAGATATCTTTGAGACGTCTTATGTCCCGATTTTAGATTCTGTGTTCTCTGAAAACATTCGTATCGTGTCTCTCCTAGTATTAGGATTACAAGAAACGTTATATTCCGTTTGCTGTTGCAGCGACGTTTGCTGGTGAGGAGATCACTTTCAGAGGGTGAAAACGATAACAACAACGGCCGAACATTATGCCGTTGCAGGCGACACGACGGACCCCGAACTGCGCCTCTGATTCAAACAGATGATCAACTCAAATCCTTCCCGAGTCTCACGAGCGTTCATCTGCAGGAATCTGGAATAGCCAACTTACCGGATTCGGAGTTCAGTAGCAGGTGAGTGGAAACCATTTGAATACCCAGTGAACATCGAATAACGGTAACGTTACACTAATTGCCCGTTCAACAATGCAATTGTACGAAAAGTTACATTGCATTCACATTGTTGAGTGGAAAATTGTAACATTGTTGTAATGTTACTGTTAGTTGATGTTTACTGGGAATCTATTATAAAAAAATATCGACTATTTTGTGATTCAGGATTCTATACAAAAAGAAAAGAGATGAATAAAATATTGCTGATATTTTTTTAATTTTTCTATTGTAAATAGAGATTTTAATACTAATGAGTTATTTTAATTCGAACAAAAAAAAAGGGAAATAAATTGAAGTTACTGCGTTTTAAGTAACTAGTTTAAATCAAAAGTTATTAACTTTTTAACTTTTAACTGATTAACTAGTTATTACCCAACCCTGATATGAAATATGACTTTCTCCCGTATGATTCCTTTGATTGTGCAATGATTTGATTTTCAGGGAAAATCTGAGCGAATTCGAGCTGCAGGTAACTGAACTTACTCTCTCTGTCCAAGAATCAACTCATGTTAACCGGTTACTTATCGCGGAACCCTCGATTACAGAAGAGATATACGGCGTTCTCCCTGTGCCTGTGTACGGACCGACTGACCCTGTCGCGAAGGATGGAGGTATCGCTCCGGCAACGTGACCAATCGGAGAGGAATCTTGCCTGCGAGGTGCAGAAGATGCAGCAGGACATTCAGGCAAGCGAGAACAGTGACAAATAATAATAATAATAATAATACCTTGTCGCTGATTATAATTGTTGAATATTTGCGAACTTGGAACGCGTGAAACGTTCGTTAAAACTTGTAACTTGCGCCTGGATTTTGTCCATGCGCGAAAGAGAGAGAGTTGGCGATTCTAAGCTTTTTCGTAGTCGTACTCGCACGGTTCGTTGAAGGGATTGAATTTTGCGTAACGTCAGGAACTTGCGCCACTATGCACGGACAGGGAATCCGTGGAGAGGGTGGAGAGGGTCAGGCACCAGCTGGACATGGTCGCGCGGTGCGCGCACCGAGTGTCCTGCGCGGCCGAGACTCTAGGCGCCATGCACCAGGAGCATAGGGTCTCTAGGGCGGTTTTCGTGGCCGATAGATACCTGCAGCTGCTGCAGTCCAGGTGCGAGAAGCTGGTCGCCAATGTCGCCGAGACCAAGTGAGGGTCAGATTTATCACCTTACCCTCTTGTTCGCGTTCGACTTCCATTCAGCTTTCGAGGCCACCGTGGTACCTGGTGGCTTTCACGATGTAACGTCACACACAAACGCGTCTTCGACCCTACATTTGTGAAGATTTTACACTCCTCGTTCTCGACAGTTAATCGTAATCTGAGATGACTGTTGTTTGTACGCGAGAGGACGTGCCGAGTTGAAATATTCTTCCCGTTTCCGTGACTTGAATGAACAACGACAATGTCAGTGACGGTGTGCGCTGTTCATTTCCAGACAAATCCTCATAGAGAACAACATAGTGATAGAGGAAATTTCCGGCGAGCTCGGCGACGATCTGCCCCGGATCCGATACAGGAGCGGTACACCCGCCAATAATCGTATGATGGTTCGAAAATATTGAGAGAATTCACGTTTAATCGCTTTCCCCGTTGACTTCTCCCCGTCGCATCACACAATTCCACGTTGTACTCCACGTCGCTTCGTCGATATTGTACTGTTGTGCACGATTTTGCAAGAAATTCGCGTTCGATTCGGCCTCATCACTCACTCATTCACTCGTTTACACACTCACTCATCCACTCACTCACTGGGCTTACTTCAAATTTTGTAATAATTATCGTATACTTTCACTCACTCACTCACTCACTCACTCACTCACTCACTCACTCACTCACTCGGCTTGCTTCAGACTAATCTTTCTTCTCCACCTCGTCTTTCTCTCGGATTAATCAGTGCGTTTCTCCGTCGATATTTTTTTCTTTCTAGATGGCTAGAAGGAGAGCTAGCATTGCGACAATGTCTCGACCGATGGGCAGTACACAGGATGTGATAAAGGCAATTTGTCCTGTTCACTTTTATCGTCTTAGCTTTGAGTCTCCGCTTCCGCAGCTTCGGTGCTTCGGTGCGAATCGAAGCGGGGGTGTTGTGCGTTTTGCGCCTAATTAATACCTGATGATGCTTAGCACAGCTTGCTCACCCACTACTTCCCCTTTTGCTCTCTTTACGTTGTCTCTATATCTCTCTGTTCTTGTGCTCAATGCAGGACACTGTGAGACAACGAAATTCCGTTTCCGGACGCGTGACTCTGAGGAGGCCGTCTCTCAGCTACGAAACCTCGAAGTGGGAAAACGAGAGGCTGGGCCGCACCGAGTTAGTATCATTATCGTTGCTTTCAATGTAAATGTCTAAGTATTAGGGGTACCTAAATGCACGGCTTGTGTAGAAACTGATAAGAGTAAGAGTCTTGTAAATACTTGATTATTTACGGGCACCCCTAATACATATCCAAACGGCATAAATGTCCAAAAGTCGTCTCACAGATCTTGGGAAAATTTCATTGTATATCTAATCCTGAAATATCCTTCCAATTCTTTATTCTATCTAATACATTCTCTATTTTGTAAATTATTTATATTTAATTATATACATTATATATATTATATATCTATATGATATTTTCTTTTCTCTAAATTATCTAATTCTACTTGTGTTTAGACGTCTTTTAGAAGTCATCGTAAGAGATGACGTTCTCTTTTGTTTTTCAAGTTATGTCATCGTGAGATGCCTTTGAGACATATCTCAGACATTGTACTATCTGGCTAAAAACGCGAATGCCAACTGATAACTCAAAGTCATTGTCAAGCAGCAGTTCAAGCAGCATCGGCGAGTTACGGGGTATTTTCGAGCACGCCGAGTCCCGACGTAGCTCGAGGGAGGAGAACAACAACATGTTACGGTTAAGCCAATCCAACAGCCAAAGTATAATAAACTGTGCCATCATTGACGACGAGATTGCGACGAGTCCGAAGCAGGAAACTTGTTCCGAGCTCCTCTCCGTCAACGAGGAAGATCTCGGTCGAGATTGTAGACCGTGGTAATCATCTTCTCCGCTCTTTATCTTGATCCCGTTCCCGATAAATAAATTAGCATCCGTACATCTCGGTCGAGAGATTCGAGCAAACGGAGGGAATGTTATTAAATGAGAAAAGTTGCATCGAGTGTTTACCAAAATCCTCCCGTAAACGCAACCATTTCTTTCAGCGCAACATCGCAACAATCGCTTCGGCTAAGAGGTATAGTTACGTCATGGCGTGTAATATTGTGCAGCGTTTTAATCTTCTTCCTTGGCTTCTACGTGAACCGCGTTGTATCCGCGGTGAACGCGTGCGGCGTCAGTGACCCGTCAGATGAATGGTTGATCGAGCAAATTCTCAAGAGATATTTTCGGACGAGAAACGTGATGCCGCATCCGGCGTGAATCGTACGATGTCATGTGACGGTTTATATAGTTTAGCTAATTGTTATACTGATAAGATGCCGATAAAATAAATAGTAAGACTCAATGTGTACTGTCACTTATGTCAATTATTTCAAAGTGTGAAAAGGCTGAATAAATTTTTAAATAATTCCCGCGCGCTCGTCCCTTCTAACGCGCCTATCCTCCGCGACGATGCAGTCGCACGTACCGCGATTGCGCGTCTACTCGAGACGATATATCTATATTTAAAAAATTATATTCATGTACAAGAAACAGCGGAATTTAAATTAGTGTCATATCTTGATTGGAAAATTCGAACAAGATACTGAAGGTAGTACTGAAGAAAGAAAGAAGTGTTTTTAATGTGTTTTTAGTGTATTTTGGAAATACTTGGTTTTAGAAAATTTATTCTTAATCAAGTTAGAAGGATAAAATATACGTATCATAATTGATTTTTCAAGTCTGTATAATATTAATATTCGCGTGTTTATGGTTATTTTTATCACACTAGCGATTGACAATTGTAAGATAAGGCATTTATTAAGTGAGTCACTAATCTTAATCGGTGGCTGCTTTGCTCTGATTGGTTGAGAAGTAATCGCCAATCGCTAATGTGATTTGGTCTAAACGGGATATTTCTAAATGGCCATTGGATACTACATCGCTCACTGAGTGTGAATTCTTGCATCCGATTGGTATATTCTGGTATAGATCCAAAATTATGTACCAATCAGATGCATCAGCTATCTGAGCGCTCAGTGAGCAGTTGTAGTACTAAATGCATGCATTAGATTGCGTTCGGAAATACATACTGAAAGTAAAATACTATTTAATTGACCAATCATGATAAAGAAATCTTAGTTATTTCTGCTCTGATTAGTCAATTAAATTCTCTGCCCTCAGCGTAGTGTTTCCGAACGCAACCTAGTACTCGAGGTGTCGGACGCGTCGGCCAGTCTTTCTTCTGTTCTCGCACTTGCAAGAAAGAAATAACGTAAGCACATGATTTCGACAATATTTCGGTTTTTCTCACGTATTTGCAATTGCTAGCTAACTCTGCATGCTTTTTGTTTAAATACGCAACGCGAACTAAGCACAAGCAGTTAATTATTATCTCTCTTAGGATATTTCACCGCACATTAGGACGTTTTATACAGGGTGCCACGTGTAGTGTTATTGCTTGGTTAGATTCTTGTAAACGTTGAATTGTGAGATTATCAGATATCTTTCAAGCTCTTGTTATTAATTATCTAGAATTACATCGCTTGATTTTAGTATATCTTTTGTGTCTAATTAACGATTGTATTTTTATGCACATATAGTGATTATGGCAACATATTAGGCATAGTAACTATCAGTATCATTCACAAGATCAATATTTTTAATAAACTGAAATCGTCAGAAAATAAAACTTGATTTTTCTTTTTGGCGGTCGTATTTATGATAGAAAAGATTATTTTAACTAAATTTAGTGTTATGTTGGGATTTTGTTCTTTTTCTCTTTGTTACTAAGTTTATATGGTTATTTCACTACAAAAATAAAACGTACAATCTAACTAAGACAAACAAATTTAATCTTTTACTTGATTATAGAATGGCGGACGCTGCTCCAGCCGCTCGTGGAGGTTTCCGTGGAGGTTTTGGCTCTCGTGGAGCAGGAGGTGATCGTGGAGGCTTAAGAGGTCGAGGACGCGGAGGTAGAGGCAGAGGACGCGGCCGTGGTCGCGGCAAGGAAGATAGCAAAGAATGGGTCCCTGTCACAAAGCTTGGTCGCTTGGTCAAGGAGGGTAAAATTCAGACGCTAGAACACATCTACCTGTTCTCTTTACCCATCAAGGAGTACGAGATCATCGACAAGTTTCTTGGAGCAGATCTCAAGGACGAGGTTCTGAAAATCATGCCTGTACAGAAGCAGACCAGAGCTGGTCAACGTACTCGTTTCAAGGTAACTAGTAACCTTAAGATTTCAAGTACAAAGTTTACTTGAAATTTCAGTTTATTATTGGGTGCTTTCCATTAGTGACACAAGTCGACACAAGCCTCATCATTGCAAATGATGCAGTTTCAACAGAAATGCTTAAAATATTTTTTGTAGGCTTTTGTGGCGATTGGAGACAGCAACGGTCACATCGGGCTGGGAGTAAAGTGCTCCAAAGAAGTAGCCACTGCTATTCGTGGCGCCATCATACTGGCCAAGCTATCGGTGGTGCCGGTACGACGTGGGTATTGGGGTAATAAGATCGGCAAGCCGCACACGGTGCCCTGCAAGGTCACCGGTAAATGTGGCTCTGTGCAAGTACGTTTGATCCCGGCGCCCAGAGGTACCGGCATCGTCTCCGCACCGGTTCCCAAGAAGCTGCTTCAAATGGCCGGAATCGAGGACTGCTACACCTCCGCCCGAGGCTCAACCTGCACACTCGGCAATTTCGCCAAGGCTACTTACGCTGCGATCGCCAAGACATACGCCTATCTGACACCGGACTTGTGGAAAGAACAGGCTTTGGCTAAAGCGCCTTACCAAGAATTCGCAGACTTTCTGTCAAAGAATCACAAGGGAGGCACTAGAGCAGCTGACGTTGTCTAAATAAACATACGGCCCCCATGGGAGCTCTTGAAAAAAAATGTAGAAACACAACTTGTAATTTTTTTCCTTCTCTCGCCATCCACTTCTGTAGAAGTTTATGCATTACGCATTTTAATACATTATTAACATACAAATGACGATTACACTCCTTGGTTTTTTATTGCGGGGTATTGGACTACATTGTGTTCTTACTCAATATATCAATATAAAATATTTCATGATAGGGATGTAAAAGTTATTTTCTTTTGCATAGATTTATATTCTGAAAATGTAACAAGATGTATATATTTTCGTTTACATCTGTTGATACATTTAATAAAGACAACGAAGATTCATTAGTAACTTTTTGATTTACTTAGAAAAAACATATATCACATATTTCTAAGATATAATGACTATAATGTGCTTTCAAGATTAGTTTGTTTAGATTCATATTTCTCATATGCTTTATCAAATGTTTCTATAGTGTGATCGCATATTTTCGCAAGATCTTCGAGACCCTGTTTCAGTAGTTCATATGCATTTCCACCCTTTGTTTGAATCCTTAAGAGCATTTTTGACTCGGCTGGATGTTCAAGAGTATAACCACACATGGTTACTTTAGGGCTGCAAAGACAAGGTTTTTTATGTTAAATTGTATTCTTCTAACGTATAATATAAATATTGAAATATCCATTATTCATACAATTTAAGTGATACATACTATTGGGATATCACATATCTGAGAGCATTTCCCAAAGTGTGTCCCTCATCCAAGAAAACAAAGGTTTTGGATTCAACTCCTTCCTCTGGCAACTGCATTTATAAAAATTGAATAGTAACTTAAAAATTTTTTATTTTTTAAGTCATTAGTGTTACCTCTAAAAGACGACCCATTATAAATTGTAGTTTATGTGCTTGTTTACATCAGCATCTCACGCAAAATAACCTCTTCCTCTCTTCGGATGCTCATGCCGTTCTGAAATCCGCGACATTGCACGCGAGGGCAGCGCCGGACTTCACAAGTAAATAACCGCCTAACCTGACAATCATAATCTAACCTCAGCCGCACTGTGAACACGCATGTGATCGTCGGACGGCAAATCGACCTCGATACGATGCGTTTGAGTCAAATCTACAATATTGTTCATCGGAACGTTGGGTTTCAAAGCGTGTACGCGAGACGGCTCTTTGCCTCCACGAATACGGCGGAGTCGAAAGATGAGGTCGTCGACATAACCTCCGCCGACGAGAAGCCGATCTTCTCTGAGCCGGATAATGAGGAGTATCACGCGGAGATCGCCAGGAAGCGGAATAAATCCCGCTTAAGTCCCGAGCACAGAAACATCCTCATGGGCGAACGTCCATATGACGGCCCGAAAGAATGGTATCACAACACAGTGAAGTACAAGAAACGTATGCTCGGCAGGTACGGACTGAAAGCCGACGAACCTGCCGGATTCGTCTGGCCCACTTTGGAAGAGATCAAAGACGCTCAGGAGTATGAGAGAGTCGCGTTCCCGCTGTCCCTTCAGGAAAGGTGGGACAAGTTGGAAGACGCGCGCCGGCAGAAGGCCGAGTTTATCAAGAAAAGGTAGATCTCTGCTGATTATGTTGCTCGCCAGATACTATCAGAGAACTTATAAATATGATGATGTATTACGTGTTTTACAGAGAAGCTGAAATCCTTGTGAAACTGGCGAAGATGGACCAATGGACGGCCGAGTTGAACGCGAAAATGGAGAAAAAGAAAGCCGATATGGAAGCCGCAAGGTTGCGCAAGGAACGTCTGGTGGCGGAAATCAGGAGACACTTTGGCTTTAACATTTCGCCTCACGACAACAGATTCAAGGAGATGCTGGAACAGAAAGAAAAGGAGGAGAAGAAGAAGAAGAAGGAGGCCAAGAAGAAGGCGAAATTGGACAGATTGACGCTCATGGTACATGCAAAGGTGAAATCGGAAGCGAATCCGGAAGAAACGGCTGCCGGAGGAAAAGATCAAGACTCAAAGAAGTCGACAGAATAATAACTTTTTCTCATTTATGAGGTATATACAATATAAAATGCGTGTGTCCAGTCGTAGTTAATAAAGACGTTATTTATCGGGTTATTTATCAGTTCTCTTTCAGGCACAATCTTCCCGAAGCTAACCGTGTAACGAGCAATATATATAATTAAGTCGCGACGCTTTTTCTTCACATTTTATTCGAGCAATTAGCAATCACGAGACGACTCGTGAAACCGACTATGCTCAAGAAATATCCAGATTCTCCCCCTTTGTCTTCGTCATTGCGGGAGTCTCTCTTTCTTCGCAACAGAAACTTTCCAAGTATCCTCACATTTCCTGCGTTCGGCAAAAAAAAGGCAGCTTACCAAGTAATTATTGTCCATGATTTGAATATTCCCTTAGATTTTCCGTAGATTTGAAAGAATGTACGATTCAGAAACAATACAAGTGACAAAGCGCTAACCAAGCTTTTTTTTTCTGCTGAATGCAAACATTGGCCGCGTTCAGCGAACACAACAGTTGAATGAACAGCTTTCAGAAGATGGATGTAACTGGCAGATCGAGAAGTGTACATCGATCATAGATGATTAATACTCCACGGTTGCACAATCGTTGTGTTCTCTAAACATTGCACGAGCGCGATGCAGGTGTCAGGGACAGTGTACACACGTGATAGTAAATATCATGTCTTCTTTACTAATACAAAAAACATTACACACTGCGTTTTCGAAAGGACTAGAAGAAATTATTCTAATGCATCGTCGAGACGAATGGCGCTCTCATTAAGACACGTAATCAGGCACACGATTGGACGATTATGCAGTTATGATGTTTGTTGTCGAGTTCTTTGCGGGATCCACCCGCCGTCGCTGTGAACCGTGGAACTGGGTCGCGTATGCAACTTATTCTGCCATTCCGGAGACATGACTTCCTTGTTAGACTTGCACGTGTTTGACTTCGGTATCCATAAGCTTATCGGTAAAACTCGTATAGCTACTCTAGCAGCCGCGTCGACTAAAATGATCGAACATCCTCGAACGGTGTGTCATCGCAAAAACCTTCTGACGGAACGATTCGAGCAAGATCAGCTCTTCGTCGTCGACGTCCCGTTGTCCTGATTGCCGTCGATGGACGACACGACGGACCTCCGTGAGCCTCCGTGCCCTGAAGTGTTCTTCTCGACTTCTTCAGCGGTGTGAACCAGTTCATCGTTCTCATTGGCGTTGTCAACACGTGGCCGAGCGTTCTGCATTTGCAGCTCGTCGATCACAATGAAGCGCACTCGGTTGCCCTCCGTGTGTCAGGCCGATTGCAGCTGGGACGGCGACGTTAATTCGTAAAACTGAAAGCTCAGCTCCTCGCCGAAGAGATTCTCGGGCACTACGACTTCGGGATCGACCAATCCCAAGGCGTTCGTGTTCAGATCTGCGACTAGATAGCCTTCGCTGATGAGCCCACACTCCTCGGCGACTACTTCCTTGGACACCGGGTTCAGAAAGTCTGAAAATCACACGAGCTTCACTCGACACACGCGCATGGGCGGCCTCTTTTTATCTCTCTTGAATTTGGGAACGGTAGACTTTGGAAATTTTCGGAAATCGAAATCATGACTTTGAGCAAACAATAAACGGAAAGAATCTTATAATAAAAATTGCTAAAGAATTTTGTGACTCAGGAATATACGAAATGTTATGTGATATACACTATACAAACTTGGAAAATATGTTTTGGATATAAGTTGAAATAGGAAATGTCTTGCAAACATAGGTACAATTCCGAATATTATCCATCTACAATTGTTTAAAATTATAATAATAAATATATAATAGCACAATGTTTTGAAACGTTTTTTTTTTAATAAAAATTGAAAATAAAAAGGAAAACACAAAGATTACATAAGTTTTCAGATTTTCTTATATTCTATTTTTAATATGAAAAAAATTTGCCAAAAAATTGTGCAATCATTTATAATCTTTAAACACTTGTAGATGGATAACCGTTTCGAATTGGAGCTATATTTATAGGACATTTTCTACTTCAATCTACATAAAAAAATATCCTTCTTATGTACTGCTATAATGTCAATAGAAATTGTGTAAAAATTTACTGCATTCTTCCTCGGCAAACATAATGATGTCTTCGACATTATTTATACGTCATTATATTTTCTGTATTAGCGAGATAAGTTCTATAGTTTATTCGGGTCTATTCGATAATTTATGAATTCAACAAGACCGTGTCCTTACCGCTTTCCTTGAAGGGACACTGAAGTTCCGTTTGCTGGCTCTGCTGATTATTCGCATCGTGATCATTGTTGGCCACCATCATGGGAACCAGATATTGCACTTCCACCTCGCGCTTTATACCGTTGAGTATCTGCTCGGCGGAATGCTCGAGTGTCACGGAATTCAGAATACTATCGGTCTCCTCCTCGGAATTCTGTTGTGTGATGCTCGCCGTCGCGGCCTCCACCTCGTCCATCGCGATGATTTCGCTGTACAATGTCGATTTGTGAAGCAACAGCAATTAAGAGTATCCACTCTGAAATATTTTCATTTTCGGCGAGAAATCGCTTTACCTGACGATATTCTCGTTTCTTCCGGATTCATTGCCGTCTTGTATCGTAGCCTGTCGCGTGGGAATCGTGGTTAAACCGTTAATGGCGTGCGGACGAAGGTCGCAGTCGTTGCGATTCGCGATCGCCCACAGGTGACCGGCTCCGTGCGATGCTTTCGATCCTTTACGGAAATGCGGATTTATCGAGAGATTGTGTCGCACGGAATTCTTCCAGCGATCGTCATTACTCTTGTAATAGGGGAAATGTTCACTGAAAATTAAGCAAATAATGTTTGTTACGCCTATATATATTTATACCGTTATATTTATATTTTTCATATTTTATTTTTTACATAAAAAAGAGAGAGAGAAAGAGAAACGTCGATATATTACAATTTATGTTTTCGCCCGAAGCAATCTTACATCACACGTAACGTTCGATGCCTGTGTGCGGTAAAAGAAAAAGAAAAAAAAAAGAACTTTCAGACACGAGCGAGTTGGAGAACGATTAGGGGCGTTACACGTGAAAAATGCGCAACAGCAATTTATATCCCTGCGAAACCAATTTCCTTCACCTGCTCGCATCGATGTCACGGTGCGTTACGCACCCCTGCGATTAATTCCACGGGGTTTTGTGGAAGACTGCGAGGCGAAAGGCGAGCCGAGGGTGTATTTGAAATGCTAAATGGCGTGTTTACCCGCTCCGCTGGTCACGATGATCGCCGGCGAGCGTTGTCACTTGCGAACAATTTAACGAATCCCTCTCCTCCCAACGTCGTATCGCGGATAAACGACGGGCAAATCGCAACCGAATAAATATTCTCGAGTTGCCGGCTTAGACGACCACAAATGTGTATTAACAGTCGTTAAACCGAGAAAAAAACGGTGGGATCAACAGAACTTCGGTCAAACGAAACAGATTTTTTCGAGCACAACGTATAGTCTATTGAACAAATCACAGTCGCTGCAATGAGTCACCTATTGATTCAACGACGGCGATTTCAATGTCAGCGACAGTATCAACGCAACGTATTGTTACACCAACGTGTAATTCGTTCAGAGGACACAATATTTTTTTAATGAAGCTGACCATCGATTTCGTTGATCTAACCGCTTTTCTCAAGACGTATTTGAAACGTGTCTCACGTAAGATATCCGGACTTGAATTTAGAGTTAGATTTGAGTTTCTCCTTTGGGGGAATCATGTATGATATTACACATCGGTGACTGTAAATCAATTATTAAATTTGCAAAATTTTGAAAGAAATTACAAAGACCCTATAAAAATAAATATTTTCTATTACACAAAATTTTCAAATTTTATTTTCAAAAGTTACGAACAAATAAATTAGGCACAACCGGTACAAAATCCTACTTTTATAACACTATTAAATTAAAAATATCTGTCTTAAATAAACAAAATTGCATTTAATACAAAATCGTTGTCTTCAATATAGAATATCGGATTAGTCGTAAAATCATGTGTTCTATCAAAACAATATGATTTAAAACATTTAAATTATATACGTAGATATAGAATAAAAGATAATTTATTATAAACATAAAAGAAGAGTGCTAATATCTAAATTTCCTGATTTCCAATAAAATTCCCTGAGAATACTTTGTCTTTTCTAGGCAATAAATATCTTGTATTAAATACAAATCTTAAAGATTACTTGTTTTAGAGAACCTTTAGATGTCTCTAAAACGTATTTTGGACATTTGTGCTGTCTGGGCAAGAACGCACGATTTGAAAGCGATCGCTTTGAGATGTCGGGTCTGATTTGATTGACAACTCGAGTTCTGCCGGAAGCGGGAGATCCGCGTGTCATTGTTTTAATATATTTCTGAATTTGCGTCCTGGTGTTCGTGGAGAGCTGTCGGACGGTTCTTACGACTCAATTATTCGAGCGGCTCTGCGCGGCCTGGACGATCTATACACGCTTCTTCCAAGGAGCTCGCGCGATCGAACAGGTGAAAGCACAGGAGCAGTAAATTGTGCGCATTCGTGTGAGGGCCATAACGAGTAGCGAGAAGGGTGAGGAGTACCAGTACCAGGTGGTGCCAAGCAACGGGGGCAGTGGTACCAACGGGTACCACCCGGAGGCCCACCCCCAACGCCGATCTACCCCGCGCATCGACGCGCGGACCGCGCTCGTGCAAATTCGTGGAAAACTTCCTGTGTATACGCGGCCGATACATAAAAAACAATAAAAAAGACACCGGCGGTTTTAACGTATCCTGTATTGTTCTTTCACGACATATATAAACCTCGCTTCTCAACCTCGTAACAATTCACTCGTATTCTTTAAATTGTTCTTTTTCGCCTGGAAATTTCAGAGGAGAAATTTCAAAGAAGAGGGATTTGGGGAAGGAAAAATGAATTGAAGGAAAATCCGTAGAATACACAAGAGCAGAGGGGAAAAGATAAAACGCTCTTTAATTTTAGAAGATGCCGTTAATTAACAGTAATTGTAACAGAAAAACGCGAAGATTTTAATCGTTCACACCGGCTATCAACGATATTATCGGCAAGAGCTTTCCTGCGAGGAAAATAAAAGGAACAGTCGGAGCTTTGTGACTAGCAGCAGGAGGGCAAGTTTCTTATTGACGACTTACGAAATCCACTGGTAAATGGCGGAGACGGTGAGCTCGCCTCTCTCCTGAAGAGCGTGCTCTATCAGTTCGGTGTAAGTGAAGGGCGGCTTCTTCAGCCCGTTGGATCGCGAAGACGATAGATTCCGATTGTCGATCCCGTTGGCGGGATAAGCCGTTTGATTCGAGTCCTGCCGATAGGCCGACAAGCTCTCGTGATTACTCTGTCCTCTTCGGACGTCGCCGGTATAGTTGGAGCCATGCGACCGGCCGTTCGGTTTGCTCTTATTGCCTGAAAACGTGCAATTAGCCGCAAGACTGTAAAATTCGTTAACGAGAGCCGCACACGACAAATACATCACATTCTTACACCCGATAAGTCGACTAAAGCGGGAAAAACGCCGCGCACCCGTTGGTCCCCCGAATGATGCGTGAAACGTTTCGTTTCTTAGAGAATTGAAATTGAAATTAAAATTTTTTTAGCGATTTATATAAGAGCCAAACAATGTGGTTAGTGCTTTTTATAAATTTAAAAAATTTTGTCTTCGTAAAAAGATTCCTTTCCTTTGAAATCCGTCTTCTTAAATTTTCCTCCGATTTATACGGTGGATGTTTGACTTTAGCGTTTAGCGGAAGCGTTCACGTTAGCGGAATCTTCTGCATCCTCCTTACCACAGTGATTGTCCTTCGTCGTCACGGATGCCACGGATGTCGACCTGTCGTCAGCGGCATCGATGAAGGAGTCCAACTTGAAGTCCAACAACCACGACAGGTTCCCGTTCTCTTGGTCCTCAAACTGCTGCTGCTGTTGCTGATGATTATGATGGCTGGACGCCGTGTCTTTGTTCTGTTGAATGGCCGAAGCAACGACCGACGGCTCGGCGACCGGTTCCCAGTAATTCACCGTCGGCTGATAACGCGTCTGCTCGACAATAAAGGCGTCCTGGATCGCATGCTGCTGGTTCCGCTCGGCACAGGTGGAGGCCAACGAGGAAACGGAAGTCGACAACGTGGAGGACGAGGACGTGAGGAGCTCCAGATGCTGCTGCTGCTGCTCCAACTCGGACACGGTCGTCCAGGTACAGTTGGTACCGTTCACCAGCAGCACCTCCAGACGCGCCACTGGCGATTCCTCGACGGCTTCTTGCGCGGACATCGGCGAGAACAGAGCCGTGTTGGCGATAATCTCGTTGGACGCCACGAACTCCACCGGCGTCTCCAACTCTTGAAGGTAACGCTTGCGACTCGTCTGGCAGACTTCCTCGCAGAAACTGTCGATGTCCAGGTCGTCGAAGACCTTACGCTTGGATGGCATCGCTTGGCACTGGCCCTCCGTCACGTCGCCAGCTGTTCCTGATGATGGCCCGATCATCCCGCTGGCTTTCGAGAGCTCTCGGCCGACGCGAAATGGCGGGGCGGGATCTTGCCCTGCGAGAAATAGCTGGTCGGCAGAAATTGACGGGGATCCGCACTGTCTGAATCGCCGAATCAAACTGAACTAAATTTTTGTAAACTGAATAAATCCTCTAAAGATGAGGCAATTGAAAAGCTCACTTTCGGCCCGAATGATGCCCGTCAATTAACGGATCGAATTTTTAAGTGAACTTATTTCCCCGTTCAATTCATCTATTTTATTTGGGACGAAGAGTCGACGAGAATAAACGGAGAAAACGCAATCCTGAGCCGGTGAATCTCCGAGAAACTATCGCCTCTTATTTGACGTCCCCTCGCGACATGAGTCGACCGATTAATTTATACTAATTTAGATCAATGCGATTGAAATTTCAGCGTATCTCCGTGAAATACATGAAAATCTCCCGAGCACGCACCGTCGGCCAAGCGAGATATCAAAAATTCGAGAAAACGTTACGATACCTTTGCGCTTCTGCTCGATGCCTTTGTTTGTTGCTCTTACGTGATCCCCGACGCACGACGAACTATACTTTCTCTCTCAATCTCAGTGAACTGTTAATCGGAACGATCATCGTCGGACAAGACGCGAGTATTTGAATCGGCCTCCCGGTGAGCCAACTCGGCGTTGCCTCTCCCCCGAGATCGGACTGAATGAACGGCCGCGTCCACCCTTTAAGCGTGTTCCGCCATCGCGATATTCACGTGCGATTCGCCTGCGGCTCGATCGACGTTGTCGCGCACAACCGGCGCGGGACACGCTTCCGAAGTGAGCCGTCGATTTTTCTCGTCGCGATCGAGCGCTTTCAGAGCGTCTCTACGCGAACCGCGCGCGATGCGCGCCACTCATTTATTTCGTACGTCGGCTGTCCCGCGCCGCGCGCGCACTGGCCGACGCCGCCGCCGCCGTTATTCGCCTCGCGTGCGCCCGAAAGTTGCGCTGCATTGTTCAAGTTCACCAACTCCGTCTCCCGAAACGCCTATTATTTTTATTTTTATTTCAGGACGTGCGTATCGCTGATTTCGCGATGAATAAATGTACTCACAGTGAATGCATATCATGTTAAACACAACTACGATCGAAATTATAATTTTTTTTTATTTACTATAGAGCATTTCTCTAAGAAATAAAAGACATTAAATCAATCTTTAAAATCAACCTTTACATTATTTTTATGTGAATTTTATAAACATTTTGACATAATATTTTACAGTTGTTCTTAAACTGTTACTTGATAATATAATATTCCTGAATATTAAAATCATGGTGTAGAAATATTATTTGTAATTAATATGCGCGGAAGAATTGAAAGAAAAAACTTGTTTAAACTATAAGTGTTAGTAAAACTAATAAAAGGAAATTAATGAATATAAAGTGAAATTATAATCCAATAAAATTAATATTAAAAATAATTACATCTTTAAAGAAGTTATAATTTTCCACAATTTTCCACAAACGTATATACTTATGAAAATTTTATTGAAAAGACGCATTTCTACATCAAAGTACACTTGTTCCTTTCGTTCGATATTCAAACCCGGGCGCGCCGAGTTCGACTCCTGGGGCACGGCAACCCGGAACGTACGCGTGCACGAGCGCGTTCATGCGACCAGGCGCATCAAGGATAATCAACGTGCCCTGTATGCACGGAACGCGATCGTGGTGGGATCGGGACGCAGGGAGACGCGCCGAATCGGTTTCTAGAAAAAAATATCCTATCTTCCTCGACCGGCGCCAAGGTCAAGGTGGCATGCGCCGTGACGAGGAGCCAGCGTTTATTGCAGCTTTCCTGTACGAGCTGTACCCGCGAGACGGAGATCGAGTGCAGCTTCTCACGTCGAGTGTACTCCTTAGGGACGTAACAAGCGGTGATCGGCGGACGACCTGGAAAAGTCCGAACCGGAACATCCGCGACGACAGGACAAAGATATAGAGAGATCGCGTCGGTTGACGGTGGAACAGAAGGAGGGATCGGGGGGAAATCGCAACAAAAGAGAAAGGAATACAAAGAGAGAGAGGGAAGGAGAGAGAAAGAGAGAGCGCGAAAAAGCGATTTATGCGACCTTATCAGCGCATGAGATGGGCGAAGGGGGTGAGGGAGGGAGGGGAGAGAAATCAGCCGCCTGCAGCGCCCCAGCGATTGCGACGTCACTGGTTACCGCGGATGTGCGTGCACTCTATTGCATACACGGACGAACGTCGTGCGGAGAATGACATTTAAAATTCGTTACTGAGGAGGACGCGACGACGACGACGAGGATCAAGGGCGCGGGAAGGGCGCATTGCCATATAACGTGACAGCACCGTCACATGGAGCATTATTATTGTTGAGCCGGCCGAACGAAACTGCGCGCACCATGAACGTCGACAACGATCTGGACCATCATTTGCTGCATCAGTTCAGTTGTCTGGGCACCACGGACAAAGACGACCTGGTGAAGCAGCTGCAGAAGCTGCTGGCTGGCAGCCACCTGAATGAGACGTCTGCCGCCTTCTTCCTGGAGATGAACAACTGGTAATTGAGCGTCCGCCCTCAGCTACCCCATTGCGCTTTTCGCCACTGTGTACACTGCCAACGGACATAACCTTACATCGCCATGTTTACTGCGACCCCCCGCGGAGGGTATTGTTTTCCTTGGGCCTGCTCGGTCTGTCTGCACCCCCGTGTACCGTTTGCACCTCGAACGGGACAAACATATTGTCGTGCTTTGGAAAAAACGGATCCGGAGAAAAAGGAGAACGCGCAGTGAGTGCAGAGAAGTGTAGCTCCGGAAAGAGCGGACCTTTCCAGGACGATTAACGGTGCTGGGAATTAAATGGCTAGATCTGAATTCGGTAGTTTCCAGAAATCCGATCGAGGAAGCCCCCTTCCCCTCTTCCGCGAGAGGTTGCTTCGCTTTAGAACCCATCGCTCTAATCTCATATGACAGTGTTGACCTTATCTTAGTTTTACATATTTTTTTTTTATATAACACACACACAACAAACACACAACGAATGAATGAGCATAGAAGATAGGTGTATTAGAATAACAAACTGCGAGGAGCATAGGTCTTGCTTTGCTGTTCTGAATATTGTTGTGACATGTACCTCACTCCCTGTTTCTGTTCCAGGAATCTACAAGCGGCAATTTGCAGTTACATCGATTTCCAGTCACCCCTCAAAGTTCCCTGTATGACACTGATATGTGACAGCACGATCGGCGAGGGGGAGTCTGTACCGCCAAGTACAAACTTCCAAAAGTCATGGCGCATACAAAACAGTGGTACAGAAGCTTGGCCAAACGGGATTCACCTAGAGCTTATCAGTGGAGAACGAATGGGTGTTGCACGTGTAGCAGTTCCACCATTAGGCCCCAAAGAGACCACAGAATTGAGCGTAACTCTGTCGAGTCCTAGCGAAACTGGTGTCTACCAGAGTAAATGGAGAATGATGACAGCCACTGGCATCTATTTCGGCGGTAAGTTACAAATCCTCAGCATAATTGGCATAATTTAATTTCTCTGCCGTACAATCGATTAGATATCAATCCCCTCGAAATTTATTCATTTATGTCCTTCCTTTTCTTTGTTTTCCGTAGAGGTAATCTGGGTGATTATAACAGTGAATGAATGTGGCACATTGGCGCTCACTCAGCAACTGCATCAGTTAAGTACTTCGCAGTCAAATGATGTACAAATGTGCTAGCCTTCAACGTACAAAAGTCCCCTCTAAGAAGATTTACGAGATATTATAAGGCCCGCCGGGCTATTGTGAGAATCAAGAATTATTTCTGAATTTTGTATAGGTCATTTTTTTTTCCACAACGGTTTACCGCTCTTGTACCTAACCAAAATTCGTAAATATTCGGGAATATCGGGAAGGAACCACCAACAATAAAGGTTGCAATACAACTTGGTCATATACTTTCACGCCGATGAAGGCATCGATTATGTGCAAAATTTATTTTTAAGTTGTTTTTTTTTATTACATTTATATTTGTGCGCGATAAGTTTTATCCGGATCCTCCTTCGTAATTCGAAAGAATTTTCTTGTATGTACAGTGCGAGGATTAATTGTTTCCGCTGTTTAAAGATATCGAATTTATATAATCATTATAATATAGGAACCATGATTTTGTTGTATCTGGGAGCTACTTATATAAGGCCTTTTATGATCATTCATGCTTGTCAATCGTATCATGCGAGATCGATTGGAAAATTACACTTGTGTGATATAGAGAAAATTGAAAGGTAGTGTGCGACATGATTTTTACTTAAGTAAGAAAGACGACTACGAATGAACTCTCACGTGGACCGCATATGACTGGTATTGAAAAGATATTGATGTATAATTAAGGTACAGGTTTATTCAGAATATAATTTTTATTAGAAAATTATAAAGTCCAATTATATATATATATTATATATATATATAATATATATATATAATTGGACTTTATAATTTTCTAATAAAAATTATATTCTGAATAAACCTGTACCTTNTATATATATATATATATATATATATAATTTATTTATTTATAGCAAAAAGTTATGATATAAAGTATATTTACCATTTATCAGACACAGTCCGCAAGAATCAAGCTATTAGAAATAATTTTTTTACGCCTCACTTAAGTCGAAAAATAATACTGTAATTGAGAGAGAAAGAGAACCGAAGCAGTACTAATCGATATCTCTGACGACGAATATCCGTTCGGAGAACGTAGCATGTTCATTCAGTTTAAGTATGTTAAGCAGGGAGATTGATATGTCACCTCATTAATCACAATTATTGCGGAAATTAAACGAATCTTACGGCTATATATAAAACCTAGATCTTCCTTCAAATTATCCGACGGGGTTCGGAAATTGCTCTATGACTCAAAGATTTTATAATATGCACACAGCCAAGCTACCGTGACAATTCCAACACCTTTTTCGTCGAGAGGTCGAACGAAGTGCTGCCGCTGTAGTGATTTAAAAGTGCATATTGTTGGTTTCAAATTTATAGTACATACTGGGACATTGTTTTTCGGACAATTGCATAACAATGCTATGCTATGCTATAATTCCCGTTATCCCACATCGGAACATAGAACACGGCAAATTTTTGAAGAGGTTTCCGTGGCGTGAATAAACTCTTAGTGGTTTGCCAGACTATCGAAGAGGAGAGCCACGAGCACATGAAAATTTTCCTGGCTCTGCTGGGAATCGAACCCGAGACCTCTCTTTCATCATAGCAGACCGGTGCGTCTGTTTACCATGCCACGCTCGCGCTCAAGTTGCATAACAATGCCTCCACCGATATATATCTTTCGGCTGTGCGTGGTAGCTTGGCTGATCTTATTTCCCGAGATTTGTCTGCCAACAGATAATCGATCATAAACCGTCACTTCCGTAGTATAAGCGGAGGTCTACAATGAGAATTTAAGATGTAAGATTTAAGAAATTGACAAAACATAATTGATTTTCCTTCTGTAATTTAATGGTGATTGGTCAATTTCTTAAGTCTTACGTTTTAAATTCTCATTGTAGACCCTGTTTTATTCGAGCCCTGTTTTAAGAGATATACCTCAAACAGCCATTTTCATATACAGTTTGGAATGCGGATTATAATCTATCAGCTCGAAATCCTCAGCAACGAAGTCGTCGATATCTTTGATCTCCCGTATTATCTTCAATTTAGGAAAATCTCGTGGTTCGCGTTGAATTTGTTCTTCAAGAGCGCTTACATGGTTGACATAAACGTGACAGTCTCCCATTGTATGTACAAATTCTCCTGGCTGGAAATAAAAGAAAGTAGATAATATTATCTTGGGGGATTCTTTAACCTTTTCGATACGCCAGGTATCTGTGGCGCACAGTGCGAATTCGGTAGTCGAGAGGACAACAAAGTATACATACTATTCACTGTTAAAAATATATATATACTATCATGGCAATAAATTTTTTTAATACAAAAATAGATCCCTCACCTTTAAGCCAGTAACATGAGCGATCATATAAATCAGCAAAGAATACGATGCTATGTTAAACGGTACTCCCAAACCCATATCTGCACTTCTTTGATAAAGCTGCCCAGACAATTCTCCATTATTCACATAAAACTGGATGAAACTGTGACATGGTGGCAACGCCATTTTTGGAATATCAGTTGGATTCCAAGCAGACATTATAATACGTCTGTCATCTGGGGAATGCTTGATTTTGTGAATAACTTCCTTCAGTTGATCTATTCCTGGAAAAACGAACACATGGCTTAATTCACTTTCAATGAGAGTTTTAATTATGTATCTCTTCTCACAACAGATACGTTATTGGTAGATTCAGAAAGCAAAACTAGAGACTTATTTGAAGAAAATAAGATAAGAATCTAAAAACATTCTTGAGAAAAAATACCTTGTCCTGTGTAATCTGCACGCATATCTTTGTATTCAGCACCGTAATGTCTCCATTGGAATCCATAGATAGGTCCCAAATCACCTTCTTCTCTATCAGTGAAACCACAGGAATCCAAGAAGGCACGTGAACCATTCTCATCCCAGATGTGTACACCTTTGTTTGTTAATACTTTAGAATTTGTCGATCCTTTGATGAACCACAACAACTCCTCAACCACTGCTTTCCAAAATACTCTCTTAGTTGTCAGTAATGGAAAGACACCTATCGAAATAATAATCCTCAAATATAAACATTCCTCCAAATTTCTGTATAACTAAATATATGTGAAATATATTATATATATATATATATATATATATATATATATATGTTATATACATCTTTATATAATGTATTTACCGTCTCGTAATCCAAATCGCATTTGCGTGCCAAAAATAGAATACGTATCGACACCAGTGCGATTACTCTTCTTTCCTCCAGTTTTGATAACTTTTTCGATAAGTCGCAAATATTGATACTCCTCGTGTTTTTGACTCACCTTTTCTCCGTTCATTTCCTTCGTATCTTGCATGTCGTATTTCAGTGTAATTTTGTCCCGATGCTGTTATATGTAATTGATGTGTCTTTAACCTTTCTTTTTATCCGGTATCCTGTTTTACACAGCAAAGTAACGTCACAGAAATCTTCACCGTACACTTGGTTTAAAAACAGTTTAAACGTTTTTTTCAACGCAGCTATAGAACGCAGCTGATAGTCCTCCAATGAGAGTACTTATCTTCTAACGCGACGGAAATTGGTTTAAAGCGGAAAGGAGGCGGCAATATACAAAATGAGTTCTATTCTCTTTTAGCTTATTCCTTCTTTTTCTTCTCGTACTCCTTGCGACTTTAAATATATGTAACAATGCGACAATATAACAGCAAAATATAATATAGTGCAATTAAGAAAAATATAATATTGTTCAGGTACAAACTAAAAAGACGAAATTTTTCGCACAGCAGAGGGGAAAGTCTTTTCTTCGAAGAATCGCTTCTTGACTGATTTTGTAGTAAACGTACACAGCCTTTATTTCTGATACATATATATACTGTAATTATATATAAAATAAGTTTAAATTATAAATACAGTGCGGATTATACTCGCGTGTGTACGTACAAAGCGAAGAAGGATTGCAGAGATTCTGAGTGCCTAATGTAAACCGGATATGGCTGTTTTTTTTTGTGACCCTTGTTTAATATATATCGAGAAAAATAAGACACGGCATCGTCAGTGACTTTCAGTCTTGATTTATAAGCTTTAGCTCGAGTAGAATGTATCTTTTGCTTGCACAGTAGAAAATTTTGCGTTATTTCAACATGGGGAGTGTATTAAAAGTATACAAATATAATATTAAATTAACACATTCAACTTGTCAACATATGGTTTAATTTTTAAACATATTTCCTATGTTAACACAAGATTTCAGTAAACCGTTTTTAACACCAAATTTTTCTACTGTGTGTATATAGTCGTACAAAATATATCGCAAACAGATCATCGATTCACCCAGTATCTGGACACAAAATTGATGCGCCTGACCCGGAAGAGGTCCGCACTGAAACTGAAATGCACCGACGGTGCCGGGTGTGTACATTTATCAGACGCGTCATGTGATCAAGACACGTTGGTCGTCCAAGGTATGTACAAGTGTATCATTGTACGGGTGGTGTTTCTTCTATGTACGTGTACAAACGTATGTACATTATTTGGTAGAGTACATCATTGGTAACGTAAAGCGTACGAGCGTTTCTCGCAAAGTAAAGAACGTAGCAAGCGGTTCTCCGTTTCTTCCGCAAAACTCGCCACTTGCGTATCGACGCAGTATCAAATTTTCTAAAAGTTTTGGATCGTGCGTTTTTTTATACAGGTTGTCGCATACCCACCGGATGTCCCTTTATTCGCTAAAGACTCCCCCTCGGTCGACTCGGGATCGGCGTTACGAGAGGGAAAGCAAACGGCAGGAATCGCGTTCTTCTTCTTCTTCTTCAATCGACTTTTCGAACTCGACTCATTTAGAAAAATGTTACTTATATTAAACTTTCAGTCAAATCACCCTCCGAATTAATAATCGCGATTACAAGCTGGTGGTATTTTCCACGGTATCGATATCGGAATATATTCCGTGCAGCTCTATCCGGTGTGAACGCGATACGACGTGTGTGTGATGTGACAGCAGGTGTATTATGGTGACGACGACGATGATTTGTACAAGAGCACGGGAGGAGCGCGCTGTTGCAAAACTATATACTTTTTCTCGCTTAAAAATAATACTAAGGAGTCATCTCTCTGCTAAAGTGCGCCGGTCCTCGCAAACACCGATCGGCGAATACCGGGCGGATGGATTTCGATATCTGGCTACGTGTTGACGGTATTACTGTTATCCTGCACATCCGCCACCGCTTCCTCGAACTCGCCAGCGGATGGATTATTGTTCGGCCCGGCCTCGGCCGTGTGGTAGCCCGAGAATGAGCAGGCAGGAGCGCTTCTGGCCGTCGCCACCGTACCCTCGGGTAACAGCGACGTGCGCTCAGTCGCGCTGCCCCAAGCCTGCTGATATGCGCCGCGTCCACGTATCCTGCGACTTAGAGACGAGCCGACGACGCCCAAGTGCTCTTTTATATCGTTATGCACGTCGGAAACGTCCCACATTGCTCTGCGGTAAGGTAAAACGAACGGTTAGTTTATATAGAATCTTTGCTATTGTAATATTTCTTCACTCTTCGATTGTAGAAGTTTTAGGATTATAAAACAACTTGTAACTGAAGACTGAAGGAATGGACATTGGCTTCTTCTTTTCACGCAGAGTACAGATGAATTCACACTGATACGTTTTCAAACAGAGTGTTTCACGTACCTAAATGCGTCCCACCATGCTTGACCTTGCGCTAAATTGACGAATGGTTTGTAAGAAAAACTGTAATGGTGAGCTACAGCAGCTAAAAACATTTCTATGCAAATTAGGAAATCCTGCAACTTTGACGATATATTCCTGATATAGTCCGTATCGTCCGTATTAAAAATACTAGATATAACGTCGAAGTATACTAATAGAGATATTATCACTCCTTGACTGCAACAGAAGAAAACGATACATATAATTTTCTGTTCCTGTCTGTACTTATATTTGTGTGGCTCTTACTCTTAAATATTCGATTAAATTACTTTTAAATATACGAATGTATTGTATAATACATACAAGAATGAGAAGAATACTACAGCTTTAATACATAGGAATTTTCCGACTGGTTTCATTGGCTTCAAAGCTTCCGCATTGGCACGATAAAAAAGTACCAGACAGTACATGGCAACGAATTGCGACAGATTATTTAGAGCGATCATGTAAGGGAAAGCCACGTTTCCTCGGAATTCGCCCTCTCCGTAAACTCCATTCAGCTCGCAGATGCTGCAAAATCAAACAGAACGATCAGATGCAACTCCCTCCCTCATATTGCCACAGAAGTTATTACAAAGAATTTCAAATGAGCTTTCCTTACAATGAAATTGCAGTTGTTATAGGCCTGACAGCTGTATATTGTAAAATTCCATGCTTGCACATATGTACAAACTCTCTCCCCATTTCCCAATCGGGAAGACAGCACAGAGGGAACATGTGATGTACTTGAGGGGAAATCTCCAGTCTATGCTCCAATTGGTGATCAGCGTTCAGATAGGCCAATAGATACATCATAAAATTGTATATTACATAAGCTTCGTAGCATTCTCTCAAACTGTCTACGTATATACTGCCTTTGGGGTATACCAGACCTAACCACTGTGCAAACGGAAGATATTTATTAAATAAACGAGCAGATATTCACCTTTTTAAATCATCTTTTTAAAAAAGTATTTGGAACTTTTTCTTACAGCATTCACTGCATAGATGGGTACCATCCACAATATCCTTAAAAACAAGAACATATCGCGTAAGATAAAGTCAATCCTCTTCATATATGGCATTATTTAATTGAAAGATAAGATTGTGCAGATAAGTATAGGTATAAATCTATTTATATTTTCTTTCTTCCCAGAGATAATAAAATGACTCACCTTATTATATATTTCTGTAGCCTAGGTTGCGTATAGTATATCATATGCTGGACAATTTCATAAAAGGCAATGGGCAGTGCCAGCAAAACGAAAGCACCACCCACCAATGCACCCTGATCCTGCTTCTTGAAGCCATTCTTAATAGAATTAACCAACAAGATTGGTACGAGTATAACAATGATCAGTGCATATAGGCAAGTCAGCACGGGCAATATCCATAATCTCCAGCGTCGACAGATCGATGCCATCGCTCTCGGATATTTTGGGCACCGTCACATAATTTCGGACTGATTGGTCTGAATCTGAAAGTTCATACAGTCACGCGTTTTATCGTCTACGCATGATAAGTCCGCGCGTCGGAAATTACGCAAAGACAGAAATCGCATCCAAAGTTCATACAGCTCGTCATCGGCCAAAGTGGCCATAATATTTACTTCTCGGAAAACGCGATGCAGCTCGCCTGGTGTTTCGTTACAAAAACATTTTGCGCAAGATTCCATTCATTAATCGTTCCTCAATGATCGCATCAAAGAGACAGTGAAACACCTCTTGCGTTTCAACGTGAAGGAGGAGAGAGAGAGAGAGAGAGAAAAAAGTGAAAGACGCATAAAAACTGATTAGCGAGAGAATGAATCAGCTGACAGTGACAGCGTAGGTGTAAGACTCCTCTTAACCCTACAACTCGATTTACCCGATGTAACGCGCATGTGAATTATTTACTGTTTCGTCTCGACGAATTAATCCCTGAACGATGGCGACGCCAGCGGCCGATCTTCTCGATGGCTCGAACGCGCCTGTGTCGTGTCGGAAAATTACGCACACGCTACCCTCGCTATACACGCTAATTTGACATTCCGCGATATTTTGCACAGCCATTAGAAACCGGAAGATTGGCCGTTTCGGAATAAAGCGCATAGAGGACTCTCAGAGCCGCCAAAGTGCGGACAGAAAGTTTCTCGAGGCGACAGAAGAGATACAGAGTGAAAAGCCGTCCGAACATTCGGCGTATCGTCACCTGTAGCTGTTGTAAAATTCCTTATTTATTACATCGCATATGAATCATTGTCGCGCGTATTATAATACGATGTATTCGTAATCACTTAACTCGCGCTTGATTTATCCTACATTTGTATCTGTACAGTAATTAATTATTATTGCGTAAAATTATCGTCGAAGGTGATGCGTGAAAATCAGGAATTCGTTAATTTTTTTACGAATGGAATCAGATTTTACAGGAGGCAACATGATCTCATCCGACAAGCCAGGGACGTTTCCCAAGACTTTACGCTGATGTTGCCCGCACTGGGTGTTCACGTGGGAGGGGTACATCCGGTCTAATGGCGTCAAGAGCTGGGCATTGTTGTCACATTTTGTCCTACAGTGTTTCAATATTTCGCATTGTTTATGTTGCTTGAATTTCGCGAGGAGAAGACAAGAAGCACGGCCGGTCGCGCGAATTACGATAAACGGGAGTTGGAATGAACGAATTTGTACTCGTGCGACGCGTATCAAGATGCAGGTGAGATTTTCCGAGTGCCCTGGGTGCAGTGACCTTGGTCTCACTGTCAGCCCTAAAGCACGCACTCGCGCCAAATTCGAACCTCGTGAGCGCACTCGATTCCATTCTCCTCGCTTATGCTTTTCCTGTATTTCTTGTGTATTATTTTCCCAAGATAGGAATAACTTGTTATTTCGAATACTTAAGAATATACGCAAGAGAGAATATAGATATCAAAGTATGAATATAGATGGTATAATTCTTTCTGCTTCAATCTTGTCATTTGTAATTGCAAAGTACCCGAGAAAATTAATCTTCTTAAATTGACTTTCTTTTGTAGATATTAAGAGCTGATCTTTTTAGATAGTTGGATGCTATCTATAAAACTAGATAAGCTTTGAGAGAGATAAAGAAAGAGAGAGCGAATAATCATTATATCAGTATTGAGAATATTCAATTATGGAAGTCACAACGGAGGAAGCACAAGCTGTGCTCTTGGAGGGGATGGAAGGTGCTCAGTACATCACCATTCAGAGAGCGGATGGGGAGTCATTGAGCAAAGGAGTACCACTGTTAGCTTTGAACGGTGAATTAATCTCAGAGGGGATGGTTGTGGACATGATTAATGCCGGAGTCGGTGCGGACTATGGCACCCCTACTCAGTATTACGAGGATGACTTGTTGTCGCATGAACTGACCGAGGTTGTAACACTAGTTACTAGTGCTTGCTACTTAGTATCCAGGAACTATGTATTATAACTTGCATGTAGAATGTAAATTGTGTGATGCAGGAGGACCGCAGACTGGCTGCGGCCCTGGTCGCGGTACAGTTGCACCAGCAGCAGAAGCAACAGCAGCTGCACATTCAGCCTCAGCACGAGGACCCGACATTGCCGGATGTTTCTCATCTGGAGACCTTGGCACCGGTGAATTCGTACGCCATCGAAGATGTACCCGAGCCAAACGCCCCGCCGGCTGTCTATCCGACGTTGCAGTCCTTCAAGAGGATCACGCAGAACGTGAAGCAAGAGTTCATCAATGTGAAAAGTGAATACGACGTTGAGGTTTCCGCGGAGAGTAGTGAGGATGCTACGTCGGCGTCCGGGCCCAAGAGAACTTTGCCGCACAAGAAAAGGATACCTCGTAAGTTGAAGCAGCACACGAAGAAGAACGCCGCGCGGAAAGACAGTGGTAAGTCGATCGAGGAGGACGTGGCGGTCGACTCCGTCAGCGAGGCACAGGCTAACATCTTCAAGTGTGAGCTGTGCAGCTCCAAGTTCAGCAGCCAGTTGAAGTTCTTCGAGCACTTGAAGGTACATCGAGGCCCAATTCAAACTCCTACAATACACACATCGCACATATCATCGTCTCACGTCTTTGCATGATAAAAAAAATTAACTTGCAGGTGCATTACGAACCGGTGAAACAAGAGACGCGAATAGCTCAAGCGGTTAATACCAATGTCACGATATCAGTGCCAGAGACGGTGCACAATTTAGATACCACTGTGATCGAAGAATTCAGCGAACCTGAGGACCTAATGGAGGGTATTCGAGGTGTAGGTGAGAAAGAATGCCGTTCATTGTTTGAACGTTCCCGTTTGAACACTTGCTGCGGAAACAGTTTCGCAATTTCAATCTTCCTATTTCCCAGTGGAGGAAACCGGCGCGCATATCGACGAAGACACGGAGTCCTCGCTTCCCTCCACGAACGAGTCGACAATATGGACTATCCCCAGCATCACGGGGACCGATCAGCCACCGAGGGACCATATGTCGGTCGTTAGCGAGGAAAGCTTGGACGAGAGATCGAAGACTGATAGTCCGCAGAGGACTAAGAGAAAGAGGGCTAAGTCGCCCAGATCGCGAATCAAAGCGAGGCTAGGTACGTACAGTTTTCCTCGTGAAGCTTCCCGGCGAATCTGAGGGGGTATTTCCAAGAATCATGTTCTCTATTTCTTTGTCGAAACAGAACAATTAACGTGCCCGCAGTGCGGTCGTTTATTCCACCACAAGAATAGTTTAGTCTACCATATGCGATCTCACAGCGGGGAACGGCCGCACCAGTGCGAGATCTGTAGCAAGCGTTTTTTTGCTGCCAGCGCGTTGAAGGTGAAAGACCACTTTTTTTACTTATTTATTTATTTTTCGCCTTAATTTTATGTAAATTGGCGTTTGTAACAATTTGATTCCTCCTCGAGATAGAAGAAAGGACCTGTGAGAACTCGAATGCGAGTAGTTATTTGCGTAAAATGAAGATTCTTTAAAGGAGAGCTTAGACCCGGTTTTTCATTTTCTTACTAACTTTTGGTTTGGGCTTAATCTGATGACAATGTAAAAATCATGTTTTTCTATTTACGGTTAATCGTTAAATTTCCAGAAAGTTACCACTATAAAACTATCAGTTTAATGATTAACTGCGAATAGAAAAACACAATTTTTGCGTTATCATCAATTCGAATCTAAACCACAAGTTAACCAGAAAATTAAAGACCGGGTAAAGGGTTCTCCCTTGCTCCAATAATTTATTTATTTACTTGAAACGGATAGCCCATTCACGATTACAAAAAAGAGATTGAAATAAGAGACAAGAGAAAAAGAAGAGAGAGTAGAAAAATGAAAATAATGCGTATCACAAGTGGGGTCAGTTTTTTTAACTTTGAAAAATCTTCACACGAACAAGCACTTGCGTTCGACTTTATCTCCGTTTCATGATTGAATATTAAAGAGCCTTCCGTCTTTTGTCAATTCTAATTCTGATTTTAATTGCTAATTCCAAAATTCTCTCGTTCTCTCATCAATGTACACAGGTGCACAAGAGACTTCACAGTGGTGACAAGCCGTACAAGTGCGACGAATGCGGGCGCCACTTCCGGCAATGGGGCGACCTCAAGTACCACTCGACGAGCATTCACTCGGAGCACAAGCAGTACCAGTGCGAGTACTGCGCGAAGGAGTTCGCCCGGAAGTACTCGTTGATCGTGCACAGGCGTATCCACACCGGTGAGAAGAACTACCGTTGCGAGTACTGCAACAAAACGTTCAGGGCGAGCAGTTATCTGCAGAATCACCGGCGCATACACACTGGCGAGAAGCCTCACCCGTGTGCCGTGTGCGGCAAGCCGTTCCGAGTGCGTAGTGACATGAAGCGGCACATGCACACCCACTCGAAAACGAAGGGCGACAAGCCGCCCAACAAAATCGTAACGGGCAAGACGGTGGAGGAGGAGAGCGACAAAGGGATGCAGGCACAGTCGATTCGCGATCTCGTGAGAGATCTGAAGTTAGAGGTCGAGGGAACGGGGGTGAAGATCGTGACGCCGGACAACAGCCCGGAGAGCATCTTGCCGCACACGGGAGCGCAGAACACGCTGGAGTACACCGTATCGTCTCCAACGGACACGACCGTCGACAGAGATCCGCTGGAGGCTGCCGTACGAACCAATGACAGTGACAATATGTAAGTAACGCACTTGGTTACTGTCGAGAGCTGCTCGATTCTTCCGGTTAGTAAGAAAGTTTGCCTGAGTTTGGCAGAAAAAGTAGCTCAATGGTCGCTTAATGATTATTGATCCTGATCGTTACATTCTTCTCGATCTATAAAGAATCTAAAAGAATATTTTATACAATAAGCACCAAGCGCTCATTGAGCACCTTTCTCTGCTGCCATTAGCTAGTAAGGCGTCGTTAGATTAGATGTTGGACGTGATAATCCGAATCTAGTAGCAGGAGAATAAAATTGTTCTAATTTGTTGTCTTTTTAAACAGATATTACTTGATATAACCCAGGGACATCGACGAGGACATCGACGAGGACATCGAGTGGGATTTCTGCTCCTCTATATAATAATAGGATCAATCGTTCAGTCGACGTATAATTCAAGAGAGAGGTCTGTAATGCATAGATCATGTTTCGCGGAAATTATGGACGTTGGACTGTTAAAAATTCTGCAAGTATATTTATATTTAAATTATTAGCATAAAACTGATTTAAAGAATTCATATAAAGAGATTGAAAGAATCGAGCTTCGGACAAAGCCGTTTCGTTGTATAGTTGGATGCATTAATACTTTGGTTCTCTCGTATTCGCAAGAAGTCCAATAGTTTTCTCGATAACCGACTTGCTTTTGTACTTTCCTAAAGTGAAACTTCACACTGTTCACTGTGTATGTGTCAATTCATACTCCATTCAGCACGCGCGCGTGAGTGTGTGTGTGTCTGTGTGTGAAACAGTGTGTTTTTCAAATATTGTAGAATAATTTTGGCGATTGAATTGTGAGCTCGTTGAAAAGCTTTAATGCACCCGATTATACAAGTCTTAGGTTGGGAGGATTGTGTTGTTTACTTCTGGCCAATTTAATACAAATGACTGATAAGTAAACCGCATTAACGCACTGCCTATAGTAGCGTGTAATATTTTTTTCAATCTTACGAAAAGAGCAAGTAATTCGAATATAAAATTGAGCACGGAACCGGACTGTTGTAGTTTTATGAAAGGAAAAAACACGACAGATCCATGAAAATTACGCACGTGTACACACACACACACACACACACACACACACACACACACAAATATATATAATATAATTATATATAATTGTGTGTATGTGTGTGTACACATATGTGTGTATTTATATATAAATATACATATACATACATATGCGCATTAATAAGTATGTAAGTAAATGTAAGTATAGTACTAATCACGACTGTACATTTTTAAGTGTAGACAATTTAACGATTTATTATTGTGAATCATCGTTAAAAAATATATTTTCTACTTGAACATGTTTATAGAAATACATTGGTCCACTTTTTGCCGATCTCCTAACGTTCTAAATAGCCGCAGGTATTAAGGTCGGCATGGTTGTGTCATTTTTGCCGATGAAAACTTGCAAGATGGTGGCCAGGTCTCTGGTTTCAAGTGCGTCTTTGAGTTTCGCCGTAGCCTCCTTGCCACTGATCCTGTTGCACCAACGTCGTTGTATGTATCAGGAATTCACGAACGATTTTTGCAAAGATCGTAATTTAACGTTACCTTCGAGATCGCTTCGCTCGTTCCCAATCCACGTACAAGTCGGTGATTATCGCGTGTAACCTGTTCAAAATCTCGGTGTCCTTCGCCATAAGCGATCTGATCTCCGTCTCCTTTTGCCACAATTCTTGATACTCGGAGCACAGATTCTCTCTCGGATTGGACTTCAGTTCCCACTCGTCGAGAGCGTCGAGGACTTTTATCTTCTGCATTAATTCGTGGGCTGCGTTCAACCGAGGGAGAATCAGCTCCAGTACTCTGCACACGCTTCCGTCTGCCACCTCTGTGAGAGGAATTTTCGTGCAATTTTACTCGTTTTACGACTAAGTCTTACGATTAAGTTCTACGGTTAAGTTTTCGATATATAATTTAAAACACAAAAAGATATAACGATTACAGAGCCACGATTACCGCAGAATACGTCCAGCTTGATCTTGCGCTTCGTCGCTTCCTTGGTCAGTATGTCTCTGAGGATTATGATACTGGAGATGTTCTCGCCGAGGAATAGGGCGTTTCCTTTCCTGAGATTCGTCAGAGGATCAATGAGACGAATGCGAATTTGACTTTACGTTACAGACTTACTTATACTTGCATTTGAGGATTGTCCCGATGAAGGACGAGACGTACGCCAGTACGGCCTCACCGTCATGAACGTGAGGCCTCTCGGGTACATCCGGTAACGCTAAAGAGAGCCACGCGTGCATCTGGTGGGTGAGAGAAGAACGTCCGTGGAGAGAAAATGCGTGCTGGGAAACTTTGTAGTGACAAAAATAACCAACTGGACTGGAAATCGTACCTCGGCGATCGTAAAGTTACCATTCAACTTCAGTTCATTGAACGGACCGTTGGACTGCGTGCTATTGTCTTCATCTTCGTGTTGTCTTACGTGTAGAGACAAGGCGTATATGGGAACAAAGATTTTACGACAACGTTTCGGCTGTACCTGCGAACGATCATCGGTATTAACAACGTGTGCACGTGTTTCAAGAAAACAAAAAGCGATGTTTGAAATACCTGAGACGTCACATAGATCTGTAAGGTACCCGGCTGGCCCTCGATAGATCTCAGTCGCATCTCAATACGATTTGTGTTGATCTGTTTAAGCGATTCTTCGCGTGAAAATTGTATTAATGTTCCCAAACGATATCACATTGTACATACACGGAAAAAAATTCGGTCCCTGCAACCGAATAGGAACCAGATGAAAGCTCGGTGAGAAAAAATGAAAAGTCGGTAACGTAAGACGATGTCTCTTTGTTACATCGAAAAAATTCGTGTGAACATTCGGTTGCGTTAAAACTCGATTGAGACAATTGAGAGCAATCGACTGAGCAGAAAGTTCCTATAGGAACCTATAACCGAGCTCTTGTCTGGTACTCAAGTAACGGAAAATTCAGTTGCACCAACGGAATTGTTTTTTTTCCCGTGTATATTCATGGACAGAAACCTTGTTATAATTCTTTTGATGATCTTCGCAACGCATCTCGTATGCAATAGGAAAATGAAAGTCTCCTGAGAATTACTAAAAAACAAATTCTTCTGTTGGATACGAGATTGCGGAATTCATAAAAAATGTGATAATCTTTCTGTTCACGATTGTATGTGTACGAGTTTACCTGGCACCGATAAGTGGCAAGCACGAAATTGCCCTCTCTGGGATTGCAAGCGGACAAACTGACCACTGCGCTATTGTTCTCCGTGTCCAGCAGATCGATAGGAGTGTCCGACTGTATCAGGATGTTATCGATCGACGCGTCAAGCTCTATAGACAACGAATACGAAGCGTCCTCCTTGTGCAACACCATTCTACAAATAATCCACCTTATGTTTGAATTAGAACTTCAATCGGAAGTCGCAATTCGTGGCGATCTTAGATTTTAGGAGAGAGAAAATCTGTGCGAATTATTTTGTTTCTCTTAATTACTTATGATTCACGGCCAGTATCAAAGGTGCCAAAGGATCCGGCATAAAATTGGACGTCTCCTTCTCTTCGGTGAGCTTCTCATGCAGTTGTTGTATCTCCAGTTTCAGCCTGGCCAGGCCAACGTCGCTCTGTCCTGCTTCCAGCAGTCCAGGAGGACTAGTGGTCAAACCGAATACCCGGCCCGAATAAGTCGTGACGAGAACCTCAGGATAATTGGCGACGCCGATTATCCCACCCACGATTGTGCTGATACTTTCGCCGGCGTTCTACAACGATCGTCAACTTCGGGTCAACGTCCGACCGAAAGTTGCGACGAGCACAACTTTCACAGTCGCCTCATTGCTCACATAATGATAGCGCAGAGTGGAAGGCACATCCTCCTCGGGAAACGTGTACACCTCGACCACTCCGTCTTGCCGACCCACGAGAATATCCATGCCGTCCTGCAACTCGTAAATATCCAACGACGTGATCCCCGAGCCCGTCGACGTCAACAGCCAGGTGATCCGGAGCGTTCTGTTGCCTTGAAGGATCAACAATCCGATCCTACCGTCCGCGGTCCCAACCAGAACGCGGTCCTTCGACAGTATTTCTCCTTCCCTGAGGTGATGCGTGATCGCATTAAACACGATAAGAAATTTGTAAGTTGCACTGAGAGAAAAATATCTATGAAGACATTTTTATTCGGTGTCCTGATGAAAATATTTTACTGAAAATATAATGAAGATGTATTTGATAATCTCTTTCAATTAATTCTTCAATTTCATCATCAATATTTTAAAAAGTTACTGTAATCGATATTTCAGCGATTTCTCTTTAAAAGAAAGTCATTTCTCTTTAAAAGAAAGTCATTACAATTATATCCAGTAAATTTTATGATATTTAATATTTCAAAATTTCTTTATTACTTTTCAAGAGTATACTTTAACTTTCTTTATATCTTACAGTATTATATTGCATCTCACAAAGAAAATTGTGACTCATTTATTCAGTAATTTTTCAATAACTTTCATCAATTTCACAATACCTTCAGCAAAATATTTCTATCAGAATGAGCATTAATAACATATTTATTTGAAGTTAAATTTTTTTATTTAAATAGAATAAACGATTGCTTTCGTAAGAAGCTAGATTTATGAAAATGTATATTTTCTCATTTGAAAAAACTTTTCTCAGTATATAAATGCGTGTATTACTGTAAGTAAAAATATGCTATTGGTATCCCCATCGAATAAATACTTTTTATTTCTCAGATATCTTTTCAATCAACGTGTGTATATTTGAAGCGAATGTCGGTGATACAATTACCTGTATATAGAGAGCACCATAGGAGCGCTCGGCAGTCTGAGGACCGTTGGGCTTCTCGTGCCGTGCAAAACGCGCACCTGGAGGAACGTACATCGTCTAATGATTTTTTACTGTTAACGAATTAACGATAACGATTGTGCAAGTTGCAAAATGCTCTCGTTACAGAATCGCATCTCTTTTCAGGTGTCTGTTTAGGGTAGGTCAAACTCAAACTTCGAACGACTCGTCAAAGTTATATTTGACGATACGTTCCAGCCATCACCTTGAATCATTTTGCATCGCAGACAGCACAAGACGTCTCAAAATCATCCCGAATACCCAGGACATCCTGGATGATAGCTTGAGATATCCCGACGTCCAGGATGACCTCGGGACGTTTTGCGCTATCTGGGACAAGCCAGACGATCTTACCGCGCTATCCGCGCAAGCTAAGATAGCGTATACCGCATTGTACTCTCCGGGCAAGAGCACGACATCGTGTAACGTCTCACCAGCCAGGTACGAGTCGGCGTCTTTGCAGTCTCTGTATCTGTGATAGAGATCGCGCGCGCACGCCGCGAGATCCGCACCGTGGACATACCTGCGTGAAAATTCGGCCAGTTAATTGCGGGACAACGGAGAAGGCGAAAAAGTCATCGGACGGAAGTCATGAGCGTATGAGGTAGGCTTACAGCGCGGAAATTGGATCTATAAGGCTGGTGTCAAACTCTAAGAACAGCTTGCCCTTTTTCGTGAATCCCTTTACGGAGTTGCCGTATGCAATGAAAACCTTATCCCTCAACGTACCTATCGAGCCACCGAGCACCATTTTGTGGATTTTTGGACCGGGCAGGGATTTAAACGACAACTGTAGCTCTCCCTTTTTCATGCCTGCTCGCAACCGAAAAGAAGATACAGTAGGATTGCAATCCCGGAAAAAAGATTATATATAATTATACTTGATTATGTATAGACATGTATAGACAAAATTCATATATAATCATTTTTTCTCGGGATGTCGTATTCAGGTCGAAGGTCGCGACTGATTATAAAGCTATTTGTTACCATAGATGTGCAGTATGCCGTCGTGATCCGCAACGGCGAACTTTTGCGGTTGCTTCGCTTCATTCGGAGGGAACAGCACGGTCGTGCTGCGCGAAGTAACTCCCACCGTCGTGTAATCTATTCTCGTGAGCGCCAGTGTCATTGTGCGAATGTACTTGTCTCAACGGATTTTCGGCCGTTTTGCTCTGGGACGAATCGTCGACGGATCGTCAGATTGTCATCACTCGTTAATTAACGGCAAGCAATTGACACCGCTGCAAAGTGGAATGCCAGGTGAGACGGCGGAGGTGACGATGTTGTACGCCTGCGACGATCAATTTAACCATAGCGACACGAGGCACAACACAAACGGAATCGAAATTGCAGGTCGCAGCGGCGATGCAGACCGCGAATGAAGACTGATTACCCTTCATCGATGAATCCTCGACTCGTACAAATCGTTGAATAATCATCAACACTCACTAATTTCGCAGATTCGAATTGTATTTTAAATTTGTCCGTAATCGAGGTTTAATCGGTCGATCATAAACAAAGGTCGTTCACGATTATCGATATATCGATACTCGTGAACAACCTTTGTTTATGATCGGCGCTCACGGTGAGTTTTTTTTTCAAATATCGTGGAACATCAAAACGTTCGCTGAGAGAGTTAGAAATGGACGTTACAGCTTTGTCGAAGTTTGTGTGATCCGTCGTGTGCTCTTTTTTGAAGCCGGTGCAATCGATTGAGCCACGAGTCTCCTCGGAGGAGCCTCCTCGGAAGTCGGAACGACTCGGTGTCTGAATAAACATAACCTAACGATGAGCAACAAGGCTAACGGCAGTGGTAAATGTACTGCAACTTCCTGAATATTTTTTATTTTGTGCGAAGTGGCGATCTGATTAACTTGCAAGTGCGGACTCGCATTTTGCAAGATTTGTAATCGAAGCTTTGTCCCTCAGGTGAGATAGATCCTGTACAGGAACAATTGGCTGGCAGAGTACGAGAGGTTGGTAATTACGCGATCTGGAGCCTGTCCAGTTGCAAACCGGGCTTTGGTGTGGATCAGCTGCGTGACGATATTACAGAAACGTACTGGCAGTCGGATGGGCAGCTACCGCATCTAGTAAATATTCAGTTCAAGCGAAAGACAACTATCCGCGACATATGTATCTATACAGATTACAAGCTAGATGAGAGTTACACTCCTAACAGGTATTTCCTATTAATTTTGGAAACATATTGGTTGCTTTTCAACAAGAAACATAAGTTGACACGAGTCTAGTTATATCATCATTTGTCCTTACTTAGCATCTGATAAAGAAAAGAATGATAGATGATATAATAAGACTTATCTGTCTCTTGCTGGAAAGCAACCATATTATTGCCAATAATAGTACCTGTTGATATATCCTGGTCAATTTGTAGGATAAGCATTAGAGCTGGCACAAATTTCAATGATCTTCAAGAAGTAGAAGTAATGGATTTAAATGAACCAAGTGGTTGGGTAGTCATTCCTATTAAAAACATCAATGACCGCCCTATCAGGACATTCATGATACAGATAGCGGTTATCAGCAATCATCAAAACGGCAGGGACACTCATATGAGACAGATCAAGGTCCATAGCCCTGCTCAAGATATCCTTGGTCCACCAGCACCTTACATCCCGGGACAATTTCTCACCAATGAATTTTTACGCTACGCTACTATTAGATAAGATTTATAAATTATATGCTCGTTGACCAATAAAATTTTCATATTTATTTGACGAGAGAGTCGACTTAACAATATTTTTCCATTTTCCAGCCACCTGTAACTTGAAAAATCATTTCGTCCTGATGTGACTCTGTTAAAGATATACCAATCCTATATTTGTGAAGACATTAGAAATGAGAGGAATTTTGAAACTTGTATATGTACACATGTAATAAGATCTGTATTAACATTTAGGCATGCTTATCGGCTGCTATTTGGTTGAACATACAAACCATATGCAGAAAAACTGTAAACACACGGTATTATTATTGAGTCATCGTTCATTCAGGACAAACTCTGCATCGGTTCTTGTGGATCAGTAGATTGAACGGACTCGGTGTGTGAACATGTCGAGGAAGCTCCTTCTAATATTCATGTTAATATGCATGACAAAGTGCAAACGTTATCCCTATTACTCGGTCGAGAATTTGTATTCGATACTTGATCGGACGTCAGAATACTTCAAAACTCTCAAAAATGGTAGTATCACTTACGCCTTCACGTTTATTATGAAATTCCTACATTTACTAACAAAGCTTTCGGCACTTTTAGCACACAAATCACCAAATGCCGATACATCGAACACTGACGGCGAAATCGCCAGATACATGGAAGCTACGACCAAGATGATCCATCAGCGGCAAAAGAGAGCTCTTCTGGATAGTTTACAGCCCAATCAAGGTGGGTTTAGACCGAAAACTTGGACATGCAAGATGCTTTCCATTTAGTGAGTCGACACAAGTATCATTTAGATTTGTTTCACATTCGATGAATAACGAAGGTAGGATAATGCTTATGTCGACTTGTATCACCGAATGGAAATTTTTCACTTGCGCAAAAATTTCGTGAAGTCAATTACTTAATTATTTTATACAAAATACACATTTATTATATCATGTAACATTTATCGTACAGTTATGTATGTTAATCTGAGAGTTTGCTGAATTTTCCCTCGATACCGAAGAGCTCTTTGAACGCGTGCTGACAGTCATGCTCGGTTAGGTATTTGAGAAGTTGGCCCATGTCATTGTGGCGCTCGGTGGTGGGAAAGGAGACCTCTTGAAAATCTGTAAACTTGCGCAAGCCGTCCACATTGTTGCAATCTTCCTCCTTTTCCAGTAGTTTGATCAGTATCCTGTGCCAGTTCATAGCTTTGATCTGTAAGTCACGGAATAATGACACGAAAATATGCGACGTTGAGAAAAACCACTGAAAGAAATCACCGGTGAATGTCACCTTTAGCCAGCAATAATCGCAGTCTTCCAGAGTTCCCTCGATGCAAATGATCCCCGGCTTGCCGGCTAAACAGAAGCCCGTGATCGAGTTTTCCTTCGTCAGATTGGCCACGTCCCGTCGCTTGAACTTGCTGTATATGTGGTGACTATAGATCCAATACCGGGAGAAAACTACAGCTTGATTGGTTGAGTTACTTTTATCAGCGTCATTGCACTTGATCGTTTGGCCAGACGCGGAAGCTTTCAGATAAGTTTCCACGTTGTCCTGTAGCCACGAGATCAGTGTGTAGATACACGGCTCCCCTGCCTCTTGGGCCTTCACGATGGTAGAGAGTTCCTTGTTCAATAGGCACTGTTGCGTTCTGTCGAACTGAGAACTTCTCACGTATACCTCAGGCTGCTCCTGGGGGTAGTTGGTTGGTAGGCTCACCATCAGTTCGATCAACTCCTGGTCAATATGGAAGATACGATGAGCATACGATTGGAAAGGAATATACGAGCATATGAGAGGAAATTCAGCTGGAAATGTTGGGGAATATATAGAATATGGACATAGTATGCACTTGTGCGAAACATTAAATATTACATTACTCCGTTCAACGGAATCGCGATGGCGTATTCCAGCCACCGTGGTGGGTCTCTGTCAGGACATTCGATGTAGCCATTGATGTCAGCCAAAACCCCATGGTCCGCCACTGTGAGTTCTGTCGGGTAGACCGACTGCAAAGCCTGCAGCTCGTTCACCTGCGCCGTCAGATTTTCCGTCACCTCCTCCAAAGTGGACATGCTCTGAACGTTGACACATGCGACGAAATAATAAAACGGTGTCACGTCGTTGTACACAGCACGAGTGATCAGGTCAGCCGAAAGTGAAACGATAATACGCAACGCCGCTATCGTCCAAACGACGCTCGTTGTTGTTGAGGTTATCAAGAAATCAGCTGTTATTGATGTTCCACAGGAAGTCCTGCTCCTTCAGCTGCCATTTGAAATCGGAGAATGTTACGATGTACTTTTTATTTTCCCTTTAGTTCTCTCGGCACATGTAATATGATAATTATAAAATATATTTATCAGTATAATTATGTTAATATATAATTATACTAAAACATTTCTTTTATACGTGAATATAAAATTTTTAATCTTTTCCTTCTTTGAAAGAATTTTTAAAAGAATCTGTGTAAATTTTAACAATATTAATGTTCAACATTTTATCTTGTTACAAATTTTATTGTTTGTAATGTAATTGAAATTATCAATTTAATTTGTAATTCTAAATCATGATTTTTTATTAACAGAGGTAAATGTGCTGCAAGGTTTCGAGGAAGCCTTATCCGTCACCAATCTGTCAGACTTTCAGGATGTAGCTTTCGTTCCTGTACAAGATGAGCAACGATTATTTTGGCTCGCGGCTGCCATCGACTCCTCAAATATACAGCTGTATCAATTATTTGTACGTCATAATTTAATTTAGAAAGAAGAGATCGAGAGATCGATTTAAAAAGAAGAGAAAGAGAGACAGTTATCGTGGACAAAAACTGGATTTTTTTCCAATCTTTCCGCAGATCTTTTCGGTTTCTTTCCCAGAGTAGAAAAGTTAGGTAGAAAAGTTCGTTCGGAAAAATTAACGTGTGTTCAATTAAAATTTGCCTATCCTAAATAAGAAATCACTAATACAACATTATTATATTATTAAATAACAGTTTAAAGATATTTATAAAATATTGTGTCAGAATGTTTATAAAAAAAAAAATCCACATAAAATCAATGTTTCAGAAGATTGATTTAATCTTCTTGCTTACTGAGTTGGCAGGTTCAACCGAATACACGTGAATTTATCCAAACAAATTTTTCTACCTTTGGTAAAAGAAACTGAAAAAATCCGCGGAAAAATGAAAATAAACTTGATTTTTTTAAACTATGAGAGATATATATGTGAAGCTTCCTCTTTTGTATAATCACATCTATTCCTTTCAGGACAACACAAGGCTTCTTTTGGCCAGCTACCCGCAGCCTAATGGAAAACGGATAATAGTAAATAATTACGGCGCCGACATATTCACGGTCGTCCAAACGAACACCGGTGAAATCGTCGTTCTGCGTGTCGGCCGAAACAAAACCGGCGTCTACGAGTTTCAGTTCAAGCAGGAGTTCGAGATTCCCGGGGCAGTATACACGAACATGTGGTTCGGAACGAATCAATTGTACCTGGGTGTCGCTTCCAATGCGAAGGTCTTCATTTACACCTGGCTCGGAGAGCACTTCGACAAGATAGACACCTTGCACTTCGGGGCGAGGAAATTATTGTTCTTCCGGCAGAAGAGCTTCGTGTACATCATCGTCGTGGGACCCCTCACGAGAATATTCCGATTCTCTGTACGCTCAAATAAATTCATAGAGACGCAGAAGTTGCCGGGCACTCAAAGCGCCGGTCTATTTTACTTCAAAGAAGGCCGCCTCGAGGAGCGTTTCTTAGCTCTGGCCGACGATAATTTCACGATTTTGTACAAAGAAATGTACAATCGTTTCGTGCCGTTTCAAAGGGTCGCTTCGGCGAGACACGTTCATTCCTTGATGACGGCGGATACCGTGATTCTTCTTACCGCGACGGAAGGGAATAGCGTGAATTTTTATCAATACGACGGTTGGAGGTTCGTAGGGCTGCACGCGAAGCTGTCAAACATTCGTGCGATTCGTCGAATCTATTCGCACGATGGAGACACGTTGGTGCTGCAAAATCAGGACGGAGAGTGGAAGTTCCTGAGGCCTGTTTGGACCGTGAGGAAGACGTGGCAAGCTTTGCGGAACGAAATAGAGGCCTGGTGTTCCGAAGTCAAGCGGAAAGCATCTCAGAGAAGCTCGGGGAGGATTCCAGATCTCGAAAGTCCCGTGAAGATACCGGATGCGCACATCGGTCAGCTTCGTGTTCAGAACGTAAGACAGAGCTCTTATCTTTGATGTCCCAAACAGGGATTTTCATTCTGCTCGACTTAAACCAACTGATGCAAGTATTCGATCTCAACTATTGTTCGCAGATAAACGATCACAATGCGTCGGAATTGGTCCGCTTGACGGAACGATACAGAAGAACAATTTCTATGTTAAATTTAGCGAACAACATCTTAACGCGTGGAACAAGCACCGGGAAATCCCAGAGGACAGTTCTGTACGGTAAAAAAGTCACAGTCCAGTGCAAGACGAAATGTTACGTTCGCCGTTTGAACACAGATACCGAGATGAGACCTGTTGAGAGATCCGGGAAATTAAAAAGCTCTGATCAAGCTTTAAAATTCGCCAACTTGAAAGTAAAAGCGATGAACAACTGGAAATGTCCCATTCCCAGTTTCGAGATAGACGATATATTTGTCAAGGGGACCGTTAACGGGATATTAATGGAAACCCTTCAAGAAGGAACATTGAGGATTTCTGGAAACCAGACAGTCTCAGGTAATTCAACGCAGCACGCAGTTCCTCCTTTCTTTAATTATTTTTACGTCAATTATATGTCAATTTTAATTTCCGTGATTTCTTAGGTGAACACTTCTTCAGCAACTTGTACGCGACGAACATTTCTATTCCACTGGACATCGCGACGCATAAAACTAGCGTGATATTGCAAATAGTAGAGGCAAGAGCGAAAGAACTGCATTTGATCAATGACGAATTCTTCTTGCCACTGAACGGTCCCACAAGCACGATGACCGGCTCGATAACGGCCGTGAAGGTCAAAATTACAGGACTTATTGAGTCGAAGGGAAAAATAGCGGGCAAAAGTGCGGAGAAGTTGATGCCCATAAAAGATATTTACACACCCTTGGAATTGCCTCGCGACTGTTTCCTGCAAAACGTGACGTTCAGAAACCTTGTCAGAGCTCGAGACATCGTCATCTTAAATGATAATAATAATGAAACGATTGTTCGTCCTAAGTTATCTATGAAGAAAATTTTAGAGAACAAAATACCGCTGAACTCTAGCCTACCGAAACATGTGATATTATTTGCCCATAAAACAGTTAGTAATTATATATTCCAACGAAGATTCTACGATTGTGTGTGTGTGTGTGTGACACCACATCTTGAATTTACTTCACGTTTTCACTTTACAGCAATGGGACAACGTGACTATCTTTAACTATAGTAACTGGGTGACGAAGAATTCGACCGATACCATAGTCGTTTCCGCTGCTAAACACGCAACCAATAACATCGTTTTGGGAGGAGCTGCCTACGAAAATCTTTCCGTTCCAAAGTGCGCGCGTTTCTCTTTTTTTTCTGAGAAAGATGCATATATATACATAAGATGTGTAGATTCTATGAAGATATATTTGTTTCAGATTGACCATTCCCATATGTACGCAGGAAGTTGTCACGCAAGACATTACAAGTTCTCTGATAACGGTGGACGATTTAATTGTAGAAAATTTATACGTATCGAACGTTACTGGAACTCGTGACTTCAACAGTACCATGTTCGGTTTCGTGTCAGCCTTGCACAATGTTGATTTCTCGACGAAGCTATTCGCCGGGCAAGTCTTCGTGAAGAATATTTCAGCGTCAAAAATTCAAGGATTAGATACGGAAGGTAAGTAGGACGAAGAACGCGTGTATGCGCGCAAATACAAGTTGGAGACATTTTCGTGATATTATGCTTATAATTTGTATCATGTAGAGTTAAAGAGCCATGTAAACAAGTGGATAGACGTGGATCGCATCAAAGGACCAGTGAACATCAGCAAGTTACAAGTTGAGGATCTAGTAACGCCGGTCAAGTTTAATTTTCCTTTACCTAATATAGTAAACACCGTCGTTATACTTGGGAATAGTAATATCGGGAAGATCAATGGCATGAATATGTCATCCTTCATCGAAAATGCACAAAAAGTGAACGACACAATGTCTTTGGAAATAGCAACATTCGGTAAATTATATACTGTATATTTTTTATATTGAATTATATTAGTTATATTATTGTATATTAATTATCTTATATAGGGTATTTATTGCTAAGTGTCTCATCCGTCATATTGTAGTTTAGGTTAATATGAATAAAAAAGTCCTTTATTGTTTTACAAACCATGCGAAATTTTTAGTTAATAATAATTGAAAATAGCCATGTATAGAGACTTCTTTAATTAATAATTCAAAAATTTGCATGATTATTTGCAAAATGGTAAAGGATTTTTCATTCATATTGACTTAAACTACAAATATATGACGGATGGGACAGTTAGGGACCGACACCCTGTATATTTAATTAATTAATTATATCATTCTTGTATCTTGTTTCACAGATTATGAGTTCGCATCTAACCACACACACGCTTCTTATTCGACGCTAAAACTCCCCCGTATAGATGCGCATCCTAACTTGCATTCAAAACAGATCGTTGGCACTTTGGAAACGAGCGCGATAAATGTGTCTTTCGGCTATGTTGCGAACAACGCATCGTCAACTTTTGTTATAGAGGGTATGCAATAATGAAATCCGTCAATTACATTTCCTACAACGACGATAAATGTTTAAACGTGATATATATTATCTTAGGGACAGCTACATTCACGAAAGAACCGACGGTGCAAAATGTGAAGAATGTTAATCTCAAACGATTATCCGAGAACTTATGGATGTCGGATCAGAATACAGTTATATCCGGTATCAATCTGAGTCTGGAGAATATGTCTATGAAAGACAGAGTTGTTATATTTGTAAGGATATGATTGATCTAATCTCTCGATTAGCTTCAGGATTATAATATCAGCCATGGTTGAAATACTTGTTCTGCTTCAGAACGCTGAAAATTCGCTGAATACACGCATGTGGTTGAATCTGACGAGGAAATTATTGAGCAAGACGAGGCAACAGAATATCACCACGGCTGGGTCGTTCAAAAGCGTCAGGGTACCCGTTGTCGGTGCAACGGATAACTCAATTCTCCAGACTTCGGCTCCCGAGTTGAAGATACTGCTGACCAATTCTCTGATGAGAAACAGTGCGGAGACACAGATCGTGGATGCTACATGGCACTTCGAAGAATTGAACATAGGTTAGGCGACGTAACGAGAAGATGATACGTTATTTCTTTTTAGAGAAAATATTAAAACAGTTCAATTATTTCTCTCGCTTCATTCAGATAATTTATATTGGAACGGCAAATTCAATGATGTCGACTTGAACACGGAAATCGTTAGGAATGACGCAGAGCAGAATATCATCACCGGGAGGAAGGTAGTCGCAGACTTATCTATAGAAAGTCTCTGGTCGTACAACAAGAACTTCTCGAAATTTGCCAAGTATGCTCTGACTGAGAAATGTCGGGACATAACTGCGATCAGAGGACGAAAAACTTTCAAGAACATTAACTTGAATAACTTGAGGTAACACCGATGCATCATTCTCAAGCCAATATCTTAATCGAGGTAACATTGTTACGAACTTAAAACTTTTCTTCACCAGTGTCAAAGGTAAGCTGACAGGGCGCAGCATCGAGGAAGCGTTGCTAAAGTCTAAAAAGCAAACGGTATTCGGTGTCAAGACGATACAAGGTCACCTGGATGCATCATCTTTTATTGCTCTTACTAGCATTGTGAACGATGTGAATCTGATGCGGTTGATTAATGATCAAGTAAAGAAGCACGAATTAACGCAGACAATAGAAGCCGAGATCAACTTCCGGAAAGATCTTCAAGTTTTCGGAAACGTCACAGTCGGTAGACTTTACGAAGGTGTAAATATGAATAATATCAGCAATAACAGCGAATTGAACGCTGTTCTGAACAGAACGACGGAAGTTGCGGAACTGACGCGCGACATAAAAACCGGGTTACACAGTGAGTTTGGCCATTCTGATCATCGAGTGCTTCAAGTTACGATAATGCAGATTTATCAAGATATTTTTCATCTTTTCTACGCAGATCCCGCAACTTACGTGAGCAAATTCGAAGAGGTAAATGAAGATGTATCGAAGATCACCGCAGATCCCGATACCGAGGATGCAATGGCTCTCAATGGTACTTGTATCTGCGAGCCGAAAAATCTTTCCAACTTTTGCGACGATACGAAGTTATTAAGTATCCTTGCCAGCAAAAATTCCAGCTCGTTCATAATAACGAGACTGGTGTTGCTAGATGATACCGTGTTTGTGATAATAGTGTCATCGGACTTCGTCTCGGTTTATACCTATGCCGATGTAGAAGATTTGCGTCAGAGAACAGGCAAGTTCCGCAGTTTGAGTAAACAACCACGTTTGCATGGAAGTTACACTAAAGCCGACTTAGTAACAGCCGTATTTTTTTACAATACCTTATAAAGTAAAACAAAGAAAAACGTTACTTGGCCTATGAGAGCTAAAACCGTTGTTATTTGAGCGTAACGATCCAAATAACACTGAGATATCTTAAAGAAGTTGTCTCTTAGACAACAAGGTCAGGTTTTACATTTTCTAGGTAACTTGTGGTAGACTTAAACTGATAATAATGCAAAAATTGTACTTTTCTATTCATGGTTAATTATTAAATTGACGGTTTTGTAGTAGTAACTTTTAAAATTTAATGATTAACTATGAATAGAAAAATATAATTTTTACATTATCAGGTTAAGTCTAAATCACAAGTTAATCAGAAAATAAAAAACCGGACGTCTTGTAGACATACGTGTTGTTTTTGGGAAATTTATTAATTATAATTTACAAAAAAGCGTTTCTAAGACCTTCCTCGGTTAACAGTCGTAACAAAGAATCACAAAGAAATAAAGATTGGTGAGAAAAATAGATCATTAGAAAGTAAAGGTGTGCACACAATACTGGTATAAAATCGCCAGCAGATATAATTTCGGTATTCAGTCCTTAGTTGTAACTACTAGTGTTACCTGTCGTGTAAACAAGTACGTTACAACTGTACTGCGCAATATATAACACTAGCAATTGCAACATCGAGAATTGTCAAATTGATCTTGACAAATGTAGTCGATATTGTTCATGCAAATGACAAGCGAAAGGAAATTATGACGTATGTATGAACTATCGATTGACAGAATTACACCTGCCCGACATACTTCAAGCGTCTGTGGAGCCAGCCGAGCACGCACTATGGATCGCTCTGCGATTGCCGAGGCAGACTTTGGTGTTACGTTATCAAGCGTGGAACGAATTCGAGCAATACGTTTTGCCACCCTCGGACACGCTGGTGACCAGCAAGACGCTGAACAACCAACACTTGCTCATACGATCTGACGGTGTGTGGAATCTCGCAGGAGTTTTCTATCCGGAGCATATATGCAAACTGCCCTTAAACGGGGAGATAAAAGCCTTCGCTCGAGGCGCCGATTATTACGTGAAGGTAACGAGGAAAAATAGCACAGTTTTCCTGAGAGCGCGGTACGTAGGTAACTAAAATGTATAAAATTAGTTAGCTAGGTATAATTCCTAGGAACAAGCTTATTTTAAACTCGGCGAACACGCGTTCTCTCTGTAAATACGTTCATTTGTATATCTATCTTATAACTGTTTAAAAAGCATATGTAGAATTAATTTGCAATGTAAATGTGTTGTATACGACGTGTTTAACATATGTTTCATCGTTCTAATTCACCAGATAATTTATTTTTGCAAATGTTAAGTGAGCGATATCAAGTGATATTAATGTTAAGTGAAAGAAAAGGGTGCAAAGAAGCAAATTACAGATCGCAGTTACGTGTCGAGATTCTAGAATTGACTTCCGCCTGCCATAATCGTGGAAGCTGCCGCCTAAGGAAAAGAAAAACTTTTGCTATCTCTCTTCAACTTTTCTTTTACCAAATTGCCTCAATACGTTAGTTAACTCCGATAACGTACTTTCGCGGCGCCCTTGAGAATTGTCACTTCCTCTGTTTCATGCGGCTTGTCTTCGTCCGTCTCATTACTTTCCTTGACCGTGATCCGTTTCTGAAAATCGGTCACTCGTAATCTCGCGACACTATTCATTACTGTTGTTGCTCTCTTTAATTATGTTTCCCAAATTTAGCACGTTCAGCTAGGTATACACTGAGCGAGCAAACGAAAGGAATCGTTCGTTCAGTGTATACACACCTTTAGACACCAATTATTATTATTATTATTATTATTATTATTATTATTATTATTACGAAGCTTGATGGGAATTTTGCTGTCGGATATACGACAAGATGTGCGTGTACATCAAGTGGACGATCGCCAGCGATCTGCTCAGCGTGACGTACGACATAAACGACAGAAAGAGGCAGCTCAACTTATGAACGTTCAAAAGTAACGATCGTACGAGGCTCGGCATTAGTATTGAGCTCCTCTTAGAGAATTTCTCCTCGTGTCTCTTGCGCTCCTCGATCGCGTTGTTCAACGCGGCCTGCTCCGCGGGCGTGAGCACCAGCAGACGCGGATCCATCGCGATCCAGTCACTCTGGACGATCTGGTCCAAATGCCAGCGTTTCGACACGTCCGGCTCCAGCATGTTGCTCACGAGCTTCTTCACGTGATCAGTCACAGTGTCCATCACTTTGCGACGAAACCTCCACTTGCGCGTTATCTGCTCCTCGTACAGCCGCTTAATATTGGTCTCGTTGAAGGGCATCGCCTTGTTCAACAGGATGTACAAGATCACGCCCAGCGACCAGATGTCGGATATCTTTGGGTTGTACGGGAAGCTGCGCAGGATCTCTGGAGCCACGTAGGACAACGAGCCGCAGTACGTGTCGCTAAGTACACGCTTACCACGTCCGTCGACCGTGTAGCGGGCGAATCCGAAATCCGCTAGCTTCACATTGTAGTTGGACGTTAGCAGCACGTTCTCGCATTTCATGTCGCGGTGCGCTATCTCCATCTCGTGCAGGTACTGAAGACCTGAGGAAAGTATATTCACGCGACGTTAGTGCAATTCTTACTTTTGACGTTACCTAATAAAGTATATATACGACGTAACACAAATACCTAGAGCAAGCTGTCTAAACCACACGCGCGCCTGACTCTCCGCCACCGGGCCGTTCTTCAGCATGAAGTCGAAGAGGTCGCCGTTCTCGGCAAAGCGCATGAATATAAAATATTTGGTGCGCCTTTGGAAGATGCTATGCACATGTACGACGTGCGGGTGATTCAGCTTCACCAGGATGTCCAGTTCACGCGGCAGGAACTTCTTGACGACGTTTTTCGGTGCATTCGTGGTATCGATGATCTTGCAGGCCAAGATGCTATTGTGGTCGGTCTCTTGCTCCGGTTTGTACTCGGCCAGGTATACCTGAGCAAGAAAGGAGGTGTCATTTGTGCCATTGAGGGCGATTGGACGAGAAAATTGGATCCTTCGATATAGACCTTCGCATAGCAACCTTCGCCGAGCTTTCTCACCAACTTGTAACCGCGGGCTTCCAACGTGGCCTCCTCGGACGGAGTCTGGCTCAGCTGCGACATGAGTTTCGTGGAACGATGGACGGCATTCTACCAGCTGTTTACCGCATTTCACAGTAATGGTAATAATTCACGGCTACTTTGTGACATTTTAAACGAATGGACGAGCATAACTCGAAAACACACCGCGGGAACATCCATTTGCGCGCGTGGCTGAGCGAAAGAATCGGGGAGACGCATGTGCTGGTAACTCCGTTCCGTTTCCCTCGTTGCGACAATGACGAATCTTATACTAGAAATTTGGTGAGCACCAACGATCATTTAACCATTTTGACGGGTCGTGAAACGACGTTCGCGGTTCTACACAGTTGATCGCCGCGAACTCGGTTGCTGGTCGAAGCGGAAACGGAAACAGCGGAATATCGAAGATACGAAAAGCAAGACACGCAAGTCGAAGGGAAATGCATACACACACGCACACACACACCGATGTAAATAATAGTAAATTATTAATATATTTCGATTTCGACATTAAAAAAGGAATTCTTGATCGGTTGATTAATACGGACAAAAGTTCATGCGAAGTTTTTTCACAGTTCGGGAGCATCTTCTAAACGTTGAATAATTCTCTTGTATTCCTCTTCTAAAAATCGATACTCCTTATCGAGAATCTGTACACGTTGTTCCAAAGGTGGTAGAGGGTTAACGCGCTTGTCCACGTACATCAGCGCGCGTTCCAACTTCTTCTCGTCGTTCTCTTTCCTCTTGTACGGTATGTTCAATCTTCTTTTCACGTCTAATCTGTACGCTCGGTACTCCTCCTCGTTCACGACGTTCGTTGCGCGTAATCGCAAAATTTCGTACACTGTGCGAGCTTGTTTCTACAAAGAAAGAAAAAACTATGAGAACGGAAAAACAATGATATTACAAGACGAATCGGGTGTTAAGGTAGATACCTTGTTTATCTTGAATTTTTCCCTCGCTTCAATGGCCATCTGATTGTTGAAGCCTTGCATTAAGTGTTCCCGTTTAAAGCTAGGCAGTGTGCTGCAATTCACGGCATCCACGTAATTCCGTATTCGTTGGAACGTCACGGACGGATCCTCAACTGCAAGTACCAGTCTTGTTAAAGCACATGCGACCCATGTGTGTCATATGCGATCACCTCGTGAACATCGTTTTCATTACCCGTTATATCTTTAACTTCGTTCATCCCAACGTATTCGCGATAAATCGCTTGCAACAGCTGTGTGCCGAGGCCCATCTGTCGGAACGGCGGTAGAATGACAACTTGCGCGATGCGCGGTCGAATGTGCTGCGGGTACGCATAATATCGATAAACTGTGACGAAACCAACAGTTCCATATCGGGATGCACCGGTGGATGTAGTATATTTTTCAAACCTGTTTAGAAAAGAGGAAAAATTTAGGAGGAAAATTAGAAATAATATATATAGTATAAGCGATGTATATTTTTTTATCTTATACAACGGCTATACTTAGTGGTTTATTGGCTATACAACAAAATTATGGTCAGCAAAGTATGTACTCTTCCAAATCCTACAATTTTTGCCTGGAATATTTCTTTCTATTTCGCTTTATTTTTTATATATTTAAGTATCTCAATTTAAATGTCTCATCCTCTATATATATATTTAATATATATATTATATATCTGATACGATTTCTGAAATAATGACATTAAATAATACGTACATATTAAAGTAACTCCACTGTTCATCATCAATATCAATGAAATTAGCCGCATCTATGTACCAAAGAAGAAACGTTTGAACCCTCTGGTGATATTCTTTGAACTTTTTGCAGTTTATATCTGCCTTGTAGACTTCGAATTGCCTTGCTGTGCCATTGTCTATATTTGACATATTAAAAGTTTAATACATGTAGTTGTTATAATTCAACTAATGCATGTATGAAAATTAGAAGTTATTCATTATCTTGTATATCAGTGAATATCAAAAGTACCATTTATCGTGAACGAATACAGCAATTCTCCCTCTGGTTTGAATGTATCATCCTTCTTAAGCGCACTAATAAAAGTATCTAGACTATAGTGAACATTTGGCGCGAGCTTCTCAGCCATCTTTGTTAAAACTTTGTCAGGTTCCACTCCCTTGAAATCAAGATCACTTGCTTTCTCCGTATAGGTCATTCCCAAGAAAGTTTCCAAGCAACCTGCTGTATAGTACAACTGTACCTTTAAATCACAGTAGCCAAATATGGTTTCCCTAAACAAGAAAAGTAAATCTTATAAGAAAAACAAATGACTTTTATATTATTATACAATATATATATATATATGTTTCAAGCAAAATGTTTACACTTAAAAAAATACATTTTCAAGATATAAATGTCACAACATACATTGCCCCAAACACTTGATGGGACATTTCCGGTTTGAATACAGCTTCTTCGGAATCCAGGTCCTCAATATTACGGATCAACTTAAATTCCAGCGCATCGTTGCTATCTATCATGAATTTTTTTAAACGTGCATCCTGAATCGTTTTTAAATTTTCCATTGTCCTGAAGATAGAAATTGACAAGGGTGAGGAGCACATCATTGTTTGCTCAAACTACTACATATTTCCTATCTCCAACAAGGATCTAGCCTTGACAGAAGAAATAATCGTTTACAGGTTAGGGCATCACAAAGAAATAAATCAAATTCGCGATGATTCGAAGCAGCAATCGATGAAAGATCAACTCTAGTCTTACTAAGGTGAATCAACAATTGTCAAACTAGACGTGTGTGTTATGTATGTGTGTGTGTGTGTGTGTGTGTGTCGTGTGCCTGTGTGTACACAGTCCAACGAGCATAATGTGACTTGTGATATTAATGCTCAACATCTTCATTTCTTGTGCACGCACACCGAATTCTCATTGTTTTACAGATTATTCGGATTAATCTACCTTGCGTCGGTGTGCACGGCGAGGTGATTCAAACGTCAGTCGGTACCTTCCGCATGAACTACTTGTCATAAAGCAACTTCGCGCCAAAACAGAGCCGGTTATGCGAGCCAGTTTGAATCGAGACGCAGAACTGAATCCGTACTCTCTCGGCATTCGCTGGGCGATTCATAAGTGCGATGCGGAGGAACGTCGGTCCGAGCGGTGATTTCCGTACGCGAGAGAGATATGTCATCGATCCTGCCGGCGAATCATATGTCGTCACAGCCGCTAACGGCTGTTTCAATTGGTCCGGAAAGCTCCCGCTTCGATGTCGCGTCGCAAAGATCTCGCGCTTGTTACACCGGGCGTTTGATTTTAGATGAGGGTCGACGAATCAGCGCTTGTAGTTCTGATGGATCACTAACTGACCTACTGGCGCCACCTACGAACATTATCGCCCGTGTTTCTCAGCATATTTCCGTGCGAAGGTGAGTAACAATTTTACTTTTTTCTTTATTCAATCGGCCGGACAAGCCGATTAACTAATAGCAGAAACGAACAGTTTAGCGGACGCACACTTTTATTGTATATATTGTAGAGAAATTATAATAAACATAAATTTAAATATAAATTTTTAACATGTAGACTAGAGTTACATTCAATAGTGTATTGTACGGAAGTGATTAAATTGTCGCGTGCTCCGTAATACCGATAGTGCATAACCTTAAAATACGGTAGCTTTGAGGAAGGATCGTTCCTGTTATCGTTCAACGCTGTTATCACTTGGATCAAATAAAAATACAGTGTTATAATGAAGACACAGAAATGGGAGGAACTGGATGTACGATTAAGCGATTCTGTGTTAAAAACACTCAAGAAATTGAAGTTTTTCAACATGACACCGGTTCAGGTGATGTATTCTTATGATGTTTAACAAAATTTAATAAAATATTAAGTCAGTTATCTAGTCAAGATAATGATATAATACTCACAGTATCATCTTGTTAATTTACAGACAGCTTGTATACCATTATTATTGAGCGGTAAAGATGTAGCAGCAGAAGCTGTTACAGGTAGTGGGAAAACACTTGCTTTTCTTGTTCCTCTGTTGGAAATATTACAGGTGATCTTTAAAGTCATATGGATTTATTTTGATAATTGCTTGTTTTAAACAGTTTCAAGAATTCGTGATATAAATTATATATAAAAGTTTTTACTTTTGTTATAATAATTTGTTATAATAATAAATATTAAAAAATTTGTGAATTATATAGAAAAGGCAAGAAAAATGGAAATCCATGGAGGTAGGTGCAATAATAGTCAGTCCAACAAGAGAGCTAGCTACACAGATTAGTGAAATTTTGGGAGAATTCTTAAGAAGAATTCCATCACTGAAGCAAGTACTACTGGTTGGAGGTACAACACTTCAGGAAGATGCAAAGAAATTGAAGAAAGGAGTGAATATTATTGTCGCCACACCTGGTAGATTGGAGGACATTCTATCTAATTGTACTTCTATACATTTGAGCTTATGTGTAAAATCTTTGGTAATTGACTTGTCATTTTATAACAATCTCTTTTTACAACTTTTTTAAATTATAAACTAAAAACATTTTCATTTCTACAGGAACTTCTTGTATTGGATGAGGCAGATAGACTGTTGGATTTAGGTTTCTCTGCAAGTTTAGACAGTATATTAAGTTATTTACCACGTCTCAGAAGAACAGGGTTATTTTCAGCAACGCAGACAAAAGAGTTGCAACAGCTGATTAGAGCTGGATTAAGAAATCCGGCATTAATCATCGTAAAAGAGAAATCCAATATTTCGACACCTGTTAACTTGAACAATAATTACATAATTGTCCAACCTGAGTACAAATTGTCGGTAATGATAGATTTCATACGCTCGAAGGGATTTCAGACAAAGTACATGATATTCTTATCCACTTGTGCGTGCGTAGATTACTTCAGCCAAATCATAAAGACGTAAGACATATTTAATATACTTCAGATTTATTCAAAGATCATTCATTCATTATTAGATTTTCATTCATTATTAGATTTTCCATTTCTCTATATGTGCAAATATATACATATTTAATTTCTAGAAGTAAGAAACTGAGTTTTAATAATGAAGAACTTTGAGAATTTACTCATCTTAGTGATAAAACAAGTGTTATTCGAAAAATTATAACTTCAACAGCTTTGGAGACATTAACGTGCACATCTTGTTTACGTAATTGTTATTTTTATTATTTATTTTTATGTTCATGCTCGAGAATTCATTTTTATCGTTACAAACGAGTAAAATACACCTGAAGTTTCTAAATCCTTATTTTAGATATCATTGATGATACCATTATTTACAGATTGTTACCATTGATAGATATATTTGCTATACACGGCAAAATGAAGAGCAAGAGATACCAAGTGTTTAACGAGTTTCGAAACGCCAAAAGCGGCATTTTAATATGTACAGATGTAATGGCTCGTGGAATCGATATATCCGAAGTTAATTGGGTGTTGCAATACGACCCTCCCTCCACAGCCAGCAGTTTTGTGCACAGGTAACAAATATTGTCTTGTATAAAAAAGTCAATGATGTATGTCAGTATTTTAAAATATTTTGAATGATTGTTCCACAAAGTTAATTTGCGATTTGCAGATGTGGTAGGACTGCTAGGATCGGCAATGAGGGGAACGCGTTGCTATTTCTCCTAGAGACCGAGGACGCGTATGTAGATTTCATCAAGAGAAATCAAAAGGTGGAGTTGCACAGGATAGAAATAGAGCCGTCTGAGGATACCATGGAAGAATGCTTAAAACGTATGAGGGCTCTGCAACAGGAGGACCGGCTTATGTTTGACAAAGCGAACCGCGCATTCGTTGCGTATGTACAGGCGTACAGTAAGCACGAGTGTAGTTTAATTCTCCGATTGAGGGACATCGACTTGGGGAAACTGGCGATGGGTTTCGGGTTGTTAAAAATGCCGAGGATGCCGGAGCTCAAGGGGAAGAACGTGTCGTTTTTCATTGGTCCCGAAATCGACGTGAACACGATAGCCTACGCGAACAAGCAACGCGAGTCGCACAGGATGGAAAAATTAACGAAGTATCGAAATACCGGCGTTTGGCCGAATAACCACAAGCGCAGGCAGAAGCAGACTGAATCATGGTCGGAAGCCAAAAGGAGGAAACTTGAGAAGCAAGAGAAACGAAGCAAACGGAAGGAGAAGAAGAAACTGAAGCAGCAGCTCTTGACAGTCTCCGGTAAGAAAAGGAGGAAGCGAATAAACGAGGAAGATCTCGAGGATTTGGCGAAGGATATAGCTTTAATGAAGAAATTTAAAAGAAAAAAGGTAATGTTCGCGTGTCTCTTCTATATCATTCATTTTTCTTCTGCATTGAGAAATCCACTTAGTTGACTCAAACAAAATTCTTGTTTGGATATGAGCAATCAAATGTTTGGTTTTCTGAAACGAAAATGAAAAAGGTTCCAAAATTTGGTTTGGAGAACCAAATTTTGATTCTCACAACCAAGACATTTATTCGCCTATATCCAAATGAAACTTTTGTTTATCAACTAAATGGGTTTCTTAGTTGTGTATCATAAGGATGTATTTCTCGCATATTATCGCTTTGTACAATGCTTTCTACGTTTTCTTACAGATCTCCCAGGAAGAGTTTGATACAGCTTTTGGAATCTGAAGATACCGGTTGCGAATACTCGACGAATATACGAGCCACGTATGAGATGAGCGAATGGAAACTCACATTGATAATTTTGTATATACACATAAATTTTTTTAATTTTTGTTCCAAATATACACCATTACACACGCCACTCAATTTACCGACTGGTAAATAAACGCACCTCGTTTTCATTTATTTCAAGCACCTTGTTTTTTCTCGTAGCTCCTTCCCATCGTGTTCCCCATGAGTCTTCCGTGGATCTCGTACGAGTGAAAGAGTGTAGCTCAGATTGACAAGAGTCGTTCAATGAATGTGTGACGAGTGTATTTATTTGCAGGAAACATCACAAATGGACCTCGTGGGAGGAGACTCTAATTTCTGTTGCCGCCTCGTTAGAAGCTCCTCAGAGTTTCGTCCATACAAACAGGCAACACTGTCAAATGCGAGACTCGCTCCTGCAGACACAAAGCCCGCCGGCTATCCCCACCTTCGTGCGGCCTTTAAAACTGTTTCATCTGTGTACAGGATCACTGTTGACCGCATAGCAGAGGCCAGGATAAAAGCCGAAGAGGGGGAGAGCTGTCTCACAGACACGAACGTACACGTATGTACGCTTGAAAGAGCGCCGAAGAATAGGGCTGCCTGTACCTTGAAGAAATGGAGTGTGGCGGAAGGGAGAGATTTCCGAGTATTGGTGCGATAGTGGCTCTGAGCCGCGCTCCGATGACTCATCCACATTCGTGTCAGAAACGTCAAGCGGCCGCGTGAGATAAGTTCGGCTTCGGTGGATGGACGAGATAAACGTGCAATCTCGATTCGCGAGCACTCGAGTTAATTTTTTCGACTTGATGAGTGGTTTTCCGCATGATGGAGGAGGATATTGCTAACCGGCCCAAGTGGTTGTTGGAGTTGGAAAATCGTAAGAGAAAGGTACGTTGTGAAGGCTATTTCGTGTACGAGGTGAACGCTACGCGATTGTGGGCAGGGCAGGGCAGGGAATACCGCACAGTATAGATTCAAATCGATTTTAGCCGGTCAAAATTCCAAACTTTCCGGAATATTTATATTTTATAATGAAATTTAGAATGTCCCTAAATATACTTTCGAAGATGTTCCATCAGATTTTACTTTTGATTATTTAATATTTTTATGATAAAATGTCTAAAATATGAAATATGAATAAGAATCAAGTTATCAACGTTATTTCCAATCATTTTTCTTCCCATTAGCATTATCTAGGATTAACGATGAGGACGTTGAAAGAAATGTAGCCGCATTTTTGGTTTCTTTGTTGGTTTGTTTTTTTCGTTTTTGTTGTATATTGAGAATTGCTTGTTCTTGTTTTGTACATCAGTTTTTATGAGTATATATAGACTTTACATAGAAGAAGCCTTACACACCGGAAATCGATGGAAGTTTATTTTCACGACATATGTATGTTATGCATATTTTGAATTTTATAAAGTGGTTGCATAATCTCAAAAACTGAAATAATCTTGATTTATTTAATAATGATATGAGCAGTTTTTTGGACGCCTATTAGTTAACGGATCATTAGGAAAAATATTTCATTGACCACTTCAACAATAATTTTGAATAATCACTGTATATTTGTATTATTTGATTGAATTGCTTAAGCGAACTATGTAATAAACCGAATTTGATCGTGATTCTCTCGAATATTTTTCATGAACAATGGCATATTTCACTAAAACTTTCATTTTCGCGTGCATTCTTTTATTAAGAAACAGGAAAAACGTCTTTGATCAAAATTTTATTTTTTTCATTTTTGGTCGACTAAAATCGATTTGGATTCACCGTGCACCACTTGCCTGATACGTTTAAGAAAATATGTATTTCATAATTTCACGTTTTAAATATTTGTTCAGCCGCGTCTAGCACACGAGGCTGGTGCTGGTGCACCGTGCATGAACTGCAACTCCAACTGCCCTGGCCTTGATCTGCACTTTTGGAGGAAAATCTGCAAGAATTGCAAATGTGGCCGGGACGACCACGATGTCGACGACGACGAGTTCCCGCAGTTTGACCTGTTATTTGGACCGAGTGCAAAATTTAAGAAGAAATCGATGCGTCAGTATATAATAATATATTTTTATTAACACCACAGAGAGGAAGTTTTCAGTTTAATTCTCGAATCAAACTTGACGTTATTGCATTCGATGCAATGATAAATTATTCATTAACCGAGCAATTGCCGTCATTATCTGTATGATCTGTCAATGTTTAGGCAGCATTCATCTATTTTTATAATAGGAAATGGACTAGTTTACCATCAAGGAATGATTGAAAATCGAACTGAACTTTTTTATTAATTCTGTATTACCTAATTATGTTATATACAATAATTAGAAAAAAATAATTATAAATTGTAATATTAAAATATACAGGGTGATTTTTAAGTGTTCTAAAAGATTTTAAGAGGTGATTCCTCAAATTAATTCAAGACGAAAATTTCATATGACTACGTGTCCGAAACGGCTTAATTTCAAAGATACAAAGTGTCAAAGTCGAAGGAAAAATTTAATTTTTCCTAAATATTTATATAAATATAAATTATATGTCATAAATATGAGTGTCAGAGTTGAAGGAAAAGTTTCTCTTTTAAATATTTATATAAATATAAATGTACAAAATAAATTAACTAATTGCTAAATTTGGTATCTAGGTCTGCAAGTAAATAACAAGAAACAAAATGAAGGTGAAACTACGTTTGAGTGGGTACCACCGGATACAACCAAGGAACTTGTCATGGATTACATGAAGGCTTTGCCCGAAGACAAATTGCCGATTAAAGGATCAGCTGGTGCCGCTCTAAGAAGGCAGTTGCTGCAGAAACAGTTACCACTGCACGATATAGACCACAAAGCTTGTGATGCGCTCAGTGAACAGGAGCAGAGGCAGTTCGAGAAGTATTTGGAAAACATAAAGAAATACGCGGGGCAAGGCAAAGTAATAAAGGTAGGTACGCAGGGATGTTCATATGAGCAACAGAGAACCGCACGTAACATCTTCGCCAAGTTGCGACAGTTTATTGCAAATTTTACATCCTCAGATATTAGGTGCCCGTCCATTCGATCGTTCTCTCATGACGCCCGTCAACGCGACCGACATGCAGCGTTGCAGTCCACAACACAAACCTTACGTGTCTTCTCCGGGCGTTCAATTACGCACACCGAGTAGTTTCGCCGTGAGGAGCCCGTATGCGAAGCATCCGTCCGACAGTCCCAGCAAGCAAGATATCGCAGCTACGAACGACAGCAGGGCGCTCGAAGAATACAATCGTTCCTTGGCAAACGTGTCCACTGTCAGCGGTAACGTCGTGAGATCGCAGCCGATCGAGGGGAAGCTCCACGAGAACCCCCAGCACGTGGGCGACGCCGCGTCGACGAACGAGAGAGCCGCTGTGAACGGCAAGATAGTAAACTCCTCGATCCCCGTGCGCCTCGCCGAGCAGGAGATCCAGCCCGTTCACGAGATGCACACTTCCGGCAGCTTCGTGCCGTCCGCAGGGAGCCGGGCGAGAAACGCGTCGTCGGCGAACCCTGACGAAAGGCATAGGGAAACGTTGAGCGATATCGGCGCGCCGTATGGTTTCGCGCACTCGGAGGCTCAGGACAGCGAGGCGGTTTCCATCGCGGAGTCCATGCTGGCCGACGCGCTCCTCCCGCCTAGCGCGATACACGCCAACGACATCATCGGCAGCACTTTGGGTGAGGAGGGATTGATGTACATCAGGGAGAAGCTTGCTGATAAGTACAACGCCCTGGAGAACCCGGTGCTATACACCGCTCCCAAGTCGTCGCGACCGTTGGACACGAGCGACCTGCTGCAGCCGCGCGGCGGCACCGCGCCCAGGGAAGCGAACAATTCCCAATCGAGCGTCACCAAGGACGCCGAGAGAGCGGCTGCCATGAGGAACTCGGCGGGAAGCTTCGCGGAGAGAAGGGAGATCACTACAGGTGCACTTTTGGAAGCTGAGAAGAAGACGTGCAAGCCCTTGTCCCATGTGGCTCAGTCAACTGTTGCGCCCGCCGGTCTCAACGAGCAGAAGCAGTACGGCTGGCTGTTGACTCACAAACTCCCCGACGTACGTCCAAGCGCGCCCTTGGCACAGGACGTGTTTGGAGCGATAGAGAACGCCGCAGATCCATCGGTGAACAGATACAAGCCCGCCGACACGGTCGTTCCCGCGTCGAATCCGTCTCCGCAGGTCGGCTCTCAATATTCCGTCATCCCCAGTCCGCTGCTGCAAGCCGAGCTGAGCAGTTCGCACGTGCAGCCGACCGTCCTGCACTCCGAGCAGCTGCACAACCCAGTGTTCCCACACAACGTCGTCGGAGGGGGTGTTAACGAAGTGGCGCAACGGAACGCAATGGAGGAGCATCTGAAGAACGCCATGGAGGGCCTGAGGATCGACTCGACGCGGGCGCAGAAGTGCCGCAAGTGCCACGAGGACATACGTGTCGGCGATGTCGTGGTGACCGCGGAGAAGGCGAAGGACGCGTCCTGGCACCCCGGCTGCTTCGTTTGCTCGGTGTGCAACGAACTGCTGGTGGACCTGGTGTATTTTCACTATAAGAACGAGCTGTACTGCGAGAGAGACTTGTCCGCACACTTGGGGATACCCCGGTGCTTCGCCTGCGACGAGGTAAGAAAAAGATAAAAATTGCACGCACAGATATGTCAAAATGATCAATGCTTATATCTTAAGGTAGTTGTGTCGCAAAGTGCCGCACTTTCAGTAGCGCATCAAAGGGGCCATTCGTAAATTTAGTATCTATCAAATAAAATTACATTTCTATACATTTATTTCATTATTTAAATGATAAATGTTAATTTGAAACGAAGTTGAGGTAGACATGCAAACACAATTACCAACACGAAAATATTTTTTACTTTGTTAAGGCTCCTGGGTAGTCGCTGCAACTGTCGTTGTTTGATGACGTCAGAAGCGAGAAAACGCATGTCAAGAATTCGTGCGTTTTGTGTTCAAATAAAAAGTTATATTCACAAAATGACATTTATGATCGATTTAGTACATTTATAAAATTGTCCGTGCACTTTTCTTTTACTCGAGCAATCAATGAACAGCCGCAAAATTAAATTAGACACGGGACCATTTATTTTAACCTCTTTTCTCGTGATTTTATCAATGTTAATTTTATGACTATTTATTGCATGTTCGAATAAAAGAAAAGTGCACGGGCAATTTTATAAATGTACTGAATCGATCATAAATGACGTTTTGTGAGTATATTTTTTTTATTTGAACGTAAAACGTAAGAATTCTTAACATGCGTTTTTTCGTTTCTGACGTCATCAAACAAGGACAGTTACAACGACTACCCGGAGTCTTAATGTATATTTTGCTTAATAACGTGACAATATCATTATTAGGTATTTAATCGTTTAAAATGTTTATATAATTTCTTATTTAAATAACTGCTTCACATCTATAGCAGCCTGCAGCATGTATTAATCTGATGTAATACGAGTAATCGAATTCACTCCTACTTACAAAAATTATACAATGTTAAAAATTTATGAGTTTATGATAAACAATGAAATATACTATAAAAATACTGTACGATAGTTTTGAGATACCCTGTGTATACACGTTATTCTTTGAATCATGTTTGAAATGACAAAAACCACCAAACCAACGATTCGACTGATCGTTCGCATTTCCGTCTTGTTGCAGTTGATCTTCGTGCGAGAATATACGGTCGCGGAAGGGCACAATTACCACGTGAAGCATTTCTGTTGCTGGGACTGCGACATGCCACTGGCTGGACAACAGTACATTACCGAAAACGATCGTCCCTTGTGTCTTCCGTGTTATCAAAAAACGTACGCGAAAACGTGCGCTGCTTGTAATATCGTAATTGCCGCCGATCAGCAGGGTGTATCTATAAAGAACTTGGATTTTCATGCAACCGAGGCATGCTTCTGTTGTTACAGCTGCAAGAAGAACCTGTTGAACGGTAGAATGGCAATAAAGGAGAATAAGTTGTTCTGCAGTAAAGAATGTATCGCAAAGTTCCTCAACCGATAAGCCATGTGTGAAAATAGAATTAAACTGATTCGCTATTGTTAATACATGTTATTTTTATTATGTAAGAATAATNTTAGATTATATAAAATAACATAAGGGATATATACAATGTTGAGCACATAAAACTTTCCATCCGACACTATGACAAAAAGCGCAAACATGTGATTTAAAAAGAAAAAAAGACTGTTTACAAAATAATTACTTTATACAACATTATAATCCATATAAAAGCCCAAGTTGTAAGAGATACAGATATTAGAAATACTTTATCAAGTATACGTTTTTTTATGACTTCACTCAAACACTTTTATATTTTTATACGAAAATAGTTTGTAATAACGCTATAACCCGTATATTGATGATGGTGATTTGGAATTTGTCTCACACGAGATTCTCAGGTTTATATGACGATCATATATCAAGTCACCATTATTAATACAGGCTTATGTGACTCACATTGTACATAAATAAAAATTATGTTATATTTTATCAACATGAATATATGACCTCGTATGGTTTTGCTGTCACATGGAAAATAAGTAATCTTACAACAGTATTTCAAACGATAATTTAGACAAACAATTCTCGTATTGCTGTATCGAAAAGAAATACACCCATCAAAAATGGAATTAATTAATCTCAAACATTACGTTTTCAACAACTGAAGCTATGTGTGGGCTTAGTAAAAATTAATATTATGCCACACGTCGCTCATATATTTGATATACTTATATATACTATAGATAAAAATACTTCACAATTTAACCAAAATATCCTCTATTTTACAATTAAACTTGACGTTATGTACGTTATGTAATATTTTTTTTTCGTTTTGTGTCCAACCTTTACATTTTTGTACATTGTGGAATTTGATAGTAATGTGCAAAAGTTTGTGAGTATTTGCTCGAATGGAATTATTGATTGTATAATGGAAGAAAAAAATAAGGAAGCTTACAGTACGTGAAAGCTTGTGAATAATATATTTTACGCACGAACGTAACATCGTGCATGATATTTAGGCGTTAACTTTTAGGCGGATCCAACAAGTTATTCTGCTCTATTCCGAATCACTATCGATAACAGTCCGAAGCCGCTTCATCGTGTTACGAGCTTCTCTATGCCGCGGCGGCGTGTCTGAAATTATCGACTGCTTGTTGCTCTCCATATTTCTTCTTGCGCGCGTAACACGTCCTAAAACACAGAAAACATAAATGTATATCTCTGCGTTCATCCGAAAAATATCATATTAAGCGTGCAACAAAGTGCTCCAGATTTTTTTTGTCAAATTTCTTTATTCAGCAACAAATATTGGCACGAAAACTGTTATACACTTCAGACTAAGATTTTCTAAAATAACTATGATCCGGAAAACTTAATTATACTTAATTACCTAATAATGCAAATTAATAAAAGTTTCCATACTGACCCTCAGATATGATATTGGATGTGTCCAATTCGGACACCTCTCGCATTTTCTCGTTTTTTTCTTTCGCCCATTTACATTTTTGTAACGATGGTCTCCCACTAACACCATTTTTCTCCAACAATTCTTTCAGGCGATTAATTCTTTCGGCATTGGTACGACAGTCGGCCCAAATCTCCTGGTAAGATTTTACTTTCACGCCAGCGACTTTTATATATTTTTTTAACGATTTTATCTGTTTGTTATCCTCTGGTCTCTAAAATAATTTAATGTCCTTTGAAAACACACATTTTCATACACAAAGATTTAAAAGGATTACAATTGATATAAGAGAAAGGCACCGAAATCGATATATCATCTTGTTTTTGGACTCTCAAATCCTGTTCAAAATGTAAAATAAAAATTTATGTACATACAAATTAGCAACACTTCTCTACCAAAATATATAAGTTCTAAGAAAACTATTTCCATGCAAATATTAAGTCATATATGAAATGTCCGATTTCGAATAAAAAATTTCATTCATTATATTTCAAACAAGAAGCAGTGCAATTAATCAAAATATGCGCCTAAATTATTGACAGTTTTGTCATCTTAACGGTAGCTTGTTTATACAGAAGAAGTCTGAAGAGCGAGTGGCAATGAAATCGCGAAAGGCGTTTTCCACAGCTTGTTGAGAATTGAGTATTTTTCCTTGCAAGAAGTGGTCCAATGACTGGAAGTCATGGTAGTCAAATGGTAATCAATTGGTGCAAAATCTGGTGAATACGGTGCGTGACAGAGAATTTCCAAATCCATCTCCTGCAGTTTGAGCAGCGTTGTTGTGACATGTGTTTGAACGTTGTCTTGTAAGAGAATTGGCTTGTCTTTATCGACCAATTTCGGCTTGATCGTAAGCTTCCTCATAATTTCGTCTAATTGATTACAATAGACATCCGCTGTAATCGACTGACTAGGTTTCATGAAGCTGTAATGGATAATACCAGCGCTGGACCACCAGACACCATTACCTTTTTTGGCAAATATTCGATTTCGGACTGTGCTTCGGCATTTCATCTTGATCCAACCATTGTGCCGAACGCTTGCGATTATCGAGAAAAATTCATTCTTCATCACACGTAACAATACGATGTAGAAGTAATTCGCTCTTACGCCGTGACAGTAAAGAAAGGCAAGCTTCGAGACGATTTCTCTTCTGACGCTCGTTTAATTCATGCAAAACCCATCTATCCATTTTCTTTACCTTGCCGATTTGTCTCAAATAGTTCAATATTGTTGGAATAGTAACGTCAAACCTTGCTACTAATTGCGCGTGGTTTGAGATGTATCCGCTTCAACTAAAGCTTACAACTCATCATTATCCACCTTGGTCTCAGGTCGTCGTGGCTCATTTTCAAGATTAAAATCGCCAGAGCGGAACTTCTCAAACCATCGACGTACCGTGCGTTTATTAGCCACATCCTCGTCAAATATGTCGTTGATATTTCCAGCTGTCTGCGCTGTATTGGTTCCACGACGGAATTCATATTTGAAAATAACACGAATTTTTTACTTATCCATGGTTTCACAAAAATTGATCTGAAAAAGACAATTCGAAAGATAATCACAAACCAAATCACAATCCGTTCGTTCGAAAGAGTGATGATGTACCTTCACAATAAAAAAAAAAAACTCCAAGAACCGTCAAAGTAAAATATCAAAGGCATCGATTCTCAAACTTAATATTTAAGGAAATCGGACATTTCATACTTAATAACTAATTTTTAAGATGTTTAGCGATTTAAGAGGATTAACGCTAGAAACTAGGCCCCAAAACCGACATACCCATGATCGATAGTTATAAAAAAAAAAAAAAATTAATATATCCCTGAATAAATAATATTCTTGAAATTACATTATTTTGTATATTTATTAAATATTCTTACATGTTATCTCTAATCTTACATATTTTTAAAAATTTTAGAAATTTAACGATGCATTTAACCATAACTAGTCATTTGAGAAAATAACGCAAAAAAGTAATTCATTCAAGGAGTTACTTTGAAAAATTACATAAAATCGTATTAAAATTATTGAAACTATATTTTGATTATAACGATCTACTGGCAATAATAACAAATATAAATATCTCTATCTGCACCGGCACATTCGGTGTGTGCCCACTCCTCACAAGATAGACATTGAACCCATTTCTCCAATCTTTTATTGTCTTGAGAATGAAATTGGTCGCAAAAAATGCATGCCGCATCATCGCTCGCTGATAAACTTGAAACTAAATCTTCAACTGATGAAGAATCATCATCTGTTTTTTCAGAATTTAGCTTCTTCACTGGCCTTGCTTTTACTTTATTTGATTGTCCCTTTGAGCCTGCTGGTTGTTTCAGTTCATACTTAATGCCTCGACCTCTTCTGCCTTCTCTCTCTTCCTTCTTCTCCGTTGTAGCAATTAATTCCGCCTTGTATGACAACGTGGTTATTATATTGGATTCAGCAGTTCTACCAGTTGAAATCTTTCTTCTCTTCTCAAGAACTGAAGCTATGTCAAATGCATTAGTGCCACCTGATGTAGAGAGCTGTAATCCAACTGAGGGTATTGCAGTAGTCGATTGTGGTTCAACCGAAGGAACTGGAACGAGGGAAGCTATTCCAATAAGAGGAGTAGCTGGAAGAGATACGTTATCAGAAATGCTACTGACATCTTGAACACCAGCATCTGCTTGGGCAGCTATAAAATCACAATCTGAAAATACTCCACGATTGAGTGGATACAATCCGGTCGCCTTAAAACCATTCATAGCAATTTCAGTTGTTTGGCATTTGATGTAAGCACGGCCAAGTAGTTCCATTACATCATACTGACTTACTGGCTTTCCTGCTGAATGCATCCACAATCCTATTTCCTCCGAATAATAAGTCTTCAACGCCTCCATGAAGGTTTTTTCCAGCGGTTGTAGCATGTGCGTTGTGTATGGCGGAAATGAAATGATTTTTATGAAATTTTCCCTGGCCAGATCAATCAATTTTAAGTTTTTCGTATGATTGAAATGGCCATCTAGCAAGAGCAGAACAGGATCTTCTTTTGTAGGTTTTGTCTTACTAATAAAATGTTCAAACCATTGTGTGAATAAATTAGTTTGTACCCACCCTGACGGATGGGCAACACCAATTGAGCCAGCAGGGGCACCTCTCATTAACAGATGTGACATGGTTTTCCCGGGAAAAATTACCATAGGCGGTACAAAATGTCCAGTAGCATTCATTGAGCAAATAATTGTTGTCAATGATCTTCTTTCCGCTGACGAAACAACATCAATCTGTCGCTTGCCTTTTATTCCGATAACTTGCGGGACTTTGCTTTGGATAATCCTCAAGCCTATTTCATCTACACTATAAATACGATCGGGAGGGTAATTATATTCATTGAATGTTGCATCTAACAAATTGAAAAAATTATCAACAATGTTCTTAGTGAAACCTTCTTTCTTTGCAAAAGACGTTTCTATAGGTTTGCTGTACGAAATTGTTTGTCCGCATAACTCTGGATGTCTTTTAAGAAATGAGCGAAGCCAAGATTTCCCAGCCATAATATCATTGAATGGATGCTTAATGTTGTTCTTAATAGCAAGCTGCAAGGCCAGTCTGCGTAGGTTCTTTCTTGTTAGACCATGAAAAGTAGTTTCCATGGTCAGACAGTAGCGAAGAAGCTCCTTTTCTAATTCTGGACTGAAGACAGGTGGTCTTCCAAGTTTACAGGTAGCTGCTTCTTCTGGGGTACCATATTTCTCATCGGCTAGTCTTCTTAAAGTTTTCTGAGGCACTTGGAAAGTTTTAGATGCCTTTAACCACCCCATTTCATGCTTTCGAACAGCTGCTATAGCCTTAGCCATATTACTTGAGTCCCACTGACGGATTTTTACTCTTCTTTTATTATGTAGAAAGGAATCCTCTAATTTCTTCTTTGCGACCATGTTGGACAAACAAGAAAAACAGGGAAAGATAAGTTACCGGTCAACTGTATTCTGTGAAATGATATTTCATAGCAAAGTTGAGGTATATTGGTTTACGGGACAAAGCCTAACTTTCCTTGCGTGGTTCAGTGACAGGGGATAGAAAGATTGGTATAAGATTAAAAATAATTAAAAAAAGGTTCAAAACTCATATACTATAAAATAACATTGTCAAATAAATTACTTACCGCTGATTCGTTACTTTAAATTTTCACAACATAGCTCAACAAAAACTTCAGTGCAACGAAAAATCAAACGACGCTAATAACACAATCGAACACGCTTACAAACAGAAACTGTACACACTTCAATACAGTTCTGCCTACTGTACGCAGTAGACGAAGTTCATATTCTGTCTGATCGAGTTCAGTACTTTACGGCCGAGAGACATAGGTATGTCGGTTTGTCTTACTTATATCGGTTTTGGTGCCTTTTCTCTATATTTATACAATATTGCTACTTACAGTGCTACGTCTCGTCCTCCTAATCTTTGTAGACTTCTCTTCATCTTCGGAGTTACTTTTCTCTTCATTTTTACTCACCGAAGATTCTCCCTCCGACAATTCCTCTTCCGCCTCTTCCTTCTTTATCGTTTTATCAATTTTGTCCGCTGAAATTATGTCTGAGTTCTCTTCATCGGATATATCCTCATTACTCCTTTTCTGAGAATTTCTCCTCGCTCTTCCGCCTCGTCCTCTCTTTGATTCAGTGGAACGTTTTGTCGTTCTCTTCGTCGCTGGCGATTTCTTCACCTTCTTTTTAGATCGCGGACTATAATCCTCATCGGAATTGTTATTATGGCTGTCTTCAGATCCGGAAGCTTTCAGTTTACTGAAACTTGTTCGCGCCCCCCTTCTTTTCCCCTTTTTCTTCTCTAATTTAGTCTCTGACTTAGTCTGTACTGTGTCACTGACTTCCTGTGCATCAGATTTCTCATCTTCCGACGAACCACATTCCAATTCTGATGCGTTTGGCTCAGCTTTAACAATCATTGTTTTTGGCCGTGGCTTTATTTCCTTCTCGTTCTCGCTATCCGAACTCGACCCTTCTTTGTCACTTGCGCATTCCACCAAAAGTTCCAGCCCATCTACTACTTCTGTATCTGTAATTCGATTCTTTGAGGCATGTTTCTTTTTTGTCCCATTTCCTCCACTATTCTCTTTACAGTTATCTGTTACATTATCTTCTTCAGTTTTCTCGTCATACAGGTCATCAAAAATAGGTTTTGCCTTAGTACTTGGGGATCCTTTAGATGGGCTATCCTGTTAAGCATAAGATAATAAATATATTTTATTAGTTTTATATATCAAAAATATCCTTAGTACCGTATATGGTACTATTTATTTAACTCCATTTGATTTTAAAATCAAGATATTAATAATTCAAAAATCTCAGGTTTACTAAAGGAAATGAGTAAAATTATGAGAAAAATATCTATAACAGTATATGTACAAAAAATTCTAAAAAATAAAACGCACAAATTCTTCATATAAAATTAACTTAATCCAACTTTTAAATTGTAATATGAATATGTTGTTACCTGGCTTTCTGTATTTTCTTCTTTAATCTTTGAAAGATTGTCATTGGCGGTAGAATTCTCATCTTTCGAGGGACTCTCTTTTTCATTTTTGCTCTTTATTAATTTGTTTTCTTCATCATCTTTATTTGTTTTATTTATATCTGAGTTCGTCAAAGATTTCTTATGCAGATCTGGTTCATTTTCAGAGGATATTGTATCTTTTTCTTCTTCTATATTGTTCTTATCTATGCCATTTTTATCTGAGGCAATTTCAGTGCTATTTTTCTCTGATACCTCGGATTCCTTACCGGAGGAATATCGCCGTTTCTTAACATGTGTATCTTGTTCATGTTCATCTTCATCAGAATCTATACGTGGCCTCTTGTTTGTTAGTTTCATGGAATCCGTTGATAATTCTAACTTTTCCATCTCCTCTTCCTCAACTTCACTGTGATCCATGTCTAGCACAGTAATATTCTGAAATGGGTGTATATTCCAACGTTATAATGAACACAAAACTGTTACAAAAAAAAAAGAAAATTCACATGTTTTTTTCAGTTGCACTGTTATGTTTTTTACACTTGAAATGGACATAACTATATTCAAGATTCAAAAAAGTGGAAAGAGAACAGAAGGCAGAAATTGTGACAAGTTTAGAAAATACAGTTAAGATAAACAGATCTACGATCATAAAGACGCAAAACGTGCTTACACATGCGCGAGCAACGAACAAATGGTAATTATAACTTTACGGATATCGCAAATAGTGTTTACACATCTGTATTACTGTAAAATATTGAAAACTACAAGCGATTTGCGTGACTACTGTAAATATTTACGTAGTTACCACGGCGATTCCCACTGGGACTGTTTGCGCGGCAAAATCTACTCGATAACGTCGCAATGGCTATTGGCCGGTATGTTTCACCACAAAAAGATCAAATACGTGAAGAGAATTCGATACGGCCTCTATGCTTGAGTTAATACAGCTAACGCCATCTATAAGATAGAAATTTATGCTTTTTGCATTGCGACCGAATACATGAAGATTCAAGCATTGGAGACCGCATACAAATTCCTACCGTATTTCGAAGGCGGTTCATAAATTATTTTCTTCAGCGTAAACTTGTGAAAAATGAAGACTTCCTAACTTAAAAGTATTTTTAGTTTTCACGAGTTCACACTTAAGAAAAGATTCATGAACAATTCTCTGACAAATACGATAGTAGGCAGAAAAGTTGTTACACTTTTTTTAGATGAGTTGTTACACTTTCTTTGGATGAGTTTCTCAACGCACTTTGTATCCGATAAGAAAATATATTTCTTGAGAATTACTAGAAAAACGAATTCTATTGGACACCAAGAAACTAATCGACAAAAAGTGTTGCAACTTTCGTTCTGTTGATTGTAGTAAATACTAGATGCTTTCTGGGCTAAAACTTTACTCGATGGATAGAGTAGCGTTTAATTGATCAATCAGGACAAAAGAATCCAAGATTTCTTTATCATGATTGATTAACGAATGCCTCTGCCTGTCGAGTAGGATTTTTGAACTCAGCTTTGTAATTTTCATTACATTTTGTGATAGTATCACTTGACGGATTCGGGCTGGTATTCATAATTAAATCTTATATTTAAGGCCATTTTAAGTTCATCTGTAGATGCTATACCGTTTATCTCATTGGCTATGAAACATCTAAAGATGAACTTAAGACGATTTTAAATACAGGATTCGACTATGAATACCAACCTAGGATTGAGATTGTAGATCCGTGCTGAGGATGCCATTTCATTTGTCGTACAAGCTTATCGAATACGTCGATTAGGTGTCAGCTAGGGGATTTTTAGGACAAAACGTCAGACAACTAAGAAATCCTCTCTATCCGATAACCAATCGAGGAACCCAACAATGTTCGTCGTACGTATGACAAATGAAACGGCGCCCTACGGGTTCGAATTTTCTCCCCTAATCCGCGGACGGCTATTTATTTCGGACACGCGTGTGTCAACGCGAGGCAACGCGGTATTGCGCTGTCATCGATACATCGAACCCACAGAGAGTGGTGGTGCTTGCACCGAGTGCTGTCAAGCTGATAACACGCGGGTCGTTCGATAGTCATCGTGCGCGTTGGTGGGTGACTTTTTTTAAAAGTGTAAGATACAGCGTTTTCGCCGACCAAGACGGAGTTGTAACGTTCGCCGCATCGAGGACGCGACGACTGTGACGGCGCACCGTCATCCCTCGGAATCACCGACGATCGGGGGACGTGATCAGTGATCACACACGACACATCGGGCAACAAGCATGGACTCGCCGTGCGCTAACCGGAATCGACGCGCGCGATTGATCGATGCTGTGACACGATACGCGCGAGGCTGTGCCGCCGAGACATCAGTCAAACCGTAGGTCAAACGCTCCATGCACGAGACACGCTTCTCCTCACGTCCTTTGATCGAATGCCGAAGGCGGCGGAGCGGCGCGGAGAGAGAAAGAGAGAGGAGTGGAAGGTAAAGGCGAAGGAGATTGTAGTAACGCTCGCGATACCGATACGATACCGGAACTGCAGCCCGATAACCGTCTGTCTCTCTTGAGAACGAGAGTGCGACGACGAATCGCGCGTGTCCACGAGAGAGAGAGAGAGAGCGTGAGGGGGGGAGACATATAGACCGAGTGAGTGAGCGAGCAAGTGAATTGAGCGAGTGGGAGGGGGAGAGGGAGCGAGCGAACGAGAACGAGAGAGAAAGACGGAAGCGAGGCGCGGCGAAAGAAGAGAGCGAGAGACAGTTGGGAGGGTTAGATGATAGGGGAGGGAGTACGTTTCGATAGAGCGAGCGTGAACGCAGAGACGACGAGGAATCCGGAATAGGTACGACGACCGAAGGGAGAGAGACAGACAGAGAGAGAGAGAGAGAGAGAGAAAAAAGGAACGGGTGGTGTTTTTCGTGCGCAGCTCTCTGGTGTCAGTCGCGAAGACAGGTCAGGATGGATGAGTGCATGCTGAACGACTTGTTAGAGTGTTCGGTATGCCTCGAGCGGCTCGACACGTCCAGCAAGGTGTTGCCCTGCCAACACACGTTCTGCAAGAAGTGCCTGGAAGAGATCGTGAGCACCCACCGTGAGCTACGTTGTCCAGAATGTCGGGTGCTGGTGGATGCCAAGGTGGATGACCTGCCGCCTAATGTGCTGTTGATGCGTATCCTCGAGGGGATGCGTAATGCCGCGCCGAAGAGCGCAAAGTCGTCGTCCTTATCCTCGTCGAGATCTGCCACTGCCGCACCACAGAGGCTGTTCGGCGGTCACCAGGTTGCACCAGCATCCATAGTCACAGCTAATCTTGCTCCTGTCACTGTTGCTTCTGAGCCAGTACGACATTCTAATGCGATTGCTAAGCAGACACATCTGCACAATCAGGCTTATGGCAGAGCAATCTATGACTATGTCTCTAAGGTACCAGGGTAAGTTCCGTGTATTGTTTGCAAGATATACGATATGTGTCTATGTATAGTTTCTTTTGTTATGCCCTATGATCTGTCATTTTATTGTAACGTCATTTGTGCTTGCAGCGATCTAAGTTTTAAAAAAGGTGACATAGTGATCCTCCGAAAGAAGATCGATAACAATTGGTACTTTGGGGAATGCGGCAACAATCACGGCGTCTTTCCTCTATCTTATGTTCAGGTACGATGTGGAAATTATAAGATGTTACTTGTGATGATAAAGTATAATGAGTAAGTTAAATGTAATGTTTTGATATAACTTGCAGGTGATGACACCTCTGACACCACATGTACCCCAATGTAAAGCACTGTACGACTTTAGAATGACAAATGACGATGAGGATGGATGTCTAACTTTTAACAAGGTATTTCAGCCCAAGTGCTTCATTCAAGATAAACATTTTCATGTAAAATACTAAAACGTATTTTTTCAGGGGGAAGTAATCAGTGTTATCAGAAGAGTAGATGAAAACTGGGCGGAGGGTAAGCTTTTTGACAGGATTGGTATATTTCCATTAGCCTTCGTGGAGCTGAACAGTGTCGCTCGAGCCTTGATGAAACTCTCCACTAAGTAAGTGGAATGGTTAATACAACTCGTATTATTTCGAGTTGCAAATATATACTTATCAAGAGTCATTGTCCTTCATCAGTGTACAGCCAGGACCGTCGAGAGTAGCTCCACCCACGCCGACGAACGAAGAACCGACGCCACTGATACCAACCGACCATTCACGTAACGTGCAAACGACGAGCCAACCGCGACCGCAACTAGCGCAGGTAAATAAATATTCTATTTAACAGAAGCATCGTTGGAAAATCTACTACTAAGAGTTAATAGAAAAACTTTCTTCATTCATTTTCACTTCTTAACTTTTATATTAACGTGTGATGTGTGTGGTGTAATAATAATATATTCTGATATTGTATCGCAGACCACCGCGTTACCGGTGTCCGATACTGTCTCAAACGTCTCGTCAGGCGGTAGTTCCACGACCACCACACCGAACACACCCAATAGCTCGACCACGTCCAGCAGTTCCAGCACTGCTCCGAGCAGTCCAGGCAGCCCGGCGATGTCACCGCCTGCGGTCGGCAATCGACATAATGTTAAGCGCCATAGTTTCACTGCCGTCAATACAGGTCATCATGCTCATCCCCATCATAGACATAGCGCTGAAATACTTAGTCCTCCGGTAGACAGTGCCTCTAATAACGCCAATAATAGCGGAGGCAATGAATCGTTTTCTCCTTTACAAGTAAGGAAATCACATTTTCTGCTGACGTACTGTGACAATTTCTCTGCCGATAACTTTAGATCAGCTCTCGTTGAATGTGTCTTCGTATATATATAAAAAAAGGCAATTCTCTCTGTCGCTTTTGCATTTCAACATCTTGACGTATTGTCCGCTTTATGCAAGATTCACCCGGAACTTAGGGAAGTTTCTTCGTATTCTAGACCAGTAGTACCTGCACCGACCACAACCTTCGTCACAGACGAAGTGGCAGCAGTGATCTCGTTCTCGCCCAGCCGTCGCAGAGCGTGCCCGCTAATCAGACTTCCGGATCCGGTGCGTCGCATCTACCAGCAGCGTACATAGCGCTCTATCCGTACAAGCCCCAAAAAGCGGACGAGCTTGAGCTGCGGAAGGGCGGGATTTACATGGTAACGGAACGTTGTCAGGACGGCTGGTTCAAAGGGACGTCCAATCGTACGCAGAAGTGCGGAGTCTTCCCGGGAAACTACGTTGCACCCGCCAAGTATGTATATTAAACTTTGATCGAGCCAACATACATGTCGGCCTTATACATGGAATTGTTGAAGCACCGCCGAGGGCTATGTACGTAGACTAGCCATAACATGCAGGATAATTAGGTCATTAATACACCGGTGACTGAGAAGTAATATCTCGTACGTGCGAAGCCAGAAATTTGCAGGAGAAACAAGAAATTGCTTTGAAAATTCATTTTGCTCCGAACGACCGAATTTTTTCTGTATTCTTTAGTTTTTTAAATCTCAAAAGAGTAAAACATTCTTAAAAAGGTCATTGAAACACAGTATTTATCAAGCAAAATTTCATTTCTATACAAAGAGTAAAAAAATCTCAAAAGAGTAAAACATTCTTAAAAAGGTCATTGAAACACAGTATTTATCAAGCAAAATTTTATTTCTATACATTTATATCATTATCTAAACATAATAAATATTAATTTGAAGCGAAGTTGACTTATACGCATATTATCACAAATACGAAAATATAATTTTTTTATTTTTCTTATTAGTATTATATTTACGTATTAGTCGATATAATAGAGATGCACAAATAATGGAAAGAGATGTACAAGTGTTTAAATATGTATATGTATCTCGAGTATTATTATGAATTATGAACTTGTCATCATTGTATTTTTTAGACAAAATGGCCAATAATTCTGAAATTACAATATCTGCATATTAGTCTTTAATATCATAGTAATTTTTCGTCAAAATCTCATTTTAGAAGATATTAAAAATAGATATAAATAGCACACTAATCTCAAGGAACACGTATAAAAAATATCAAATTTAGTTATAAATAACTATCTGCGGCAATCTGCGTCGATATTAGCTTGTAAATACGCGATATCGTGCCAGTTCGGTAATAGTCGCGGCTGATTCAGAGTGGTTTCATCGCCGGAAAGGGTGCAATATCGAAAAAATTATATTCAGTATATCTCCACTGGTATATGGTCACATTTAAGGATTTCAGCGAAGTGGTTGACTCATATTATTTCAAAACAATATTTCAAAACAATATTTTATACTTTCATTCTTTATTTAAATTATTTTTTTACTTTATTATACAACAGCTTGTCATCAGTCACATACAAGCGGCTTTTTAGTTTAAGACACAAGTCGTTGTAAGTTACTCAAAGACAAATATTTAAGGAATAAAACATTGTCTTGAACCAATCAGTCAGCCATTCTACTAAAGCCTAAGGCCGCCATTCAGTGTTAAATCGTCATATCCTTCACGTTGTTAACATTCTTCCACGTTACACAGATATCAACGTGGAATATGCCGCGGATCTCCGAATTCGCCGAGCCAGCACCAGGGCTCACCATTGTCATCGAACGCGTCCAATGCCGAATCACGCTTGGCTATGACGTACACGAAGAGCAAAGGCCCCGCACCGCAACCGTACAATCCTCGCGCTTTACCGCCGCCTGAACTGCCGCCGCGCGCCATTAGTCCGTCGACGACCGTGTCTTCGTCTTGGCATGGCGGTGGCGTTGGTCAACCGGAACAAGGACCGAATCAGGAAACCAGTCCGCCCCGGCACAACGATCAGAATGCGGCCGCCAATCCGCTCGGGCGCAGTCACAGCGCAGTGATGACGTCGAATATCCGTATGTATACTCGGAGAAACGCAAACCCTTTGAATCTCGGTTTTTATTTTGGAAAAATGTGTCGAAAGAATGGAATTTACATAGGCTGAAAAACGGCCTTATTAATATTTTCTAGTGTTTATTTATTTATTTATTGCATATACGGGATAAGCTTCTTTTTTGTATGCAAGAAAAATATAATCATACTTGCAGAAATAATATTTATACTAAGAAAAAAAAGGTAAAAAAATGAAAGTATATTTGCAAAGTTAATTTATAATATCAGAAGCAGTTCAATAAATGTTCTTTTAAATTACTCTGGAACATATTTAAAAAATCGATATAATCAGAATTTATTAGCTAGCATACCAAGTTGATTTATAGATTTAAATTTACCATATAACATTCGATGATGCGATCGAGATACAAAATAATAAGCATCTTCTGAGCAAATGATCAGAGATATTGAGCCCTAAAAGCCCCAAAATATATTGGAATATTATTTTAATAGAGAGATACCAGATAATATAAATTGTGTTTCAAAAGTTTGTTTTGAAAAGTAGTTGCAACAGAAAAAATGTTTAACATTTTATCTTTATATGTCATTCTATATCTTTATTGCTCATTAGACGTAAATCAAAGACATGACGTAATAGCGTGATATCCAAACGCAGCCATAGATAAACCAATCAAAATATTTTACTTTCTGAAGATACAGGCTACATTCAGCGGAACAAAATGACCAGTGAGCTGTCAATCATTATTGGTCTTCATTGTTAGACCTCTAAATTTAGACCAATTACGTTAACGAATTACTCAGCCGTTGTGCAACTGTCTTGTTTTCCAAAAGCAGCCATTATACGCAGTTATCCTCCCCAAGATACGCCGCGGTTCGAAGGGTTAACGGGACGCTCATTGGACGTTGCGATTATTGTACGTAATTACTTCATAAAATGATTTACACTTTCCCGCAGCTTCTCCCGGCAAACAAGTTGCAATGCCGTCGTCGCTGCAGCCGACAGCGGGTATCAACGGTGCTAATAATGGCTGCGCCAGCGCCGCTATTTCCGTTCCTTCTTCTTCCGCGAGCGATATGAACAGGAGCCCGAACAACACTTTGCGCGTGACGAGCGGTATCGCGCCATCTAACCCGCCGGTGACCGCATGCAGGATTGTGGAGAAGGTACTTGGGAGAAATTAACGAGTGACGTTGAATATTTACACTCGCGTGCGATTTCTCGTTTTCTCATACCTACGCATTTACGTGGATTACAGCCGAAGGAGAAGAAGGACAAGTGCGTTTCCTTGATGCGACGTCTGACCATTATCAAGAAGTCCAAGTCGCCACCGCCCGCCACGTATTCAATGGACAATCCCGTATTCGACGACGGTAACTCCGTTAACCCGATGCATGTCCGGTGAGTGTACCATTAATCCCAATATTCACATGAACGCTGACACACATGTGTTTATTATTATCATCATCATCATCATCATCACCGATACGGTTTGTATTATAATTCTGAAGCGGAGAACGTTGTTAGCCGTTCTGAATTTGCACGGTCCGATAACTGATGAATCCGAATCGATGATGTGTGTATCCCATACGTTGATTGCCGCATGCGCGTATACATCGTTGTTATTGTCTATATCGCCCGATTATGTGTATGTGTGCTAATGCTCAATGTTCGTTCGAGTGTTATTCGAGTTACTCGTGTAAAAAAGCACTGACCTTTGGTCATCTTGCAAATCGTTTGCATGTCTGACATCGTTGTAGTTACACGCACACACGTACGAGAGTAAAGGCATACGATAGCGAAGGTCCACGCGAAGTGAACGTCGTCTACGACGAATCATGCTTTGTGTGGCACGAACTGCACAAACTGCACGCCTTGAAATGTTGTCTCTAATATCGTATCGGGGGGATGGGTGGGATCGACAATATCGCAGATCGGGGTCCTGCCCAAGTCAGTTGCTGCAGGTGGTACCTACGCAAGAATTAAACGCTTCAAACAGCCAATACCGCTTATGCCCGGGCTCTGTGCAAGGGCACGCTACATCCTCACAGAGACTGAAATGCAAGGAGAGACCCTCTCTACAACTGTCGGTAGCGCAGAGGTTAGTCGTTTGTAATTTTAGACACAATCGAGCGACCTGAGTTTGAGACGAGGTACGAAACGTCCACTCCGCAAAAATCGATCAAGCTAATCGCGCAATTTTTTTCACCGTTGTGTCTATTTTACGATAGAAATTTCTATACGCTTCTAATACACGGAATCGTAGTGTTTTCAATATCAGTTAACCGTCCTTCACAAAGTCTGTATTTTGCCTCACACGTTTTGCACAATCTTGAACGAATCGGTGCTTGAATTTTGCAACGCGAACACGCCTTACATGTGAATCAATGTTTGCATTTGAGAATAACGCAATACTGTCGTATTTACTGTTTTACATCAGCGTTCGCGATTGAATGTACGGTAGACTGCGTTTTTATTCTCAGGTAAGTGTGCTCAATGACACATTTCGACCACTTTCGCACAGTTTGTTTTATACTACTATGTGTGATTAACAATATAAAGATGGTTACATTTGTCATAGATACCAAACTATGTTATCGCCTCCCGTTTCTTCTACATCGAATGAGACGCTTGTGGGACAAATTTTGTTTTTGTCATGAAATGTGTATAAAGATAAAATATGAAATGTTATCTTGAAAAATATTAAATACAAATATTTTGCATGTTTAAAAAGTTCATGTATATTTTGTTATCTATGCCTGCGCGATGTAAATCGTCTAACGTATATATATTAATATTTTACACATATTCATATAAAAAATTACCGTTATAGTCTTATAACAATCTTCTATATTGACTCTTTGTTCTCATTATTGATAGATCTGGTGAATCTGGCGCTATGGTGTGTCCGACGGTCGGGAACCATCATCGCAAGAGTAATTCTTTAGACGCCGGAATGGGGAAACAGACGAAGCAGCAGTCATCACGCGATCGGTAAGAGTTATTCAGTCTATCTGACTTCCGAGTTTCTTATCTTATAAATACAGTTGGAAAATTACTGTTATTATTATTACCATGGACGTAGCCAGGGTGGAACAGGAGGAGCACTTACCTCCCATTTCTAAATTTGATAAGGAGACATCCTATCCAATTATGAAAATCATAAAAGTAAAAAGGTGTAACTGATATATTACAATCTGTATTCCACAATAAGCTGCAATACATACAGGCATAGAAACTACTCATTTTTTCCCACTTATTTTAAAATATCTAATCTTTTCTCACTTATAAGAAAAAAAATTCACTTATTTTTTTCTTATTGTTCTTCTCATTCTTGTTTTATTTTTTATTTTTTTTTTTCAAATTGGATATTATTGAATGAATATTATTGAATATTATTTTTTGAATATTATTCTCAAGAAATTGACCAACTAGTCTGCTTTCAAAACGGAAAAACCTGTAATTTATAAATATTTTTTTCTAAAATTAACTTTTGTTCGATAAAAAGATCGAAAATATCCCGATATCTTGGAAATATATTATTAGCTGGCTATAGACTGGATTCGGAGTATTATTAACCTTTTGTTCTCCTGTAATTAAAAACCAATGACAAATTAGCCAATGACTATTAGCAATACTTCATGAAAATGAATGAGTGCCTGCAATGATTTTGGCATATCTCAGTTATGTAGGAAGAATATCTAGTTCCAGACGCGCGCGTGGAAAGCTCTGAAATGAAATAAATAATAATCAAATTTTTTCCTTCCTCCTTCCCCCCGTATGAAATCCTGACTACGTTCAAAGTTACTGTACGTTAATTCCTGTGAAATTACTTCACATCACTCCTTAATGATTTACAGCGATCGGGTGTACAGATTCCGTTGTATCGTGCCGTATCCACCCAACAGCGAATTCGAGCTGGAGCTTCGCGTGGGCGACATAATATACGTGCACAAGAAGCGCGACGACGGCTGGTACAAGGGCACGCAGCAACGCACCGGCCGTACCGGGCTGTTTCCGGCGAGTTTCGTGGAAGCTTTCTGAGACCCGACGCAAAGTCGCCTAGTATTAGAAACGTGTATATAACTTAACGCCTTTTTCTGCGTAAGTACCGTACCACATATATTATAGGCGATATCCTCGAGGCGGCATTACCGAAGTTCGTGTGCATACACGCGCGCGGCATGTATCACCACGTGTTTTATTGCTGGTTTCCCTTCGCTGGGGATGTATCGGAGTTTCAAAGTGCGATCATGCGACGGCGTGATGTACTTTTTATTCCGAGACGTGCAATGTAACGTGGAAGAAAGCCTAGTTTGCGTCGGCGAAGGACCAGGAACGAAATACCATCACCACCACCTCCGCACGAACTTAACAGTATATCAGTATATACGTTAAGTGACTGATCTAAGTTAAGTTGACGAACGTGTTTCTTCACACGGTTAGGGAGTTTTTAGTCGCGTGATTCTATTCCGTGTATATAGAATACACACACGCGCGCGTAATCTGCGCGGCATACGAGAATGTAGAAGCGACACGAGGAAATAAGACATGTATATGTTATCTTGCGTACTGAAACTACTCCAATCTCATACTGCCATCGTGATAATATAGGCGAGTGTGTAATCATAATGAGACAAATAAGTTCATTACATTCGCGCGTGACACGTTACTGCCATTCGCGAGAAAAACGAGAACGGATACTGATTTGTTTCTTAACCCTTTTAGTGCCGGGATATATCGGCTCCTGCTACACCGGCGAGAAGTGCCAGAGCCGATATATCGGCCCGCACCTTGTAGCGCTTTACTATTCGCATTGCGAGAGATCTCTATCAAAATAAATTTAAAATACGTTATAAATAGTCTAATTTCATTACGAGAGAATTAAAATAAATAATTTTTAAATATTGCTTTTCGTTTGGTTTTTATGAGCCTTTTACCAAATCCTAGTAAAATCGGCCGGTTATCTTCGCATAAGCACCTCTTTTTCGCCCGGCACTAAAAGGGTTAAGTTGTCGATTTCCAAAAGAAACCTGCACGCTTTTTTTTTCCAACAGAAGTGCATAATATTAACGGCACATACCCTCATTTGCGCAGCGATTTGCACGCGTCTTTCCCGACGAAGTTGGGAGCATATCAGATGGTTATGGGCCACGGCTCGTGGGTTCGCATGGCAATCAGTTGTGACGGAAGTCGAATGAATGTGAACAATCTTTTTATTATATTCTCACTTAACAGATAAAATAAAGGTATAAGAGCGCCTCACTTTTCCTCACTTATTTCAAAACATCTCACTTTTACTTACTTTTCCTCGCTTTTGAGAGAAAAATCAAGATTGTCGCAAACTGGAAAAAACCGGGAAAATTTTATTCAGCATTTTTATATAGTCCTTCTTTTTTGTCATAAATGTATTCTTTTTTCCAATATTCGTTCATTTTTTGTTAGCTTGAATTTTCATTCAGGACTATATTATGTTACTAACTTCTAAGTTTGTGTTGCTTCTAATAATATAAGCTACTTTTTCTGCAACCGTTGTTCCTAAACATTAAGGTTCAAAATTACATATTGGTCATGGAAAATTCTCTACTGTCGTCTAGAAAATGTAGAAAAGTCAAGAAATTTCAAAATTTTTTATGAACCCTAGAACCCTGGAAAACTTACTTTTCTCATTTTTTTTTTGCTTACTTGAGTCCTTTAAGAAAAAATTCTATCACGAGAAATAATGTTCAATAACTAATTATTTTAAGGACAAAACAGAAGATTTAATGAAAATAGAAAATAACGTTGACTATAACAACACAATATTCATAAAATAAAAAATTGTGATTTTAATTTATATACTTTTTTAAATATTTTTGACAATTAAAGAAGCGCAATAAAAATATTTAAAAAAATCACGAGAGTATACATATATTTAATTTATTGAAAATACTTATATTTCCTCTGAATTCTCTCCGTTGTAATTGCGACATCGTATATCTCGTCTACTATCACTTCTACTTCTCTTGTAACTGATTATCGCACAAACTCACGAATAGCGGCTCGAAATTGTGATCGCTTGATGATCTTCTAACTTTATCGGAGAAAACATGTATAAGTCGTATTGAAACCAAGTGTACAACAGTAACCATACACATAAATAAAGCCGTTCATGACGTTTAACTATAAGTAGGATTATGGATTCGACGTTATTCTCGATCGATACTTATTTGATTTTAATATTTACATTCTTAATCGACGCCATTGCAAGCGATTGGCTTGTTCGTCGAAGTTACTTGCTCCACTTATGCTAGAGAATGTTTAGTCGGTGTTATTTAAATATTATTTAACTGAGAGCAAAGCATACCATTGCTATAACATGATTACAAATTTTATTATAAAGGAACTTTTTTCCTACTTTTTTTTATTTAATGTTGATATTTTATACCGTGTTCAATACAATTCGTTTACATTTTATAGAAATTATATATATGCATGAAGCTCGCACAAGCAAATGCTTGTACGAGCTTACAAAGATAAATCTTATTATTGACATTATTTAAGACTGGAAGAGCGCTGAAATTGTTAATCGAAATTAAGAGAACGTCTTTTTCTTTAACGAACGTATTCCATTATTAATCCGTTCAAGAAAAACGTTTTACTTTGATGAGTAGTTTGAACAATTAAAGTTATCTTAAATAAGATATGTAGAAAATGGCCTTGATAATTGACGATATTGACGTACTATTATATATATATCGTATACACGATTTTATAAATCAATTTGTCGCTTGTTTCCTAATTTATAAAGCCCCACTACGTATCCACAGCATGACGAGAAATTGGTACGATGAGGTTTGAACAGCTAATTTAACGTAAAAATATCCGACGAAACGAAGTGCTTCCATTGCCTGATTAATAACCAGTATTTAGGTGCGAGTTTTGTTATGTTCCCTATTTTCTACATTATTGACGATTATATATCAAGCTTGTGGCGAAAGTTTTGGTCTTTCTCTCGCAAGTTTTTGCTTTATTTTCATACAGTCGAAAGACTAAAACTCTCGCACAAACTTAATACATTATTACACTGACATTTTGCGCAATCAATTTTTGTAGCAAGCTTTATAAGTACACTATTAAAGAGGAGAGGTACTATGCACTGTATATTTATACAATAGCTGTTGTATTATTCTCTTGCGATTATCTTCTAGAGTTTATATCAAGCTGCAAGCGTACCTAATTTTGTTACGTTGTTCGATCATTGTTCATACGAAGCAGATGTACATACGTAAGTGTATACACATAGAAAAGCATGTGTACATACATACATATATATACACATATACTTATAATGCTCAATTCATTAACTTTCACGCATATTACGCACATAATTTGCGTAATATATTTACATAATACATTGAAACGTCATAAATAATTCACTTAGGCATATAATTGTATCGCGCGATTGTATTGCGCAAATCTGGAGGTGAGCAGAAAATTCGCGCATGTCATATAAACGGTATAATTTCGGTCGATATGTTTCTATATACAGAGTGTCCCAGAATTTTCACGACTATAATTTTACGGTGAGGTTTGCCGAGCAATCGGAAGACAATTTTTCCTTAGCGGAAATGTTCACGGGGGATCATTACTTATGGCGAGATTTTCATTTTCAATCGTAACGTATCTTTATGGCTAAACCTCAAAGCTTAACATTCCGTTGCCTGAAATTGATCAAAGAAGATAATTTCGCCATCCGTTCCGGTCGTCCAAAATTTAGTTCGCGAAGCACCCCGCTTCTTCGATCGTTTGTATTTCAGAAACTATTGATACTCTTGATACCTCAACATTTTGGCCAACGAGAAATTAATCCAAAATTACCCCAGAGAACTTCCCGGTAAAATTCATGTCGCAAGCTCTACATAACGCTCCGCATATATGAATATATCTCTTTGGGTATACATGCACAAGTATATACGCATAAAAATATATGTGTACATATATATGCTTACATCGGTTCATTAACATTCACACAGCATACGTATATATTACGCACGTAATCTGCGTAATATATCTACCCGATACATCGGCATGTAATAGTTAAGTAAATAGTTATAGGCATACAATTGTATCGCACAAATCCGGATACGAGCAGAAAGCTTATACATGTGTGTAACATACACACATACACACTCCACGCGCATCATGTATGATCAAACTTGGATAACATGTATATGCCTTCTGCTCACATCTTCACACAACACACACACACCTCTAGGGCATACATATTTATATTACGAATATTTAATTACGCAATTGTACATAATTATAATTTCATCGTAATCTTTCTCTTTGATATCGTAGGAGTCTGCGGATGTTCTGATAACAATACATACATACGTAGTCAAAAGCGGAACCTCGAGAAATAACCGATGTACAACGAATTTTACTGTAATAAAAAAAAAGGAAACTAGACACGTAACGTTGCTGCACACGACACATTGTGAAGGCGACAATGCGTACGCGCGAAAAACGTATCTGGTGCGCATAGAAATCGTTCACTTAGATCTCTCTTTACCACGTTGTAGTTCTCATCGTTACTTCAATCGACCGAGCGATATGTGAACACACTCCAACACGTCGTTATATCAGTCTTGTATCCTTAAACAAGATTAGCGCACCAAGACGTAGCGCGAGATGTAAATATGTCCACGCTATCCGCAACATTCTACGATATTGAAGGATGCGTTGTTTTCGTTAAGATGCGAGGCGGAAGACAAGAGGAGAACGGTTTACGTACGTTGTACTTCGTGTAAGCATGCAACGGGTAACCGTGAAAAATGAAAAAGGATAACAAGAGAGCGTCCATTTTTCGTCCTTCAAGGCCAGCAAGAGAGCGTTACCTATATAAACTTGCAAACGTGCAATTCGCTCTAGCCGTCAAATCGTAGTCAAAGCGAGGGAAAGTTATCGGTGTATCGAAAAGATCGATTAGATTCATCGATAAAATTCTACGGATAAGTTTTTGGGGGAGAGGGAAAAAGTGTGACTTAGGTGATAATCGAGCGTGATTATACGCGCGTATGGGAAGAAAAGGAGAGAAAGAGAGATGTAATTTTGTAGTTATTCGTGTCCGGATAGAAGGTGGCCGGATATATTTTTCATATCGGTCACACAGGTTTGGCGGAGAGGAAGAACAAGAGGAGAATAGACAAAAAAGAAAAAAAGAGAGAGAAACGACCGTAGGATCGAATTTGTGATCGCACATGACACCGCATCTAGAGTATTATCGGTAGTGAAGAAGTATATCTTTTATGCGCGAGGGGCCACACACTTGGGCATGTTGTAATAAAATTCGGCAGTCTATCGTAACACGTTATCTAGAGAGAGAGAGAGAGAGAGAGAGAGAGAGAGAGAGAGATCATGGAGGAATGATGTAGGAGGTAAAATACACAACAACACGTATACACAACATTTATATGGATGAATGAAAATTCGTCTATTTATGTTCACGCGAACCATGCTAATCATTATATATATCTCTATCGTACTCATACCGTTCGAGTTATTAGCCTCTTGCCTTAGAAAAGCCAAATTGAGTCGGGGACAAGTGGCTTCAGATTACGGGAACCGAATTCGCGGAGTTCAGGATTACCGAACTTCACAAACACTAGTCGCATTTGCGAGATAAATAGTTTACGACCCGAATTTGAGAAGCTAGTCAGACTCATGACCCGGATTGCGACTCGAACATAACAGGCATGAGTCGCACTCAAGTGTTGCATTACAAACAATACAGGATGTCTTTTTGT